GAAGCAGGCATGTTTCAGGATTTGTAATCTTGCATTTGCGGCGGGCTGTCGGGTCGCAAGCCGATTTGCTATAGTTGACGCATGCATATATTGCTACGCGACCTCCTGGTTTTTAATGTTATAATAAGGCATCCGTCTTGGTAAGAGATGACGACGATAATCGTATTCCACTTCGGTGGTGTATTGAATGTGGCACCATGCGCGTGACATTGTGTACAGGTCCTTCGTTTGAGAAACCGGTGGATGCTGAGTTTCACCGGGTCTGCGTTCAATTTCTCGTGGATACGTATGCCTTGTCTTATCGGCAAAGTGTATGTCATTTGAATTTATATTTGTAACCGTTTCATGGAGCTATGACTTGAAACAACTTCCCACCTGTTTGTACCAGGATTTGCCTCGTCCAATTGTCTTTATGGCAAAAAGTCCCTCCATATTTTGACACTGTCCCCAGCGTCTTTGCCGTACTAATTCCAGATTAATATCGTTTTGCAGTCCCCGAATGTTATTCTGTAGTGGTATTAAATTGTAAAAATGCTCTTAAAAGTAGTTTCGCTTTCTTTGCCACGTCTGAACGGTGTATAAACTCTGAGGCATGGATTTGGTCGTGGTCATAACTTGTGGCCATAGATGATAACATCTGGATTATAGAATGCTTGATGGTACCAAATATGGTTTGAGTTCCGGTTGATCGGGTTTGATGTAAATTAATTTTATGATCTGGCCTACCCAAGCTTACCCTTCTTCGCGGCTCTCAGTCTACGGCATTATCAGGTAGAGGAGGGTTTGTAAACACGAATGGTGCAAACTTTGCATATTGCGAAGCCCCTTGAGACGTTGCGAATCAGTCAGTGCAGGGCAATTTTAAGTGGCAAAATCTTGATTGTATGTGATGGACCAGAAATGGGTACCTTTTTGACAATCGGTTTGATGACGACTTCCTTCATGCCCACTCCTGTCTCTACGTTGAAGAAATTGTCTTCTTGGCGATTTTCATGTTCCAATGTATCTTGTCCTTCCTTTGTATTTCGAACTTTCCGACTTTCGCAATATTATGGACGCACCACAAGCAGAACTCCAGATAGACACATCCAAGTGACCATAAAACTTGGCTCTGGGATATTGTAGAATTCAAGTCCATCTACGGGAGTCGGCATGCCTATGTATAGCCATCAATACGGGATTAGGGTATTGCCGATCTTGTCAACTAGGAACAAAACCGTGTTAGTCTAGGTCCGATACGACAAGGTAGTGCAAATTTTGTCACACGAAGAAAACCATAAGATCTTACGAGGTTTGACGTCTCCGTGTCATCCCTAGTCCTTTCTTCCTCGCTTTCTAATCCAACACTCAGTTTTTTTTTCTTTTTCATTTGTTCTTTTGACATGTCGTCAGTCCATGAATGCGCTTGATTGCAGTGACGACTCCTAGGCATTGTTGAACAGCCCAAGGCTGGGAAAGCGCTGCTGTTGATGTTGAATGTTCCCAGAAGTCCTCGAGGTTACTGTCCACCCACTCGAAGACGAGAAAACATCTTTGCCATGCTGGATCATGAGGAAATCTTTTTAATAGGTGTCTTTTGTTTGTTTTTGGCCGATACTTCTCCGAAGCTCTGAGCTTCTGACGTTAAGCCTCTCGGTCACGGGTGAAAATCACCTTGAATGAAAAATAACCTGCTCTTTCAGAGGGCTTTGGCAGGTAAGTGATTCGATGACTTCAGTATTAAATATAGTTTCAAAGACTTTCATGGGCAAGCAATCCTGCTTTTCCATCTTACTCATTGAAGATTCTGTAAAACTTTATCATGAACGAACTGCTTTATCTCGTTTGCTGGAATCTTATCGAGCTCTAGCATGGCAAAGTTGTTCTGTGGGGGTGTGAGAGTCACACTGAAGCCCATTCAGAAATGGAAATGACAAACGACGAGTCGCCACTTTAGCCTACTTCGGATGTTGGCTTGTATCTTCTCCCAAAGTCACCATCATTCGGCAATCTCTTTTCACCATCCGGGTCGTGGATAAAAATCTTCGAACTGTTAAACCCTTCTTTCTTAGAGACGATGGTTTGACGAGTTAAAAGATTATCTGTTTCGGTTTTTGGGATCCCTCTTGTGCTGATTCATGGATACTATCGTTCTCGGGCTGTTGGATTGGTTCATTACTGTGGCGTGTCTCTGCGGGCAACGCTCCCTGAGGAACAAGTTTCGCCGCTTGTTGTTTCAACTTTCCCGAAATATGAACGATACCTGAATGAGTTCGGCAAACCTATTCACAAAGAGATTTGCATACAAATGAGATTACCCGCCATTAGGCACGATAAATCCATCATCTTAATGCTTATTCTTGGTCTCTAAACTAGAAATAATTAAACTGTGGTCCTACAAGTTCAGATTAAGGTTGCAATTGCTATGGAATGACAGGAACCTTAGACTAAGACAGCCTTACAGCCACTTGGAACTATTATGCTACGATCATTCTAATAGTGTCCAGCTTCCAAGCTTACCAAACTTTTCGAGACATTCCATGGCCGAAATCTCAGACGAAATTAGCTTATCATTTGTTCAAGATATCGTGATCTAATCAATAAACAAATGGCGAGTCATGAGATTGTTACGTAGCCTCACCCTACCCACCTTTAAAACAATTTAATTGAAAGGTGATACTCGCACACAAGTCCTGACAGGATCACCAGGATCTTTCAATTGTATGTTTACATGTTGATTCTGTCAAGCGAAGAAATGCCGCCATAGAGAACTGTCTTCTCCCTAACGTAGAGCAGCACACGATCTTCAGAAGGAACACGAGGCTATGTGGGGGTTGTTTGGTAGGATTGTCTCGTTGCACAGGAGCACAACTTAGTGTAATAAAAGTGTCTCCGCCACTGCCTCCTACCCAAGGCTTGCATGGCAAGCCTTCTGTATTGCAGGCCAATTTGGGGGCTTCCTTTCGCCCCGCCAGTGACAAGGCATTTCTTGGAACACGCCATCTGCACCCAACACTCCTTTTTCAAGTTGAAAATCTGCTGGAATGTTGTTAACAGAATGTATTGCACCTACCTGACACTGCTTGCGCTATTAAATTAAAGCTTTTCTTGAAGTTTTATAGAAATCTTTTTGATCTCACATCCACAATCTCATCATTGCGATGACACTATAATCAACAGCCATGGATTGAGCGGCGTGATAGGGCCCTCTTTCGCAAGACCCAACCGCGGCGGTCGAGTCCACCCAACTCTACGTCCCTATGGAAGTTGTCAATTGCCTGGCACGCATGAAACGAGTTATCGGCAATTGAAGATAGTTGTATGTAAGAGCGTGTCGTTCGAGGTGCCAGTAACCCGTCATTCGAGGTCCTAGCAGAAGTGGTTGCAATTGTGCAATATGCATTGCTGAACACCAGCTCCATTTTTCACGCCTCACTTTCCCAGTCTTTTTCATCATCCTATACAATACACAACAAATCAAACCATACATACCTAATACAACGGTCCCAGGCCACTGCTAAAGCATCTCTAAATGTGAGAGGCAGCTGTTCGAATTCAGTGGATTTCTTACGCTGTTTGATATTGAGTCGGAACGTATAGAACCTTTTGTTGGCTTAAAGAGGCTCCTAACAATGACTCAAAGCGAGATAATACGGTGAACTATCAGGAGCACTGTATAAGTTGAACATGATTATCTAGTTCGAGCAGATGAATGGGCAAGTTAAAAGCGTCATGGTAATCCCTCCGATGGCACATCTTGTGAGTTGAATCGCATACATGAATCCATTGGTTCAACAGCGCAAATTAATCGAACTTGCCGATCGCAAAAGCTGAGGCAAACCAAGCTGTGAATCGTGAGGAGAATTCTAGTCTTTCTGATTAGAATCTATAGTGATAGTAGCAACCAGAATTCATCATATTTGGTTCGATGTAATTGAGAACGACCTATGTCCGTTATTAAGACTTACAACAGCACCTTTCTGTTCCAAAGTAACAATTGCGGGTGGTGTTACACCTACAGAGTTTAATGCTCTCAGAAGCAAATGGCACAGATCGCATCTCTGAGACGAAATGTCTCGTTGCGTGAGGCTGCACCCACTGTTGAAAAGTTTTATGAAGTCGATATTACTGCAATTTGTGCATAATGCAAAGCGCGACGTTTCCCGGGCTGGTTTGATCTTTGCCTAATCTATGGATTCGAAAGAAATTACTGCTAATCCATTATTCGGTCTAGATGTCCACCGCATCGCTCGGCTTCCTCGAATTGTAGAAAGCATGAATGATACCCTTTCCATCAGATTTGGAATGACTTACTATCTAACTATAGTTAGTTCACAACATCCGCCATGGAGCATGGTCTAGCGAAGATCTTTCCATCTAATGAAGCCTGCTAGCTGTAATATCAAGAGAATATTATGATCCAGGAACTTTCATTTTCAACTGACCTCTGATCTCAAGAGAACCAAATAGGCTTACTGGCATACTAGACTAAGGTCAGGATTCCGACTTCATATATGCAGGCGGTCAATTTGACTCACTTGCTGACGTTCCGCAGTGCTTGAGATAATCGCGCTTGACCTGGTTGAATTGAGCTCTTCTGTCGGTGGTCTAACTAAGAAGCCCGGTCCTGGAGCCTCGTTTATAGTTGGAAGTTATTGATTGAGTCGAGCGGTGTGAGACCTGGGAACGTCGAATCTTTGCGATGCTTTCAGCCCTCTGTTTCTTTGGTGAATCACGTTTTGCTACAGTCATATTTCATCGGACGGATAGTTGAGTCAAGGGCATGGTGTAAGGTAGGACTTTTGACCGATACATTTCTTTTCAATGGCCGCCACCTTGTCATGGAGGACAGCGGCGACCTCGTAGAGTTCCGAAGATCTATCAGTATAATCCTGCGACACATCTACGGCCAGAAGTCTTTGTTTTACTAGCCGCAAGAGATCCTTTAATGCAGTGTCGTCGTCTAAGTCTGTTGCCATGACTTTCATATACGAGACCATGTACGAGTCAACCACATACTCATTCTTCCCGGATCTGTCGTCAGTTTCCCAGAATTATTTACTTATGTTAGCTTGGAAGGTGTCCACGGCTCGGTATACGTAAGTAAGCCATAATAGCGTTCTAGCAAAACACAACCCATTGACCAAATATCAAACTGCCGTGACCGAGGATCACTTTTGCCCCTCGTTGACTTTATATCAGATGGTTCATAACGGGCTGCAACCGACCAAGTCTTGATCGCTATCACTTTCCCTGTCTTTGGTATGTTTCTCCTTCTCATGGAATGTCGCAAGGCCCAGATCAGCGATTTAGAGAGTCCCTTAGTTATTCTTATCCCGAAACTAGAGAGTGTTCTCAGGCTTTAAGTCCCCGTGGCGGCAATTTTACTCATACACTTCCTCAAGAGTTGAGAAAAGCCCTGTAAATTGTTGGAACAACCCACCGGACACTACCAGGTCAGATCGCCTGTCTCAAAGATCTTCCAAAGATTGAGCAAGTTTCCAGCATTCGTCCAAGTAAACATAAGGCATCAATATCCGCCTATTTCCTATGCAGCAATTGGCGTGATTAGATGGTGTAAGTGGACAGTGCCTTGTCAGTAATATCATGCGGCTGTAGGCCAAGTAGCAGAGAATATAGTTTCTCATAATCCTTGGTTATGAGAATCAAAACTCAGAATACTCTTTTCTTCCGTCCCGTAAAGTAAATTACACGAGACTCTCTGCGTCTGGGATCGTTGCATTCCTTATGATGCTGATCGGCTCGAAAACTTCGTTACTCGAAGCAATGTGATCGCAAGGTGGGCCCTCCCAGTGTCCAGACAATTATTTGCAAGTGCTTTAGCAGCCTCGTCTACCAATTATTTCATTGTGACTTAGGCTTCGCTGGTCGTTGGTCGTTGGTCGTTCTACGTTTGGCAGTGTTTGGCCCGCTGCTATGTCGAACCGTTGCCTCTGTGTCTCCAAAGTGCTGATATTCGGCTTACCAGGATTTTTCTTGTTAATGCTTTATGATTCTCTCGATGCACTCTTGAGTCCACAAATGAGACCCAAGAGGCGCAGTTTTTTTGAGTCGATAAAATCCGGTGTAAAGAATTTCTCCGCAGCACTTCTCAGATTCGACCGATTGCCACGGTCATTTGATATCTCGGAAAATTGAAGCTTTCACTGGTATCTAGGGTCGGCGAAATATACCCAGGTGAGGCTGCGACAGCAGTGGGCATCGACTGAAACCAATGGCGCCTCCATAGCCGCCCCCAATGTCACCTCGATCCGAGTATACAATGATACAAGTGTACATTCTATCAGATTGCTAGTGAAGCTGAAAGTCCCTCCGCATGCTTATTTCGGTACGCTGCCCATCAGCAACCTGATGGTGTCATACATAAGCCCACCGAAAGAAGGCATATTCGCAATGCATAGCATAACATATAATGCCGCCTCCTTCTGATCAAGCGCAAACCTCATGGGGCACCTGGGACATGCACCCCGTTACTTTTTCGTCACCAGAGCTATATCGGGTGAAGTCCAACCGAACAACATAAGATTTGCGCAGGCCCCGTACTTTTCCTGCGGGGTCGAAAGATCAATAAAGAAGATGAGGATCGGGACTCACTCCTTGGAGGCCTTGTATCTCTTCCATATTATGAGCGACTAACTCGGTTCACCTGTGGTCGGTGAAAGATTGGGCGGCAGGCGGAGTAACCGTTATCAACTTTCGCCCAATATACACCGTCCCGATTCATCATCTAAAACGCCAATTATAAGATCAAATCCATAAGATTGAAGGGGGAGACGTAAAAAGTCTGCAGCAGGCGGCACTCATGAAGGATCTGAAACTTGAGGTTAGTGCGGCACATCGAGGCTTCTTCCAGGAAGTAGACCTGTTGAGCTCATTTGATCATAATCTGATGCAGCACAGTACAGCAATTGGACGGAGCATTGGCAGAGAAAGAATGGAAGCCGAACGTACATCGCGTATGCGTGTGGCTTCGAGCCAGCCCTTCTTCGCTATCCTTGGCGGATTGATAATCATTGTTTCTATGTTTATCTTGGCTGTGGGGGACACGCCGGTAAAGACTTTGCGTTAGTACAACACAAGCTATGTATTTGATAAGCTTAGCGTCGCGCGGCATAATATACGTAGTGACTGTCTCCTATTCAAATCGGAGATATTTATCCTATGTATTGCCGGCGGCGAGCCGATGCCGGAGACCAGAATTGAGTTTCGGAAGATCCACCCGATAAACTCGAGCGGAACCTCCGAGAGGCCGGCGACAGTAACATCCAAGGACTACTATCTCCATAGCCAAGGCTCGCCTTGCCTCAATTATCTGATGCAATAACATCGCGAGGCACATAGCGGCATCATTGTAACCCCCAGCGTCATCACTTTGATCTCGAGAACACGTTCGCCAACATGCCCTCAGAGCTGAGTTCACACTCCCAAGCAGCTTCATACGCACAGAGCGGTTATGGCAACCGCATGGGATGGGGCACCAGGCCGGTATTAGTCCTGATCGATGTGTGCAGGGCCTATTGGACGCCGGACTCCCCACTGGATTGCAGTGCACACGAGCCGACGACTAGAGTGCCCCAGGTGATGCGCGGCTTGTTGGCGGCTGCACGAGCATCGGAGACTCCCGTCATCTGGACGGCGGTGGAGTATACAGATCCTAACATGAAAGATGCAGGTCTTTTCTGGCTCAAGTCTAAGACACTGGATGTATGGAATGTGGAAGATAAGCGCGGACTGAGCGACTGGGTCGAAGGGTTGGTGCCGGAGAAGGGCGAATTGGTCATCAAGAAGAAGTACGCAAGCGCTTTCTTTGGGACGTCATTGGCTACGGATCTCAGAGTCATGGGCGCGGATACTGTGGTGCTGTGCGGTGTCAGCACAAGTGGTTGTGTGAGGGCAAGCACACTAGATACAATGCAAAATGGGTTTCGGCCAATGGTGAGTTTCTGTAAATGACTCTTACTACTCGAGGCGGCGGCGGAACTAATGCTGTGCCAGGTGGTGGGTTCTGCTTGTGGCGACCGCAGCGACGAGATACAGAATGCTAACCTGTTCGACCTGAATGCAAAATACGCAGACGTTGTAAGCGAGAACGAAGCACTTGAGCACTTGAAGGCCGGATGGCCAAAGTCTTCATGAATAGTTCACCAGCAATTAATTCTTGATTGTACTACTGGGCGCCAGACTCTCACATCTCAGCACTGATCCTGTGATAGTCCCAAGCCCTATCACTTTCCCCATCGCATGACTTGCCGGCTTAAGCAAATGGGCAGGATCTATGTTATGAATATCACGCTGTGATGTCAAGTTCTCTGTCGGCTAGGTCTTCTTTAGCGACCGGCTAAGCGCTTCTCTAATAAGCGGAGCGGAACGTATAGAACGGCAGTAACTGCCAAGGCAAGCTCAAACCCAATATCACCTACAGTCTCTGCGATTGGCCCAGTCCACCACACCTGAGCCATACTCGGAATGACTAGCCCAAAACTCAAGACGCTTGCTGTCAAGGCGGCAACACCCCATGGCAGTTGTTTTGCTGAGTTCCAAGCCGACTGATCATAAGTGCTATATTGGCAGCGTCGAATAACAACGTGTTCAGTAACCAAGACAGCGACAAATGCTGCACTCCAATAACCAATCAGTGAGATGAAGTTTTCCAAGCTGGAGAAGAAATCCGCAGCTGCCTTGATGCTGACCGGTATGACAATGGCGGTGATAATTATGGAGAAAATATATCTTGGCACCACTACCAACTGAGGGATCAGCATTTGGAAGTTGAGAGTGACTGAATACATGGTCGCAGAAATATTGCCAAGCATGGTGAAGGAAAGGATGACGACCACGAATTTGCCGAACCCACCAGCCGGGGTAAGCATGGCTGCCAGCACACCACCGACGGACATCCTATCGTATCCTTCTGCCCATTCGGGTATGTTCGCAATAGCTCCACCGATGGCGGCTCCTAATGTCATCAATGGCACTGATGGGATGACGATACCAGCGTATGCATAGAGAAAGAGCCGTAAACTGTAGTCGGGTGAGCTTAGGAGGATCTCGAGGGCAATTCAACTTACGAGGAAAACTTGGGGTTCAGATAAGTGGTGAAGTCAGATGAGAGGCATGCGTAGGGTATCATGTACGAAGCAACAATCATACCGAAGGATAACACGGCGGCGGGTGTGGCAGGTTCTGTGGCCACTTGTTCTTTGAGTTTTGATCCCCCACAACCTGCTGTGATGACAATAGCAATGAGCGCCGGAATCCATGCAAAGCGTTCATATCCATGTAGGACTCTGTATCCACAGAATGAAATGCCAAGAGCGAGTAGTCCGACGATGACAATCCCTACTGCTGCAGAAAGAATGCCTCCGGTAACAGCGGACAGACACTGACCGCCGACTACACAGATGATGACACAGAATCCTGTAAGCGTGGCCAGATTGAGGATAACCGGAATGGAAACAAGATATCTACCGAAACTGTAACGTGCCTGTATCATCTGTCGGAGACCAGTTTGTGGTCCGAGGATGCCCAGGTAAGCAGGGAAAGCGGCCGTCAACAAACTGAAGAACATGATGACCAATGCACAGTCTCTCACGCTTAAGTAATAGACCATCGTGCCGAGCATTCCAAAGGTAATTCTGATAGGTATGAGATAGGGCAGCTGGTTACAAATAAAGGAGCATATGACATACGGAAGTAGATTGACGTTCATACAGAACCAAATAGAGAAATAGTTGCTGTATTGTGTTGAGATTCGTTCCTCAAGAGGAACTGGCATGACTCCCCGAGATTCCACAGAACTGACTGACAAGATCTTGGAGAAGCACCCCCGAGTGCTGGCCTTATCCGTAGAGCCAGCTTCAAGTTCGACATTGTGCCGTTCATCGTCCGTCTTCTCCATATCTGTCGTTTTGGAACTCAATTCAATTGCATCTGGTCTGCCCATACTGTTATGTGATTCCCGAGTCTCGTTCGGATGTTCCGAACGCTTGTTGTTACGGCCTGGACTCAGCGCAACGGTGGACATATATATAATGTATCAACTCCAGGTAAAGAGTCGGTATCCGCTTCGTATCCGCTTCAACCCCACAGTGCAAATGACGGTATCTGCCGGATCGTCTTTGTTATCTTGATCCCGGGCTTTCGAGACTACTGAAGATAAGACGAACACGACGAAAAAATTGGGGAAGTTAAGATTTGGAGAGCTTGTCCAATTGGAAAAGAAATTAAAAGGAAAGAAAAGAAAAGAAAAATCCAACTAACAATGAGTTGAAGATGTCTAGAAAGAAAAGCAGGAAATAGGGAACCGAAGTATCAAGAGAGGATGCGCTACCCATCGCGATAGATACAGTATCATCGGGATGACACGGCGTTCTGGCTATTAGAATTTTCGCCATGATAGGGCAGTAAGAAGCTTTAGCGTGACGTCGTGACTGTTCTAGCAGTAACTGTGGCGGATACGGAGTACGGACGTCGCTACTAAAAGTCTTCGCCCGCTTGATTTTGTGTAGCCAGCTGAAACGGTCCGCTTCCAGCTGAGAGCAGAACTATCTTCAGGCACTTAAGCGCTGAATCCGCTAATACTTACTAAATGAGGACCGCTATGGAGCGCTAAATCCATCAAGCAAGCCCCTCTAAAAATTCACATTTAGCGGACAACTTTATCAACAGCTGGGACTACCTTAAATCAATCCGCAAGCAGCCGCCAAAGTACGTACGGAAAGTCTTGGCGGGCGAAGACTTTTGGTAGCGGCATCCGTACATATGCTACACTGGCTATCCATGTTAACCTGATAGTCTAGTAGATTAGATCATCCTAACCTAGACGGAGGGGGGAAGAGTTGCTAAAAGCTGAGTCTAGCTTAGCCAGGCAACCAGATACAGTAGCTTCTACACTATGTATGTGCCGCCGAGACTCGGAGACATGTTTGCTGGACTCTTGCAAGTCTGTCTGTCTGTGGCTCTCAAGTCCATGAGTAGCGTCCAAATCTTAACAGCCATTCGCATCCGAGTCTGACCGTTAATAAGAGCTCGCGGTCGCATGTGCAAGGCTGTGATGAGCAGGCAATCTTGCAGGGCCTGCTGAAGAATTTCGAGGGCTTGACTGCTTATCACTACCATGCCGGGGGACAACCTTGCTTGGATACCGGGTGTCGCCGACGATGTATACGCGGCGATTAGTCCTCTGGAACCGTATATGCTTGTCTCATCTAGTTAAGCTGTTCGCTCAGTTTGAATATTTTATCGTTGGTGTCTCTATGGAGGTTGAAGGCCCAGTTTTGACGCACGTGCGTGTGTGGTATAAGTGTTAGGGCGCCGGGCCACTGATAAGCAGTTTGCAGCGCGTTGGAGGCACTAGAAACGAGCATCCAACCATGGGGAATTATCCCATGAATTTGGACACCATTACACTTTATCATCCCAAAGCAATCGCATCACCGTCAATAGAACTTAGGCTGAAGAAGCTCAAGACAGCGGGTACGAAAATTATCCAATCTATTATAATATGTGTTCAAAGTCTCGTGCAGGCCGAATTGCAGCCCCTGTGCATCAGTGCTCAATTATTGGGCTTATCTGAGAATCCTTACAAACATGAAGTAGTTTCCCCGTTGTGTCGAAACCAGGCACCAGGTACATCTCTTGGAGGGTCACAACGTTTGGAGGATAGGGTTCTACTACAGTATAGGTACTCAGATGCGATGAGACTGGAAAGTAGATCCTGCAAGAACCCCGTCGTCGTCAGCTGTCGCAGTTGCCCATGATACGCGTGCTCTTCTCAGACGATTACTGCCCCATGGGGAAATATCAGAGGTGATCCTTAACGCTAATTGACACTTTGGCCACAGCTAATGATACCTAGCGCGTCTGTCGCGAAATATATTTGATCTCGTTGTGATAGGGCATTTGCGTAAAATCAACGCGAATCCTTCAGATCTTGTGTCAGTAAATTTCAGGACCACTGTATAGCAATTGTCGATTTTCAGATATTCATGAAGCATTCTACGTCCGCCAAATTATTTTACCGGACTTATGCTCGGCAAGCGAACGGGAATAAAAGAGGTCGCTTATTTTAGGCGCTTGCGGGTTACATCAGTGCGCCAATGAGCTGAAACGAAAGCACAAGCGTATACTTAACTGCCGGGTCCACCATATAGACTATCGGGTCAGAGTTCTCACTCTCAAATGTCCATCCAGAGATTGGTCGAACGAGGCTCCGTAAGAATAGGAAGCAGTGTTTGCGACCTGAAACTTCAGCCTTTGGGGTTCGTCCTATATGGCCGCGTCATCGATTGACCGGGTTGCACAAGGGCCGGTCAGATATGGGGTCCGACTGGGTACGAGATGTCTTTCGAGTTGAGACCAAACTTCTCGATGTGGTCCAACGCTCTGGAAATCCCCGACGATTAATGTGGGTAGTTCGTCCAGGTGAGCCAAACGCATGTTTCTGCATGATTTTCGACGCTTCTCACAGCCCTACATCGTTGTCCCATCAACAACCTCGCACTGCTACCTCTTACTTGCTATCCATAGCCATGTCTACAGAACACGCCCATTGTTATAGAAAGTCAGGTAAGAAATGAAACTGCAAGGACGTACTCACGTCTTGGCACAGTAATACAGTGGTTCCATCAAGAAGACATTATTGTGGATCACAAATATTCCTAGATAGCGCCACTCATTCCAACAGGCACTATTATATGTGTTTCTTTTCCAAGTCTTTGATATGTTTTGCCCATGGGGCAACCATGGTCTGTACTGCGGGCAGACAAACGTGGGATGAGAAACAGGCACGAGGATTGAGGATGTTTCGATGGAGCCCACAAATAGTTCCTCTTTCCAAACCGGTCAAGGTCTGTTCGCATGCAACCTGACCGAACACTCATCCACAGAAGTGGACCAGACAACTACCTCAAGGGCTCTACCGACACGTTTGATAAATAGTCCAGCCGCGGTGTATGCTACTAGATACCCATGATCGGCAAGGTCATTGCTCACGGTTTTATGTTCAGAGTAACGACGAACATGATCGGCAAGCGCGTCTGGGGACAACGTGAGACGAAAGACCGCGGCTGGTCGACCACCTGTCGAGCGGCTTTTCTGGTATAAGACGGACAAACCGCCAGGTTTGTCAATAGTTCGTATCAACGTCAACCCGAAGTTTAACTCTGCAATCGCCTACGCTTAGCAGTTTGCCTGGATCACTATCAGCCTTTCGCTCATCGACTCTCATTCTCTCGACTATATCTTTGATTATACGGCATCTTCTATCATGCATTCGAGCGTCCCTGTCATCTCAATTCTTAGTGCAGTTGCTGCCGGTCAGATAACTTGCCCTTCTGTTTGGACAGACGTTGCCACAGACTTGAAAGCACTCTTTGTAGACAGTGCTGGTGCTGCAACAGATGATGCTCGTGCAGCCATCCGAACGACTTTCCATGATTGTTTCCCCGAAGCGTGCGATGGATCGCTCATTCTTGCTAATGAATGCTCGGATCGAGGAGAAAATAGCCAGATGGTGGATATCTGTAGCACACTAGGCGACAAGGCGACCGAATATAATGTCAGTACGGCGGACATCATCCAACTTGGTGCCGGTGAGTTGTTACCAAGTATCTACAACAAGACGGATGCCTGCTCACGACTGTCATATTCACAGCGCTTGGCGTTGCTGCTGCTCTTGGCCCTACCATCTCTTTCAAAGTTGGTCGTGTGGACTCAAGCACTGCCAATCCTACCGGGCAATTGCCCGGTGCAAACTCTGACGCGGACACCATAATTTCCGATTTTGAGGCCAAAGGCTTCACCGCAACCGAACTCATCGCTTTAGTTGGAGCTCACAGCGCAGCCAAGAACCTTGCAGGCACAGCCCTGGATTCCACAGTCGATGCTTTGGATACTAACTTCTACACGGAGACTGCCGACGGAACAGCACCAGCTAGCCTGCAGAGCGACATTAACCTGAGCAACTCCAGCACTACCAGTGCAGATTGGGCCTCATTTAGCAGCAGTTTGAGTGACTGGGAAGCTGCCTTCGTGCCAGCGTAGGTTTCTTCCGTTCCATATTTCCCGGGATAAGAGACAGTGGTAGATACTAATACCGGCCTTGGTGCTCTAGAATGGAAAAGATGGGACTTCTTGGAGTTGAAGAGTCCACCCTGACCGACTGTTCGAGTGTAGTAACGGCTGCATTTCCAAGAAGAAGAACTCGCGCCATGCAGTTCGCAGGCGCAAGCAGACGGAGCCCTCATGGGATGGCTGCTGGAGCATCCTGGAGGGCTCGCTACCACTCGTAAGAAAGCACGACAAGGGTGCTGTCGTGGGTCAGCCCTTCAACAGAGCAGACAACGGAGACAAATGTAAAATCTTTGTATAATACCATGCAGTGTTTGGCGTTGGGAGGTCTTGCTCCTGGAAGCGACGCGACATAGACGATGAAGAAACGCGGGACGTCGGATGCAGGAAAACACCACACTTGAAACAGAATGCTAGCTCACTAAAATGGACAAGTGATAGACTGAGTCATGCGAAGCATTCGTCGTACCGAGGAGAAAACTGCAACTCAGCATGTCATTGATTGAAGGGTTGTCGTAAACAGCAGCCTTTCGTAGGCTCCACATGACATGGCATGCTGCAAACCTTGGCATAGAAGCAGGGCGATGGCGAAGGGTGGCCAATAGTGACTGTCGATTTTCGTTGGCACCATGTCTAGAAACTGTTGTCAGATCTTGTTGGTTGAAAAGTTGCTGGGTGAGAAGCTGCTCTCACAGTGCATAGCAGAGTTAATGATGAAGGTTGAAGGGAATGGACGGAATGGATGGAATGGATTCTCATCAGCCGCAGTTGATGCTGCCCCGCATCTGCATGTAATGCCCATGGTGCAGTAGAACAGCTCCCCCGGGCCGCTTGTGGGGTCAGGGGATTCCAGCTCGTGTACAAAAGCTGCCTCCATCCCCAAGCAAACGTTCGGCGGGTTGCGGTTTGGGTGGTCAGACGATTTGTGCATATATCATCATTAATCACGATACTACAACATTCGACTTCTGGACAAGCTGGCACCAAGCTTGGTAGCTTTGGACCTATTGCAGATTGTTACGTCTCCATTCCTACGATTTAAAGTAAACCCATCCTGGCGCATCGATCCGAGTGTTCCTCAAATCCACGTGCCACACACCCGCAACGTCAACAACAACAACCCTCCCCCCCCCTGATAAGCGCCAACTGAGGTCTGGAAGCTTGAGCTTGGACCTCCGAAATCCCGCGTACCTAGAGTCCGGGGGTTTCTCATCAAAACGACGTCAGTACTCCGTACAACGTGCAGGTATCCGCAGGCGCCTCTCCAGCTGTGACTTTACCAGGAGTCGACAGCCACAGCATCCACACCTCCGCTGCACACTGTCGCACAACCGACACCTTTCCGCATTCGTCTTCACCAGCATTCATCTTGATTCAACTTGATTCACCTTGAATACACCGCCTGCCTAAAATCAAAGGACGCCTGTCTGGGCATTTTATTATTCTCATTAGTCCAGGTTAGCTTTGTCGCGCATCTCACGGCCCCGGCATTGAAAGCGAGCGCGGCTAGGAAGTTCAACCAAGCCAACGACATTTGCTCGGAGGCATCACCTCGACGAATCGAACTCGGCATTTGGATGCGGAAGCAGGTCATAGCGACATTGTTCATATCTGAAATTTGAGACCAGCTCCAAATCCAGATTGATCTTTACCTTGTCGAACCATCTGCAATGGGACTTGTTAGAGCATGTGAGCTCATGAGTGTATATCGATCCCAAAGCCTCCGATATAGATAAAATCAGAGATCGTCGTAAGCAAAACCATCCTTCACGATTCGTATTCTATTATGGCGCAACACTTCTCTGCCAGAGCATCCTGCTGTGTGATGCTCCCATTCATGTGCATTTGTTGCCCTGTCAACTCTTGTACCCGGGTCGAGAGCCTCCCACATTCCAACGCGACCACATCCTTGCACAACCATCGCAATGCTCCCTGCGCAACAATGAAGGTTTCACGTTTCGCTGACATCACGCTTTGACTGTAGCCGAAAACACAATTTCCGCCTGCGACTGCCCTACCTGCCAGACACCATGTCAAATCTCAGGCAATTCACCACCGGCCCCGGCTTACGCTACCCTATCACGGTCTCGCGACTCCATAGAAGGACAGGTGAAAAGGTCAAGAGACAGGAAGCCCTCCTACAATACACATTCAAGTTCAAGCGCACTATTGGCGACCCTGACCTCGGCGAGGAGCGTGAAATCGAGGAGACTGGGTACGGCGACTGGGACTGTCCGTCAGACGGCACTGTCAACAAGTGGCATGTTGCCGAGGGCGACGTCGTCAGTCGCGACCAGCTTCTCGTGGTGATCGACGAACCATGCTCCCACGATACACAGTTCGCCGGGCTTTGCACGAAGTGCGGCAAAGACATGACCGAGTCCAATTGGGCCGCAGAGGGGCTCGACGTTGATCGTGCAACCATCTCCATGGTGCACGACAATGTCGCCCTCAAAGTCAGTGCGAGCGAAGCCGAGAAGAAAGAGGTGGAGCTTCAAGAGCGACTTCTCAAGCAGCGCAAGCTCAGTTTGGTGGTCGATTTGGATCAGACCGTCATCCATGCCTGTGTCGAGCCTACAATCGGAGAGTGGCAGCGTGACCCGACAAATCCCAATCACGAATCCGTAAAGCAGGTGCGCAGCTTCCAGCTTGATGATGGGCCGAAACATGACAATGCCCCGAAATGCTCATACTACATCAAACTACGACCAGGCCTGGAAGAGTTCCTCGAGAGACTTTCGGAGCTGTATGAGATGCATGTTTACACCATGGGCACTCGGGCATATGCACAAGAGATTGCCAAGATCATTGACCCCGAGATGAAGTACTTTGGCAACCGGATCATTAGCCGCGACGAGAACGGGAGCATGGCAGCCAAGAGATTACAGCGACTCTTCCCCGTTAGCACGCACATGGTGGTCGTCATTGATGATCGCGCTGATGTTTGGCCTATGAACCGATCCAATCTGATCAAGGTCACGCCGTACGACTTCTTCAGGGGTATCGGTGATATAAATTCCAGCTTTCTGCCCAAACGAGAGGACGTCCTCGCTCCTGCGCCAAATCCTGTCACACTTCCTCCTAACGGCAGTTCTTCGAGCAATCCGAATGCGCCTGGCCACGCCAACAATATACTTGAACATGAAAGAGCTGCTGCCGCTGCATCAGACGACGAGAACGCACTACTTCAGTTACAGGCAGAAGAGCAGGAACGCACACTTGAGAAGCAATTGACCGAGCGACCCCTTCTGCACTTGCAAGAAGAGTTAGAGAAAGAAGAGGCAGCTGATGCCGGAGCTACTCCTACACCAGAAATAGCGCAAACCACGGAGCAAAATGGCCATTCTGAAAGTCCCTCGACTCGCCACAATCTCCTCCGCGACGACGACGAAGAATTGAAATACCTCGAGGAGCACCTCACCCAACTACACCGAAACTTTTACACCCAACACGAGTCCCGCGTCGCAGCCCAGATAAAGGAGACCGGCTCGGACGTCATCACTGCAGACACTATTCCAGATGTTGGCAAGTTGCTTGAGTGGATCAAGAAGCGCGTTCTGCGGGGTTGCAGCATCGTCCTCAGTGGTTTAGTCCCGCAAGGTATAGATGTTGAACGCTCAGAGATTGGTCTACAGATTCAGAGCTTTGGTGGCGAGATCCGGGACAAAATCAGCAAGAACGTCACACATCTCGTTATCAGTAGCTTAAGACCTCGAACCCAAAAGGTTCGCCAAGCTGCACGGATTCCAAGCATCAAGATAGTCAACCAGGATTGGTTAGCCGGCACTCTTGCACAGTGGACACAGCTTGATGTGGAGCCGTTCCTCGCGCAAATACATCCGGCAGACCGCGTCAGCCACACCCCCGTCGAGGCAGATGGCAGGGAAAGCGAGAGCGCAAGTCTCCCCATACCTGAGGACCCAGTAGACGGAGACAATGGTGATGATGATGGCACTGAAGAGTCGGGAGGCGATGACGGATCCGACGAAGATGAGGACGATGAAGTCCAAGATGTGTACGGTGTTATGCCTGCTGAACCAGAAGATGGCTCGACGAGTCCCGTTGATGATCTCAAGAACATGGATTGGGGCGAGCTGGACGCAGAGTTTGAGGAGTTCATGGGCTCTGATGCTGGTACTGACTCAGACGGACAATCTGAATTTGACGATACTGCCAGCACGACTAAGAGTCGGAAACGCAAGATTGCTGACGGCGATGGTGATACTGAGGACGAAGGCAGCGTTCTCGCCAAGAAACAAAAGCTCGCCAGGGATAGGACCACTGGCCTGCGGAATGTCAAGAATGCTGGTGACCAAGGTCGCGGAGATGGAAGTGGGCTGCCAACACCAATGGGTACCGGTGACGAGGAAGATGCAGCGATGGAGGAAGAGGAGGAAGACTTTGACCTCGAGGCCCAATTAGAGGCAGAACTTGCAGCTGAAGCAGAGGCGGAAGCCGGCTGATCTTGTAAAAAAAAAAAAAAAAAAAGGGATGAAAAAAAGAAAAAGAAATCCTGGAGGCAAGAGCCGTCATCTGTATCTTATAGCTGTAAGGAGTTCTTAGGATCTTACAGGTGTTGGTCGAGCGACGATTGCGCGCTGGACCTGGACACTTGAATATTGCATAGCGACAATGGAATGTATATCTGTTTCAACTACTTGGGCTGGTTTTTTTTTTCTTCGTACTTGGACTACTTGCCTTGAAGGGACTCTGATGGGATACACACAAAAGTACAGACGAGACAGCAGAATGTGGCACACCCGTAGAGTATGGTCACTCCTTGCCGTGTGATGCTCGAAATGACGAGTAGTACTTGTCCGTGCCTTTCGCGGTTTCATTGTCTTTACGATGAAAGAGGCCTGATTGCCCAAGTATCGATCGGCACGGGCTGATATCAAGAAGCGCTGCCGTATATTGTCCCGTGTTGCACCTATGTACATGTCTTATTTTTAACGTTCCGATGCACAAGCGTCTCGACGTATAGTGATTGCTAGCGCATGTTATAGTGAGCCAGGCAAGCCCGGGGTCGCTGATAATAATAACTCCACTGAAGCCACCTCCAATTGACCTCACTGCAGGAAAGCCCGACGGGCCGGCCCCCACCCGCTGCACGTGATCTGCTGCATTGGACTGGCAGCTCATTGAAGCTTCCACCATGATCATCGCCGGCACGAGAAGACCACAAGCGACAGCTCAGTCAGCACCCAATTGACCCGCGATACCCTCTGAATCGATTCTCCGAGAGCGAGTTGATTCGAAGAACCGACACAATGCCTCAAGATATGCCCCCCGTTGGGGGCTATGGCCCCGTGCAGTACAAGGTACGTTAAGCTGGCTCTTGAATCCAAGCTCCCAACCGACAACCACCACGGAGACGACGAGGACAATGAGGACCATGCGGAGGATCCGGGAAATAATCACACGCGATTGCGACTCCTGGGGAAACCCCTGAGCGTTGTGCTACAGGCGCAAGTCAGTTGTGGATCGACCGTTGAGAAGAGCGACATGCGATTATGCTCGATAGTCACATGGCGAGCAAAGACTCACACTCGGCTCAGTTGCCCGCTGTGGGCGACATGTTCGAACGATTGATCCTCCCACTATCACTCGGAATGCTGGTCTTGCTGGTCACGCGACAAACATGCGATCAATCGGGTTCGCGGAGAGGACTACGATGATTTGGCACGCGACTTGAAAGCCGCACCCCAGCACCATCACTGCACCATCGGCTTGATTTCCTTTCGTAAGACATAAGCAAGCAAATGCTAACATGTCTTTGTACCACAGCGCAACTTGCCTGCAGGTGCCTTCCGGCCCGGTACCCTCATCCTCGGTATGGGCGCCATCATGGTCTACGGTTTCTACAAGCTAGGCCAGGGTATTCGTGAGCAGAAGTAGGTCCTACGCGATCATCCAGCCTTGCGGTCGTGGTTGATGCTGATGAGACAACAAGTGAACTCGCCCGCGAGAAGATGTGGTCCAGAATCCACCTGATCCCCCTCCTGCAAGCCGAGGAAGACCGTGACTTGGTCAGACGGCATTTGGCAGACCAGGCAAGAGAGAAGGAGCTGCTGGGCGACAACTTCAAGGTCTACAACTCCGACCGATACGTGCGGCCAACATATGCCGTCACTCCTTCCACGACGAAATAAATCCTGCTGTAAGAAAAAAGAACATACGGCTGGCATTGGAAAGAGTGGATTGCGACTCGATGGACGTCTACCAGGTGAATGTGGTACAGACGGACGCTGTACATTTTTTTCTCGCAAAAACGCAGACAATAGAATGACATCTTTTACACGCACATGCATACGATTACGAATTAAAGAGTTGTGTGTTCCGGAACTGGGCAGAAGATATTGCGCCTCTCCAGAAGAACAGGCAGGTAGGGATTCCCAACGAATCTATGCAATGATCCATGACTTTGGCAACGAGGCTCCACAGTATCTACATGTCTTTCGTAGTAGGGGGAAAACAAAGCGAGCCTCGTGTTCCGGATCTTCCAATTCTAGTTTCCGAGGGCAGGTCGCATACAATGTTCTTGCTCCAGCATGCTCATGTGTCCCTGGTGTGTTGGAACTGAATCGCATCAAGTGGATGGGCTCCATTGAGACCAAGAATTGCAGTGAACCTGTTTCCAACTGGCAGTTTGTCTTGTTGCCCCACGAATGTTTGGTCCGGGATTGACCAGCCACTGGTTAGCTTGAGCTTTTCTTCGTTTTGGCTTGTTGGTCAAGAGTGATCGGTTTGGGGAACCGCCAATCACTCGTGCGCTTGCATTGAGGCGCCATACATCTCGGTTAGTACGCAGGATCACATTGAGGCATATTGCTCATTCCATGCAATCATAATGTTGTCTTGATCGCACCCTGTGGAGAGGGCGCTCTTTTTGTGGCGAAGCCAGGTCCGGTCGTTATCGACCTGTCATCAAGCAACACAAAGTCCCAAATCTCAAGGCAGCGTAGCCATAAGAAAAGGTATTTCCCGGGAGTATAATTCGTAGGTCTAATGCATATCTATCTTGCAACGCCTACTACCCGTCTCGTGATCAGTACGGGTGTTTCGTCTTTAGTGTGGCCTGTACCATCACCAACCATGTACAAGCGCTCGCCGTCTATCATGTCGTGAGTATCGCCGTTGCCCTTGAGCTCATCCCACTCATTCCATGCCTGGCGAATGTCGAACTTCCGGACCACCAGCGCAAGGACCAATCTTAATTCCATTACGGCCAGTTCCTGACCAATGCAGTTCCGCGGGCCTAGCTCAAACGGCCTCCACGCATCCTTCATCGGGAACAGCGGATCTCCGTCCTTGGCGAGCCATCTCTCGGGAATGAAGTCTCGAGGCCGCGGCCACACGTCGTCTCGGTAATGGCAACCAGGCGTGCCATCGCCCACAGCGTAGTGTTCCGTAGGGTACTGCATGTCCGTCACGGGATCCACGAGGAAGAAGCCCCGCTGGCCCGCCCGGGCGGTGGCCGCGGGCGTGTAGAGGCGCAGGGTCTCCTTGATGCAGCCTAGGGCGTAGGGCATCGCGTTCAGGACGTGCGGGTTCTCGAGGATGACCCGGGATGCGTCGTCGGGGTTTCGTCCAAGCTGTTCGTCTTGCTCCTGGCGCAGCTTGGCTAGGCACTCCGGGTTCTCCTCCAGCAGCTTGAAGACCCAGCAGATCGTCGTGGCGGTAGTGTCATGGCCGGCGAAGAGGAAGGCCTTGAGGTTCTCAAGAATGTTGTCCAGAAACTGGGGGTCGGATTCGAGGCCGGCGTCTTTCCGTATTGACTGCGCTGCCAAGTCCATGATGGTTTTGGTCTCTTTCACGGACTCGACGGATGACAGGTGGCTGTGAATAGATGGCATAAGTTCTTTCTTCATGACTCGGTTGTTATGCTTAACCTGGGACCAAGGATTGTACGGTTCCAGCATCCTCTTCAAGGACGGTCGTGTGCCTATTTGCTTGGTCATGTTGGTCATGGCTGTTTTGAGAGCGCTGCTCTTTCCTGACTGTTCACTCAGCTTCAGTCCACTGGGTTGATAGAATGATTAGCCACTCCTTTGGAAATAAGGGAGCCTGAGGTACGTACAGTACAGCCTTAGCAATGATGTCGAATGTCAAGTTAGTGGTGAGCTGCTCGAGCTGCACAACTTGACCACATTGCCCCTCGTCACCAGCATAGGAATCCAATACTTTGAGAAACGTGACCATATCCTCCATGATAGCCGGAACGAGCGCCATGATTCCGCGGGGGCTGAATCCGGGATTGAAGACCGACCGCCACCTCTTCCACTGCTCACCATCAGCCGATACCATATCCTTGTTGCCCGTCAGCGGTTTAAGGAAGTCCCGCTCCATGACATCCTTGGGTAGGCTTGTAGTCTGGGTGAACTGCGCGCTGATCTTGGGGTGTAAAGAAAATAGGACAGGGTTCGAGACGGGCCAGAGATCCAGGTAGGCAACCGTGGGGCATTGCTTTTCTCCCGGAAAGAGATTCTCCCAGTTCTCGACGAACCAGATGCTGAGGTGGTTCGTGCTGATATCCTTGGGGTTCGCATTGCTATACTCGCCAAGTATCTTGAGATGTCCCCATATCATGGAATGGGGAATCAAGGGCTAACGTAGAGATCAGTTTAGCCGACGGTGAAGTGTTGAAAAAAAAAAAATTCCCTCGTCAACCGCAATGGGCGGGTTGGAACACTCACGATTCCTTGCTTCTTGAGTGCCGCAAATCGTCTCCTGACGACATAACCTCCGTATGCAAATCGTGCGATCACGAAGCTGACCAGAAGCACCGTCGCCCGCAGAACGACTGTGCCGACGTCATTCGATAAAACCGTCATTGCGCCGTTGACCGCGTCGCTTTTTACCGAAGAAGTCGCAGTTCGCCACAAGTTCCAAACAAATGAACCACAACTTGAAGCAAAGAGCAACAACGAGGGAAAAGAGTACGGGGATGCAAAAAAAACGGACTCGGTCTGACGCCACGTGCTGATCTAGCGTTAACTATATGTGCTCGTAGGGCGATTCCCGCTAGAGTAGGTACCTATGTACTGTACGGTCGCATTCTGCAGCGGATAGTTACGTGCTGTCCCGTAAATACGACTTGTTTGATTGGCTACCTCTAAAAATACACTGCTCTGGTACCTAACCTTGGGTAATACGTATAGTGCTATGATGCTTGGACCCGCTGAGGCACATGAGTTACGGTGGATTTATAGCTACTATGTATGTGCTCACCTGGCAGCCTGGGCAATGTGTCATGTCATCGTCTTCTGTCGCCCACTCAGTGTCTGGTTTCATCAAGCTAGAATGCGCATTGACTGTCGCGTTTCGAAGCTATCCTTCGTCAATACACACACTTGTGACTTGGAGCCACGCCGTTCTAGTGTAACAAGAAGGGAGCTCATCAGCGTGGTTCTGAAATGGCGTGGTGATTCACTACCCCGAATTAGACGCTAGCTTAGAGAAGGCGGAATCGCTCGCTTGCCGTTTTCAGTAATTCTTGACTAGATATCCACTGGACTGGACATCCAAAATGCTTACGAAAGCGACAAATGCAGATAGCGCTTACAAAGGTTTATGCGTGTACATTTAATTTCCAGTGGTCTTCTACTGATGGCGGTGAGAACTACCTCGAAATTAACCGAAACGGTACATGGCTCAAACGGGAAGCGAGCAATGTTGCACACAATAAAACCGGTCGATCACAAGCGACATGATACCAGGAGATCTGCCCTGTCTAATATCTCCGAGGCACAGTCTCAGACCGAATCTTGTTCTCTTTATAGTTGCGCTTAATGATCGGGAAGCCTCTGGTAAGTAAAGTCTTACAACGTTGACAATGCCCTCCTATCCTTCCCGCGTCTTGGCTTTTGCGCGGGCTTCAATTGAGAAGCGTCAACGTCAAGTCGCCATACAGGCTGACTTTCAGCTGTACCTCAACGTCGAGATTCAGACTCAACCTGAGACTAGTCCGCTTTGATTGACTTGTCCGTTGTGAGGGCTTCCGGCGCAGACTATCATTCGATGGCTTGGTAACGGTCCGTACTTTGGATTGTTCCTTGCCTGCTGATTTGTATTGTGGCTCTCTCATTTTTGGAAGCGGCCGACGCTGCTGCGCTTGAGTGCCTTGCCGGGTCTCTTCAGCGGGCTGCTCAACAGCGTTGCCCAGGGTTATGAAATGATACTCATGGTGCATCGAAGGTAATCCAACCGTCGATTGCGCACGTCCAACGATTGGCGCGATGGGCGGATCAAGTATTTGACTCGGCTTCTCGTCAGCTACGACAATTTCCTGAAGCGGACTAACTTTATGCCCCTGTTCCCCTGGCCGTGACTCTGCTTTTGGTGATACACGTTCAGCTTGGATGCGTCCTGGCAAATGGAAGCTACGCAACCTATTGGAGCTCAGAGCACTTGGCCGTGGTGCTATGGTCGATGGAGTACCTTTGACGCCATGCCGCCTTGGATTGTCTTTGCATGGTATGGCCTCAGCGTATGATATTTCTTCCTCGCTGTAAGGCTGTGCTCGTGCAACAAGGTCTTGAGCTTCCTCTCCGTCCTGCACTTGTCTGATGCAGCCGGTACTTGCCCGTGACCTCAACGTATTGGATCTCGAGCGAGCTACCTCAGCGTCATCCTTGCTGATGTCGAGGAAAGAGGTCTGGTCCAAGGGGATGGAGTTGTCCACCGGCAACGGGGACCAGATATACTGATCTTGCCATATTGATTTGATGGAATCGTATCGTTTGGGTGGCAGCCACACGAGCGAAGAACTCATTGCGGATCATCAACGCGCATATCTCTGATCAAGTTGATATCAATGAGATGCAAATAATGCGAAACTTGCCGACAACTATAAGCAGTAAATAGACCTTCACGGAAGTTTGCAAAGGCAGCAGATCTCAACACTTTGAGCACAACTCAGGGAGGCAATTAAAAACTTTACTGATGATTACATTCAGATTTGACAAACGTCATTTCGCCAAGCCAATGCAACCTCGAGTCTGCCGCGAAACTGTGGAGATGTCCCGTATTATGCTAGGCTAACCAGGGTCCGTACCGGTTCTTGCACTGCCCTGGGTTATATACTCGCAAATATAGCCCAGAACAGCACTCTATCGGTGGTTATCGGATGCTCTCGTGTGGGTCTGCAACAAGACACTGGAAATAATGCCATATGGCACAAGTATTCTTTTGCGCACGAATGTCTAGCAGAGCCATGACCATCAAGAGCAGAACTTGCAATCTTGTAGATATCGATCCAATGCCGGATATTGTGACTGACTTGTGTTCTTTTGAAACTTGTTCTTTCTGCCGGTACGCCTGTCTCCGTTGGGATTGATGCTGCGGGAACATGCTATCAGTTCGAAAGTGCTATATCGTTTCGCCCGAATTGCGTCTGCTGGCCAATTATGGCGTTCGTCACCCTGAAGTATGTCACGAAAACCAACCATTTTGTGGAGGACGGAGCATTAGTCCCTGGCTGTGTCCTTCGAAATGCTCCCGGAACAGACCCTGAACTGTGCGAAGGCGCTGTTGCCAGATCTTTGGTCCTTTCTGAAAAGCACATGGCGGCCTGACTACGGTGATTACACACAAGTCACCCTAAATCAATCAGTAGTAAACACAATACTGCCAACTTGAAGGAATTGCCACGCTTCTGATCTTTAAACTTCCTGCATGCTCAAATATTCTTATTTCAAAATGACTCAATATTCACGACTTTTCATATTATCCTTCATGTGTAGAGCATAGCACCTAGCCTGTATGATTTCGTGGGAACTCACATGATCAGCTTGTGATATAACCCTCAACGCATTGCTCTCGTGCATATCCCCAAGACACAGAAGCTATAATTACCTTGCCGGTCATCTCCAAATTGTGCTTTATCTACATGCTAGGCATCACAAGCACCCACCACCCACAAGGCTGTGCTCGTGATGTTGGATTGCGCAACACAGCCCTAATGCCAAACTGGCGGCACAAAATGTTTCCTAGGCATTTATCACAACGCCATGCATTTGAGCAGATCACAACTCAACGCGGTTACATACGGATATACAAGACATGATGTACTCAAACCGATATACGTTACCGTCTATAGTAACCCCAGCCTTACCCATGAATTAAGGTATCTTACAGCGTCATCGCGGAGCGGTCAATATACGCCACAGCTCGTACCTTGAACTTTTCATGTTGTCTTATATTGTGGCGATCTTACCTCGCATACTCAACCATATTGACTCGAAAGATATCTCAAGCTCTGCTATTGTCAGGCTGCGACTAAACTCGGCTTTAGCTAAAACAAAGGCGTCATCCAAATAAGAAGGTGTGCCGGACGCCAGGTCCAGCCACAATGGACCCTTTGCTCACGAGCTATAATCATACATAGGAAACAAGTCCGGACACGCAACATAAGGAGATATCAGCAATTCTCTCAGTGATGCAAGTGAGATAGACCCTCGATGTTGAAGAATCCCACCTCCAAGCCGGAGTTCATGCATCAACTGTATCAGATGTTTTGGCTGCGCCCTGTGCTCGGGGAGGCGTCCTGCGATTTCTGACTGAAAGCATACGGGTTCGCCTTCCCCAAGAGGTGTTTTGCGACCGGGCGCCAGACCTCTGAGCGCTTCACTGAACTTTCGGCATGGAATAAAGCCGGGAGTGGCATGAGGTTCACTGGGGACCGCTCTGCCTACTAGTTTCCAAACATCAGCTGTCGGCTAAAGAGAAATCACGACTAAAAAGAAGAAGAAGAAAAGAAAAGAAGTAAGAAAGGGGGACCGGGGCGAGGTGCGACGTCTGTCGCGCATAGTGTTGGGATGTGCCATGCGCGAACCTAAGTAGAACGGCATGTAGAGCTTCATTATACGACGCCGGGAGGATAACATCTGGCCCTTTCGCTTATAAACTTTGAAAAACTCTATAACATACGAGCCCAACTGATCGCATAGCGGCATGAATGAAATACATCTCATCATATTATAGATGGGCATTAAACTAGACTAATCTTACCTTAAGACATGCCCCTTGAGATTACACCCAAAGAGTACCAAGAAACATTATTGTGCGTCATCTACCTGTATGATCAAGATAACTAGAACAAGACCATCCATACTAAAATCTATGCTCGCGATCTATGCAAACACCAATAGGTGGTCTAAACGACTCTAGGTTTCGTGATACTGTGCTGAATGCCATCGCCCAAGTCAAATTCGAAATTTCACCAAACCCCCGGCCATAAACCATCACCCACGTGCATACCAGGCGTGATATCGTGCCACCCATCGGTTGAGGATCGATCGTCCTGTGGCCAAACGGTGCAGACCAATTCGAACGCGAACCCAATGTGGGTGTGCCTACGCCGACGCCGAAGCCAAGGAACCGTCCATCATGACCTGCAACGAAACCGGCGGTCTGAACTCTCCTAGACCATGATGAAAGCCAACCAAGTCCCATTCCAAGACTGTCGACTCCTCGGCCTCCCAACTGTTTCCTGTCGTTCAGTCATATCTTCGTGCCTCATCTCATCGTCCGGATTGCTCCCCTCCTCTGGCACCACACTAAGTTTGGCCGTCTTGCCTGCTCTCTAAGCCACCGTGCAGGTGTCCTCCTAAAAACTGCCAGGCGTGGCCACATTACCCGCCGTGAAGGAGCCGAGCACCTTGCTTCCCAAGGAAGTCCCTTTGCCCTTGCCAAATACAAGCTGATGCTCCGCATCCGCCAACGCTGACTTCTTGACTACAAGCTCGGGGTCAAAGTCGTCACCGGAGCCAACGAAGGTCCAACTCTCCTCTTCGTCTTCATCGTCGCTCGCTGCAGCATCTTGCTTACCGTGCTTAGCGGCTTGGTGCTTGCCGGCCTTGGCTACCACGAGAGAGCGTGCATACTCGAGATCACGGTAGAGTGATTGAATTGCCGTATCTACACCGTTCTCCTGTTCATTCATTAGCAAATTGTTCATGGAAAGAGATATATGTAACGAACTTTTCGGATTGCCTCGCCAAGGACTCTGGCTTTGACGATGATCCGGTCACTGTTGCACGCTTCCCATAATGCTCTTGCAAACGAGCTAACACCCCACTTCTTGAGGCAGATGCCGACACCGAGGTCCTCCACTCTCGCCCCGTAGAAGAACTGATCACCGAAGAAAGGTCTGATGATCGTGGGTATACCGGCCCTCAAGCTAGCACCAGTTGTACCTGATCCACCGTGATGCGCTGCTGCGTCCATCTGGGCGAACAACCAGTCGTGCGGCGCTGACTTGATTCGGAAGATCTCAGGTGGCAGCTCAGGCTCTGGAATACTGGATTGGCCACCCATTCGGTCGGACCATCCTTTCGAGAGCACACATCGTACATCGGCTTTGAGCACGGCATCAATAACATCTTGTGTCATCTTGGCCGGGTCCGAAACGACGATTGACCCAAAGCCTACGTAGACAAGCTTCTTCTCGTCTTTCCGTGCCTGCTCAATGAACTCGCGCAGATCATTAGGAGGCACGTATTCGGTTCCTTCGTCCAGGAACCAGTAGCCCGTGACCCGAATCCAATCGGAGTAGTCCAATGGTGGCGCCACCACAGATGGGGAGAAATTATACATGAAAGGCACTTTATTCTGTCCGAGCTTCTCAAGGTTCGTTGGAGGCAGCCCAAGTGTGACTTTCCTCCACTTGTTTACTTGTCCAGCCATGGCTTTCCAAAACACGGTATCGAACATGACGTAGGTCATGTAATTGTAGGCGCCGCCCATCTTGTTGTTCGGCATGATGAAGGCATGGGGGTAAGCACGAGTACGAGTCCAAGGCATGGTGAAGGCGCGGAAGTAAGGTATTTGAAGAGCTTCAGCCACATGAATGCCGGCCATAGCAGATGGTGACTCGATCAACACGTCGCTTCCCTTGACGCCGTCGTAAGCTGAAACCAGAAGATCATCCAGCCAAGATCGAAACGTGGTGTTTGCCTCCTTCAGGAATGCAAAGCTAAAAGTGCCGTTCTCAATGCAGAGACGCATAAGCTCACCTGGATCACCAGCAACCGGGGCAAACTCAATACCATGACCCTCAATCCAGTCTTTGAACTCAGCGTGTGTTGCGATGCGTGGCCGATGGCCATCGGCCATGAGGCCCTTGCATAGTGCAATGTACGGCTGGACATCGCCTCTCGAACCGATAGTTAAGCAGGTGATCTTTAATGACTGCGCCGGTTTGAAGTTAAGAAAAGATGACTTTGGGTCGTCAAATAATATTGTAGGTGATGAGTCACCAAGGATCGAAACCTCTTTTGGCATCTTGACCTCATGGTCTGTGTTCTCTTTCAGACGTGCCTCATTCAGCGCATCTCTTTCCGCAATAGCGTCATCCACCTGCTCTTGTTCTTCTTTCTCGAGATATTGAGATTCTCGAAGATATCGCATCTTCTCGAGGTACTTGATCATAGTGACACTACAGTCATCCCTTACCTCATTCTGGCCAAACTCGAAAAAGAGTTCTTCATGACCACGAACAACAAGAACAAGACCAGAATAGCCGAATCGGAAGCCCTTCTCCTTGTGGACGGTCTCAATATCCTTGATAGGTAAAATGAGCTTGGTACGAGTGCCGGGTAACAGGCTGCGGAAGCAGAAGTTTCGATCGCTGATGTAGATCTTGCCATAGAGCGGCAACACCCGAATCATATAACCAAAGTATGTTGCACGGAGTTTCTCAGACTCAGGCAAGGCAAAGTGATCTCGAAATCGTTGCATTGTCGTTGCCAATTTGCCGTCGATGTCGTCCTCATCTTCACCGTCATCCTCTAACTCCTCGTCTGTCTTAGGGGCATCCGGGTCAGGATAATGTTTGCGGCCGCCCTTCCACATTCCAGAGACCTTCTCGACGTATCCCATGGACTCAGTAGCTAACAGGTTGCCCATCTTCCGGCTCGTCTGGTTGAGGTAGCCGGCAAAGTAGCCCGCCCTCTGGAGGGGATAAGACCCCATTTTAGCCAAGTTCTGCAGCGTGGGAGTCGGTGGAACTGCGTGGTCAGAAGCAAGATCTCCCATGTGACCAGTTGTTGCTGCATGATAGGGATGGTGTGGCTGTAGTGCGTCGTTCTGCCGCGTAGCATGTCGCCTGTCTGGCTCGGTATGCTGATGTTTGACCCGCGGCCTAGAGGTTGACCGCCGGTATATCGTAGGTCTGTGAAAAATTTGACTGTCCCTCAATATCTGACTACCGGTTTGATCCTCACTAGAGGAAGCCACGAGATTAGACAAACTGGGATCGTCGATGGACTGCACGTATGACTCCGATGACGCGTGCTTGTCCGATGGCACCTGTGTCCTGTAATCTTTCGCTTTGCTGTGTGATCGACTGCTAAAACTTCGATGTGGTGAATTACCACGAGTGAGACTGTCAAGGTCAAGACTTCTCCGACCAAAGCCTCGGAAGGCGTCGAAACTGCTTCTGCTGAATTCGCCGCTGGCTCGAATACTGGACTCTCCTGGACTAGCCGGAGACATGGGTGGCAGGGTTGCTTTGACGTTTTCACGAGGCTTGGGTGGCCTCAATTCACCGCCTGGACCCTCGGTCCTTGAAGCACTTATCGAGCTTCGATTGGATGACGCGTCGTGATTACCTCGTCGATGGGGAATATGGAGTTTGGACCCCAACTCTTGTTGGTCTTTCGTATCCTCCACCAGAATCCTGAGCACGTTGCAAGCTTCTTTTCCAAATCCAAAGAAGGAGAAGAGGTACTCGTCCAGGGCAAACGTCTCCTCGTTGTCAATGACCCTGATTTTGATGGTGTCGGCAAAATCGAGCATTTGCGTCTCTTCGATATCCACAACATTTCTGATCGGCAGGGAAATTTTGACACTGTCACCGTCGTTGTGGGAACGGAAAATGACTCTCTGAAGACTCTTTACCCATTCCTTGGCACTCGGAGCACTGTCGGCCTTGAAGTGATACGTCCTGTGGTCAGTAACAACGGAGAAATGTAAGCTTTCCTTATCACTGTCCGTAATGTGCGCTTTTATAGCGTATCGCAAGTCAATCTGGCCACTAGGAAAATAGAGGTTCGAAGAGTCGCGATAGTAACCTAGGACATCGCCCTTGAGGCGGAACCAATAGCGATTGTACTTTGGGTTACGTTTTCCACTCTTGGACAGATAGCCTGACTTGGCGACTTCGTGCTGGGGAGAGTCAGTGGATGCTTGACAGAGGCCTTGGGCTGTACTTACTGCTTTCTTTGGTAGGTATGCGTAGAAACAAATGTGTTTGGCAGTGATGTACATATAACCCTGGAGAAGTACACTCTGAAGAAGCCAACAAGGGTATTCTACACCAGGTCAGCGTCGTGTCTGTTGTGTGGCAGAGGCAAGTCAATGTACCTTCCAACACCTTTTCGGGGTGGTCGAACTCGAAGATCTCCTTCAGCCGCAGGGCAAGCTCAGTGTCGCCATTATCTGCCGCATCGCCGCCTCTTCGTAGGTCGACTGACAATCTTTCCAGGTCAAAGCTGGGCCTAGCAGCCATCTCGGCACGGGCTTCGAGCATCATGCTCATGACGGGCGCCGCACTTCCCCGGCGGTCGGCTGCTGTAATATCGATATCAGGCGACTTGGGATCTAAGGAGCCGTCATTGTACGATGGAGACCCTGCCAGGTCAGAGGTATTGGCAGAGTGTGGAGACGATTTGAGTTTGGAAGATTTGGATCTGGACTTGCTGGAAAGTCGGGGCAGTGTAGGTAGAGATTGCAGCAGTTGAGCAGATATCCGGCGTCGGTGTTTCTTTTCCGTCTTGTCCGACGAGCTCTTCTTCAGTGTTTGCGACTTGGACACATCTTGTGGCTCCTTTGCCTTCTCCATCTCTTTTCCTCTGGTCCTCCCAAGGGGATGTTTCTGGTGGTCGGTGTCGTCTTCGTCACTCGACTGTTCCTCAAAGCGATCGTTGAAGTCGACAGTAGAGCCGGCGGCAGCAATCAGGCCAAAGATGGATTGGTTCATGTTCATGAACATCTGGCCGCCTTGTTGAGGCACTACATCCTCGTCGGCCTCGTCGCCCGTCTCTTTTAACCGGTCAGGCAGTTCCATGGTCGGTCGGTGTTCTTCCCTGCGTTTCTTGTGAAGCTTCTTGCTCACTCGTCTTCTGGTGGCTTCCTCGCTGGAAGGAGGGATATCAGGTGGTGTCGGAGCCATGGCGTCGTATAGAGCAGTTATCTGCCAGGCAGACCCAGGAAGTGGACCTTGGCTGTGTCGCGCTCGACTTGTGGTTCCGTTCAAAGCGCTGTCAGGCCCAACTTGTCCGGATCTGTGATGTGATACTGCGGGCGTAGGCAGCACCGGGGGCCTGCAGTGGAGCCAGCGAAGCCTCGCTGTGTGTGTGCGGCCCGGTCCAGGTTCAGTGCACTTGAGGTGTGCAGATGGTCGGATTTCAAGTGACTGTGAGTCGCATATCGATGACTATGTCAAACAGGCACCATGGGTAGCTTGCGCAATTAGGATGGGGGTTTGAGGGAGCGGAATGCGATGCGTCCGGGCAGGCCAGGGCAAAGTCAACTGAGGATGGAGAGGAAGGATGCGGATGACCAGATTCGGTGTCGGGTTGACCACATTAGGCAATGAGCTTGTCGGACTGGACAGTAAGGTGCATGGCAACGTGCACGTGTATGTATACGTATATGTCATCAAGTCTAATGCAGAACAATCTAGTCTAGGTCAGTCGCTTCGGTAGGGAGGAACAGGGAGAGGGCATGAGCAAGGCAAGGGAACATGAGGCTGATTATCGACAACTCTACTTACAGCTGGAGTACTACAGACCGGTGACCTTGACCTTATCGGATGGGGGTCTGTTGAGCGTCAATGTGGATGATTGAAGTCGGATGACGCGACGCTAGTCTGGTGGGCTCGACGCTGGAGTCAATCACTGGTTCCACTGAACGGGCGGGACGAGGCGCTAGATAGCCCCTGTAACAAGGTTTCCCCGGGGGGTCTTCTTTTTTTGTCTGCTGCTGTGGCTGTGGAATGTCTGGTGTCGCTCACCACTTTGTCACATTGTCACATGCAGACTGCAATCCCCGGTTGTAACATAACTTGAGCCGTGTCCGCCGTTTCGAGAAAGCTGACCTCAGAGCCTCGTTCCGTAAACATATGCCCTGGAAGGGTTATAACAAGTTTCCATTGTCCTTTGCTCGGAAAAAGTCCTTCTTCCACCTGTTCTTATCGTGGACTACGTCACAGTATACAATTCCCTTGCATGTAGCAGGTCGTTGTAGCCGTATATACTGTAGCATGGAGACCCTCGACGAATGCATTGACCACATATTGCCACAAATGAATATTGATTATCCACAGATTTACGGATTAAGCCGTCCAACTTGACAGTGTTGTCAACTTGCTATGTAGTACAAGGCACATATAGATAGATGAACTGAATCTCTCGTCCCGTCTAAACATTGAAATGCAACAAGTAAGCTCGCAAGATTATGAGGCTTGGTATCGTATGACGATGACGGTCCTTGTCGAAGGCCAGCGGTTATACAATAACAGTCAGTGGAGGTCAAGGAACGGGCAGATACAGGCCGACCATGTGAACTGCAGAGCCAAAGAATCTAACCTTGAAAGAGTGACAAGTGCTCAAGTGGACATATGCCGCTGTGAGAGCACATTGAACACGCGCGTAGACCGACAAACATCGGGTGACAGTGTTGCGTACCAAAATAAGACTGTGTTCGCTTGAATCGAGGCAAGATGGCCTACAATTTCAAGATAACATTTCCAAAATGTCATGCTCAAGACGATCTGTCCGGTCAAGTGGTTCACCTTCTATAAACCAAGGTGCAGTGGAATAAGGCTTGGTTCCGCAGCAAGCACACGGGCGTAAATGCGATTCGCTTGATTAATATACCAAATGGGACTCTATCAAAAGACGCCAAAGACCATACAAATTGCTGTTATCTTTATGCCTATTTGCAACTTCGGGTGGGCGTTCCAACCGGAGCCGTTCAAGGTGTGCACGACCAGATCAGTCAATTCTCCGGGGTTGAAGGTGGTGGCTAGCGTCATCAGACATTAGGCAAAATCACATAGAGCAAAGCCGTGCAAAATAGCGTGTCTCGAGTTGGGGGACATGATCATGTGGTGAAAGAGCTCGCAAGCCGTGGCGCCATAGGGCGGATACCAGCCATGATAGGCAGCTCCTAGGTCACGGAGGGGAAAACCAGATCTTCGTCATGGAAGATCCGACAGAGCGCAACCAAAGGATTGCGCTCGCACTTGATTTACCGGCACGCTAAAGGCCGACAAGTGTTGGTGGGGGGGTTCAAAGCAAGTTTTATTCATGAAACTCCTTTTCGTAGAAACCGTTCATGCCATGCCATGCTCGAAAGAAGCCTTGAGCGTAGGAACCTTGTGCTGCCTGCTGTATGGTATATGCAGGAGACCTGAGTACAGCCTGCCCCAAGCCATCATCAAGGTATCCGGTTTTTGTATATTCCCTGTGTCCAGTCGTGGTAATAGCGCGCTTATGCGACGATCTCGACGACACCACCAGCCTCAGTGATCTTCTTCTCGGCGAGCTTGCTGACCCAGCGGGCACGGACGACGAGAGGAACCTCGGGGAGACGACCCTTTCCGAGAACCTTGGAGTAACCGAGGGGGAGGAGATCGATGACGGGAACGGTGTCCTTCTTCTCGCCCTTGATGTAGGCCTCACGGGTCTCAGCGGGGACGAGCGACCAGAGCTGTGGTGGGTCAAAGGTTAGTCACCGTATCGACTTGACTTAGAATGTGGAAAGGAGAGAATGGTTAGGACATACCTTGTCGAGGTTGACAATGGGCTTCCAGAAGTGGTTTTGTTGCTTGTGGAAGTATCGCATACCAACCTTACCGAAGTAACCAGGATGGTACTTATCGATGTTGGTTCGGTGGTGGTGCTGACCACCGGCCATACCACGACCACCGGGATGCTTTCTGTGCTTTCCGACACGACCGTGACCGGCCGAGACGTGACCACGGCTAAAGACACATGTACGTTAGCGAATGACCGAGCAGTGATAGCGCTGAGTGGGACAAAAGGGTCGGCATGTCGCAAGGTTTCTTGGAATGGTCCACCGCAGTCGTCGTGCAGTAGCCTGACGAATTTTTGAATTGCTGCTGCCGTAGCTGGGCGTCCTGTTCAATGCAGAATGATGGTTGTGCCTAGTAGCTTCCTCCTCTTGCTTGTTTGATTGATGCCGTGCGGGCCCAAGAAAAGTCTGCTGCTGCGTTTGGATATTGACATTGATATGGCGGTGCGATAGAAAATTGAGGAGAAACCCGGCGACAAGAAACATTCGAAGCGTCTGTGCAATTGCGATCTGGAGAAACTTACTGCTTTCTGGTCTTGGAGAATCGGGTAGGCATGTTGGCGGTTGATGACTTGCCTGTTGGTTAGTATGGTGTTCTCGCTACGCTTCCCGACAAGAGTTCGCGAAGGTGAAAAGTTCCAGAGTGTGATGGAGCTAGAGTCAGTGCCCCACCCAAAAGTCAGGAGGGTTTTGCAGCCCTAGCAAAATTGTGGTGTGGCTTGACCCAATAAAAAGCTCACTTGAGGCGGTTGTTCAGCACTGGCCACACAGCCACAGCCTCTCAGCTGTTTATCAAGTTAGGTCAGCCTGCCACGCCACAAGCTGATTGCCATTAGACTAGCCTGATATCTGGCCATTCAATTGGACTTGCTCGACTCTCGGCTTGTGTAGAATGATCTGTTGATCGCTATCACATGGAGGAGCGGTACATGCAGAACAGGGTCCCAACTAGCATGCAATCAGTAGGCCAGTTGATTGCATCTGGGAGACAGTCTGGATTGAAATGATATGCGCGGAGTTTTTTTTCTTGTATTATTCACGCAAATTTCTACGATGTAGATAAAAGATTGCTGCCAAAGACTAATCCAACCTGCAAGTTCTTTGACGCTTATTCTTGTACAATCTCTGCTTTTGCTATTCTTCATGCGATATTGAAAGAGCAAGGTATTCACTGCGGCCATCAGCTTCCACCACAATTGAAAAGCTATAAGCATGCAGGCTGCACGTTATGCTTCTTGTTGATGTTTTCCCCAACTAGTCTAGGTTAGGTGACAATTTGACTACCTCTTTGCCTGCATAATGGTTAGCTTGTGCACATCCACCAACCATATTCCTAGCCGCATTCCAGCATGTCCATAGTATTCAGAACATCAAATTGCTGAACCACTCAAAGTCACGTACAATATGCCATATACTCGTGCATGTACATGGTGTTCCAGTCCTCAGCAAGCCAAACTAGCATATCGTCCAAATGGTACAAGAAGCGGTCGATGATGTCGCCAGCGGCATACGAAAGATTGATTTCAACCACCCCTACACACCATATGATGTGCAGCAACAGTTCATGAAAGCTGTCTACGATATTCTGGAACAAGGCGACGGCCAAATAGGCATTTTGGAAAGCCCGACGGGCACAGTGAGTTGCCAGATCAAAGAATTATTGTGTTTCCTGACAGCTTTCAGGGCAAATCGCTCTCTCTCATTTGCGCAGCTCTGACATGGCTTCGCCACCACAAGAAGTCCATTTTTGAAGCCTCGGTAGAAGATACAGCCAGGGCGTTCAAAGATGAGCCCGATTGGATCATTGAGCAAATGCTGAAGAGGAAGCGAGAACAGGTAGTTCAGCAGTGGGAAGAGCGCGAGGCAAGGCTCAAGCGTATACGGACTAAGGAGAGATCACTGGAAGCACGTGGCAGCAAGAGGAGACGTGTTGATGACTCGAACTCAAAGCACAACCCGTCAAATGACAAAGACGATACTGAATGGCTTCTCATTGATCGGGAGGATCCGGGTATGCAGCAAGATGGCGAGGCTCAAAGCTTTAGCAAGGAAACGAGGACACTGATGGAGAAGCTGGGCATGGGGCAACTCAAGCAGGATGGCGACGAAGAAGATCGCATAGAAGAGCCTCTGAAGGTTCGTGTCCCTCTGTGAAGATGAGTCAGTCCGCTAACAGATTGCAGATCTACTATACATCCCGAACTCATTCGCAGCTTACCCAGTTCATAAACGAGCTGCGAAGGCCAAAGTTCCCGCCATCTGTGCCAGAAGACCTACTTTCGGGCGAGAACCAGTCCGAAGGCGAGACTATCAAGCATATACCATTATCTTCACGTCAGCGTCTGTGCATCAACCCATCAGTCTCAAGACTTGGCAGTCTTGCTGCAATTAACGATAGATGCAAAGATTTGCAACAATCCAAATCTGATAGCAAATGCCACTTTGTGCCAAATGCAAATAACATCAGCCAGACGCATCAATTCCGTGACAGTGCTCTAGCATCGTTGCCCGACATTGAGGACCTTTTTGATCTTGGCAAGAAGTTGGCAGTATGTCCCTATTATGCTTCCAGAACCGCACTTCCCGAGGCTGAGATCATCACCTTGCCTTATCCCTTGCTGCTCCAACAGACAGCAAGAGAGGCGCTTGGAATCGATCTGAAGGGCAGCGTCGTTATCGTTGACGAAGCGCACAACATCATGGATGCGGTCGCCAATGTTTATGCCTCCGAAATCAGCCTCAGTGACTTGAAGCGTGGCAGGCAGATGCTGGGAGGGTACGTTAAAAGATTTGGCAAAAAGCTCAAGGGCGAGAATAGGGTCATGGTTGCCCAGGTGGCAAGAGTTATTGATGGTTTGAGCGAGTGGTTAACCGGAGCGTCACAATTAAAGGTCAGTACCTGTGTCTGGAACTAAGCGTCGTGAGAAACTAACCCCCGAGTCACTGCAGAATGACCACGGTATTGTTGACCCGAATGCCCTGTTACAGACAAAAGCCATCGATCAGATCAATTTATATAAGTTGATCCAATACATTCAAGAATCGAAACTGGCTTACAAAATCGAGGGGTACGCTGCGCATGTTGAGGAGCAAACTGCACAGACCGCCGGCGTTGTGTCATCAACGCCCGTCCTGCACGACCTCGTGTCTTTCCTTGTGTCGCTCACGAACCTCGGCTCGGAAGGGCGGATTTTCTTTCAGAAGGATATGAGTTCCCCACGGCCCGATATAAAGCTTTCCTACCTTCTGCTGTCTCCAACGCATGCCTTCTCGTCCGTCGCTTCTAGTGCGCGAGCTGTCATTCTAGCTGGAGGCACGATGTCTCCATTTGAGGATTACACTGCGCATCTCTTTCCAGACCTTCCGCTAGATAAAATCACGACACTAAGCTGTGGGCATGTTATTCCCGCCTCGAATCTCTGCGTTTGGACTCTGGCTGCTCCTCGACCGGGACCTTTGGATTTTGAGTTCAGTTTTCAAAAACGTAGCGACAAGACCATGGTTCGAGAGTTAGGGATTGCAATTCTCAACATGTGCAGTGTTGTACCAGACGGCATGGTCGTGTTCTTTCCCAGCTACGGGTATCTAGATGAGGTCGTCGCCACATGGAGCGAAATGTCGTCTACTACTGGGTCCGTCAAGCAAGAGTCTATCTGGGCAAGGCTGCAAGCCAAGAAAGCACTCTTCAGAGAGTCCAAAGGTGGCTCAAGTGACGAGGTCCTCGCAAAGTACAGCGAAGCCATCCTAGGTGATCCGTCGAAGCCCAACTCCAATGGCAATGGCACAGGTGCCCTGCTCCTTAGTGTCATCGGTGGGAAAATGAGCGAAGGCATCAATTTCTCCGATCGTCTCGGCCGCTGCGTCATCATCGTGGGTCTCCCTTATCCCAATATCAATTCACCAGACTGGAAAGCGAGGATTGAGTATATCGAATCCACGACCATAAACCGTCTATTGGCAGGTGACCCCGCTCGGAATAAGACAGAAGCGGCCGCGACTGCGAAGCAAACATCGAGAGATTTCTATGAGAGCGCGTGCATGCGCGCGGTTAATCAGAGCATTGGCCGTGCTATCAGACACAAGGGTGACTATGCGGCCATCGTGCTTGTGGATCGCAGGTTTGGGACGGAGAGGATCAGGCGAAAGCTTCCCGGTTGGATACAGGGTGGCATGGTGGATGGTAGCGAGAAGGGTGGCCTAGGGCAATTGATGGGAAAGCTCGGGAGCTTTTTCAGAAGCAAGAAGAGTTAGGGATTATGATACGTCACGGATTTCTCCGTGGTCGTTGCTCCTATGGTCAGAATTTATATGTTCGTGGATTCAGGACTGCCACTTCTCACTGCCATGACAAAATTACTGGTTCTTCCAATATGAGGGTGGACCGAACTTGTCTATAATCACTGCCTGTGGAAAACAACTTATATACATCAAAGTCAACTCCCCTTTGCCATATGCGCCATATCTCATGAGCCCCAGCGTTAAAGAGAACACCGTGGTCAACTGCCGAGTGTACTTAGCCAGAGCGACAGAAGAGAAGATGCCCACATCACTTAGCCTGCCGTTCCTCGCCTCTTCGATCAAACTCGCCGCTTCCGGCGCCCAGATCCACCTCGTGTTTCCCAACGTACCGACACACCAGCTCTGTAGGTACATCAAAGTATCTCTGCCCATGTGGTTCGCAAGCTTAGCTCCGTGATGTATTAGCCGAAACAAGACCTCACCACGTCGTTGGAATATCGCAGCTTTGAGTGCCGACGAAACTTGACCGTCCACCACGAAACGTTCGCTCTCGCCGGCACCGTGCGCCACGAGCAGATTAATGTAGGGGACTGGATCATCGACCAGCAAAGCATCAGACAATTGACTGGCGCCAGGTTGGCAGCCGGAGCGGAGGAGGTAGGGTAACGTCGTGGTCAGGATATGCGGTTGGGAATTGGCAGCAGCCACAGCGATGGAGATCAAGGATTAGCCGCCGATGTGGACCTTAGTCTGCAAAGTATTAGCCATGATGCAGTCTGCCCGGATGAGGTCGGAGGTGTGGGTGGGGTGAATCGCCCGGACGGGGTCGAGATGGTTCTCCTCGAGGGCGCGACGGGCGACTTCTCTGAGCTCGGACTCGGGCAAGGGCTGGCCGGGCGGGTTGAATTGTTCCCACTGTCGGAAGAGATACAGTGCGTTATGGAAAAATCCGAATTTCATGGCGCGATAGGTGAGGTGCGGGAGATAGGACCCGGCATTCACATCAGCGCCCTCCTCTGTCGAGTTGAAGATCGGGATGTGTAACTCTAGGTCTGCGTTCATGTGCGCCAGGATCGTGTCGATGACCATATTGATCCCATCGCATTGCCGCACGTCGCACGCATAAGTCAACCCATTTACAATAGCCAAGGGCAGTGCAATAGCGTCAATAGCTACCCTTATCCTATAAACCTGTATCAGCATTTCGAGGATATCGGCGCTATTGCGCGCGATAGCGCACTCCATATGGTCCTCGCTCACAGGATGCCCGGCATCCAAAAGAAGCCGGACAACATCGATTAGCCCCTTGTTTGTGGCGATCAGCAATGCGTCGACTAAACTTACATATGCTGGCCATGCAGCCCTGTATACGCTTTGGATGTCGACTCTATGGCCCTTCTTCAGTAGATACTGGATCACCCGCATGTCGCTGCCTGTGTAGACGTCATAGAGTGGGTATATGTTGTTCTGCAGCCTGCCTTAGTGGTCGTTGAGTGAAGTAGGAAACAACAAGGTGAATACGTTGATTATGGGCTTGATCACTTTTAACGAGGCTCGTGAGCGGTGGGCTCGGTTGATAATGGGGGTTTCTTGACATTCAAATGGAATACTAATGTTGGGAAGCGCGTTATCACGGTGGCGTCGGACGTCCAGTCTCGCGATGTCTTCCAAAGACAGTGGTTTTCGAAGTGATCCGCACGTCTTAGATAGCCTCCAAACATCATGTGGGTTTGCTAACAATTGCAACATGATATACAAGACCTCATTGGGAAGTTGTGAAAGTCCGGACATTTTAGGCGTTCAAGCAAAGCTAACGAAAGTTTACTAAATTCGCATTGAGCATTGCACTGAAAAGTATTCGGGATGCATATTTCGCTTGGCGTGGGGATTGAATTTTAGACCTATTTATACTCAATACTCTGTCCTGATATTCAACAATGTTTTTGTTGGCTTTCTCCTGCCATATCTCTTTCTGGTCTTATCGACACGACTGGCAGGTCTCGTTGTTTCGTAATACATTGCCTTTGTCTGAAGGGTCAAACTAACCAAATATTCTGTCGTTCAAGAAGTCCACACAGGAGATTTCATATCAAAGGCACCGTCCTGATTGTGACTCTCAATGCAGCAAAGAACGCGGCAATTCGGTGGCATCCCTACCATGACCTAGCGGGTAAATTCGACAGGCTTATTAAGGATAACAAATAGAGAAAGCTAAAATAGGTGTGGCTGTTTAATGTATTCAACTTTTATTAGAGCTTAGCATATGTGTGATACAATTGTCCACACCTTCGCAATCATTTCTATGGCTAGTGCGAAGCGAAGTGAATATCTTCCGTAGCAATCCGCATTATACCAGGGATTCGGATAACTCAAGGTCGTCGGAAATACAATGACAGAAACACAATGCTTTCTAAAGCGCCATTCAGCCACGATGCTATCGTCCGCCGCCTCAGCGTAGCTGTTCTGGCATCCCATAACTCGCAAAGCCAAAATTTCTGAAGTAACAGGCGGAGATGACTTGGGGCATGGTCGCATTAATCGTTGCAAGATATTGTAGAGCTATGATTTAAAATACGTCTTGCATCCAATTTTCTCTTACAATTGTTGCAATCAGGCCTAAGAGCGCTTCTTCGGATCAAAGAAAATCACTTGTATAGTAATGTCATCTCTCACGTATCTTGAAAACGGGGAATCGACCAGCAAGTTTGCCGCAACCATTTCCTGGAAATTACCACCGAGCGCATTTCTCGCAAGATGCACCGCGGCGTTCTCGTCTTGCAAAGTGCTACGCTCCCGGCTGAATAGGAAGCCCGGCTCACCCTGGCGGTGCTTTGCCATCTGGAATCTTTCGTGTTGTGGTTGGGGGGTGACAGATGTACCGAACTGCTGGTTGTTCAGCTTGCCGTTAACGTCGCGAGAATCAAGCCAACAAGAAACTAGGTTCACAGCTTGTTCGTTTGAGACGCGGTCCCAAAAACCGTCGCTTGCCATGATGAGAAACGAAGAGCGCTCCTTATCAAGTTTCGTTGTCGTAACCACCGGCTCGGCGGTAAGGTATGGTGGCGTCGTGACCGCGTACTTTTCCGGCGCCAACGGTTTGAAACCATCGTACTTATTCTTGATCTCCTCCTGCGTCTCAGCGTCCCACTTCCATCGACCGTCTCCAAAAGCCCGTGAGACCATGATTCCTAGGATACGGCCATCCTTAGCGATATCGCCTTCGCCCGGATGTTCGGCATTGATCCTCGCTATCTCGACCTCATTACTTCCGGTCTGGTCGATTGAGAGAGCCGTCGCGGTCCAGTTGCCACCGGCGTCTTGTGACCCAAGGACAGCTCGAGAGTCGCCTACACAAGCAACCCTAAGCGTCCAAGTCCGCGGATCCAGAAAAGAAAGAAGGGCGCACGAGCCGGCGTAGGCCGGTGTGAGTTTTCCCATGCGCTCATGATAAGGCGCAGCATTACTGAGCGCGGCTTTTGCGGCACCTTTGACAATGTCGTCATCCAGAGCTACGAATGCTTCTTTGATAGTTCTCTCCACGGTTTCATCCGTGCTGTGATGAGGCAAGTGACTAAGAGCGTCCCCAACAACGGGAAACAGTACTTTCGTCAGGAGTGCTGCCGTTTGCGAGCCTACGTGGCCGTCATATACCGCCCAAGCAGACCAGGGCTGCTCCAACAGCCCCTCAGACGATTCAAGCTGCCCGCGGACACAGTAGTCCTCGCAAGGACTGTTTGACGCAATTTTAGTCAGGTGACAAGCCGCGACTGGACCTGACTTGTCGGTATAGATGCGGGCTTGTGAGCTGAGACGTCTCGTGATTGTATCGCTCAATGTTTCCGGGGCGAGTTCTGCAGCATGATCTGCAATAGGTCCCCCTGCAATCCTCTGCCTCGAGAGTAAGAGGACGCTACCAGCGACACCCGAGCCAAATGCGACCGTGCAGTAGAGCCAAATTAGATGTGATCTGTTAGTGGGTGCGTGGTTGTTTGCGGAGCCGCTATAGCACCTCCTGGTCCTTGCTATAAGCGACGCGTGAGTCCTTGGCATGGTAGTCAGTCGTGCGCGATGGGGGCAGCAGGAAGTGGAGCCATGTACCAAGCGCGACTGGATTGTTTTTGCGCTCGTCGAGAGCTGCAATATCTCTCTAACCTTAGCCATTTCAATAAGTGGATATGGGCTGTCAAGGAAGCGTTGAAACTTGGTAAATGTTATAGAACGTGGTGCACAAAGTGTTCAGTGTTTCATAAGGCTTAGAGGCGCTTATGTAGATACAATAGATTCCACGGAGACGAAGTCCCATTCAAAAATTCGAATAACAATCAACTAGAACAATAGACCATTCGATACTTGGGACGATTGTCTGATCTGACACGGGTTTTATGGTCCAAAAGTTTTGTGATTGAGTTTCCGATTCCAGTAACTTGGAACTTTGGAGAGCGCTAAATTTGGTGGATCAGCTTATGGACAAGGTCCCCGCAGAGCCCTGGACTCCTAGCTTGGTTATCTAACAGCATAGCCTCCATCCAAGGCTTATGTTGCAAAAGCAATGATTACAACCTCGTCCATGCGGAGTATGCTTTGAGGCAGAAGGCAGCCATGTCTAAGACTCGAAATGTCTCGGCTTTTTCTAGACACAAAAACGATACATCAATTGAAATCTGAGGCACGAGAGTTGAGCTGTTCAAAACGATCGGATGAAGTCAATATCCGGGGGCTTCATGTTGACAGAAAAGTCATCCCTGGCATTTACGATCATTTGTCAAGGTCCACGAAAACCCAGCTGATTAACCTAAGTGGATGATGCTGGAATTCGCGTCCGTCAGCTCCGTTACAACTTGCTTCATAGAGTGGGGTTCAGTTTTTTAGTGCCGCTACGCTAAGGTGTCATCGAGGCACCAACATCGAATCGCTATACAACAGACCCATCTCTTCAAGCCTTTCAAAACGATCTTCTTCGAAATTCATTAAACATGCCATGCATCATACAATAAATGATTATTCGACATCTAGCATTGGCTTCTTAAAGGTAAATACTTGTTTGGGGAATCATAAACTCTACCTCTGAAGCTCTTTGACTGATTTCGCCACCTCGGCCTTTGTAGCTGCATCCAAATGTCAACTGTTTCCGATTTCCTCTCAATTGGCCCGAGGGACAGAGGAAACTTACGCTGTCATAGGAGTAGAGTAGTCTAGGGAAAAATTCCACATTTTGTGACATTATTGTTCAATGAACGCTTCAGGGATTGGCTCGCTTCTTGCCGGCTAATTCCTCCTCTTCTCTTGGAAGGTATTTCAAGCCCAGACTCTGCCAGATTTGCTGCATGCGCGCTATGGGCGCTGTCGGTCAATGACGAGTCGCAGGATGTGAAGGGGGTGATTGGCCCAAAGATCATGTCAAAATTCCAGAGCGCGGCGGTGTCTCTCAGATATCCAACGCACAACGTCGACCTTCAGGCCTTGAATGTCGCTAACATGATACGACTCGAGGGCTTTTGATATGTTGCTAAGTATATTGGGCGCGCTAAAGCCGGGATCAGGTTGGCATAGTACCGAGTCGCGACGCCACTGGTCATCCTATAGTGTGAAAATTTACTCGTCCAAACTGCCCAAGATATAAGAGATACGAATACATATATGTAGAGCTATAACATTCGAATAAAGTTTATCAGTAAATGTCAGAAACCACACTTCCCAATTGAACCTGGCATTGAAGGTGCCTACCATGACCGCCCTAACCCTAATCCCTGTTCTGCTCTGTGGTAAGCTCCCAGCTCTCGTATAAGCTTGCGTCGAAATGTTGAAGCTCGAGTACAGAGTACAAAGGTCCGAATCACCTAGTCTTCACTTTAATGTCTGTTCCCCGATAGCCACATTACAAAAAAAAATCTACACTTCCCCCACCGAAGCCCGTGAAGCTGCCGCCACTCTCCTCTCTCCACCCAGCATCGAGAAGCCCAGAGCCGTGGTTATGGGAGGTAGCTTTGCACCGAGTTCGAGGCTATCTAGGAGAGTGTTCAAGGCGCCAACTCGGTTCCTTGGATCAGACCTCTGGGTACCAGGGCCACGGTTGCTGGCAGGTCCACCACCAGGCGAAGAGATTGCGAGACGAGTTAGAAGGGCGTTGGATGACTATTAGAGGTTGCGAGGGCGAGGTTCGGTGGATGTGAAGCGGTCCGGAGGAATTAGACTACTTGGGTGGTAAATAAGCATATTGATTGCTCTACTACCACCCAAATTTCCATCCCTGGAAAGTACGCAACACTCTTTCAGCCACCCCGCGTCCCCCAAGAGCTACCCACATTGAAGCCGTTAGCCCAGCATTATCGTAGGCTTCGATTTTGGCTCCTCTTTTGAGGAAAGGGTATATAGCTTGACCATGCAGGTAGGTGACACAAGAATTGGCGCACAGTTGAGAGGTTATAGTGGCCAGTGCGCCAATTCTTGTGTCACCCACCTGCCATGGTCCTCGCGTGCTGCCCACATTAGAGCCATTAGTCTACCATTGTCGTAGGCTTCGATTTTGGCTCCTCTTTTAAGGAAAAGTTCTGTAACTTGACTATGGCCCTTGCGTGTTGCCCACATTAAACCCGTTAGTCCAGCATTGTCGTAGGCTTCGATTTTGGCTCCTCCTTTGAAGAAAGAGTATATGGCTTGACCATGGCCCTCGCGTGCTGCCCATATTAGAGCCGTTAGTCCAGCATGATCGCAGGCTTCGATTTCGGCTCCTCTTTCAAGGAAAAGTTCTACAACTTGACAATGGCCCTTGCGTGCTGCCCATATTAGAGCCGTTAGTCCAGCATGATCGCAGGCTTCGATTTTGGCTCCTCTTTCAAGGAAAAGTTCTACAACTTGACAATGGCCCTTGCGTGCTGCCCATATTAGAGCCGTTAGTCCAGCATGATCGCAGGCTTCGATTTTGGCTCCTCTTTCAAGGAAAAGTTCTACAACTTGACAATGGCCCTTGCGTGCTGCCCACATTAGAGCCGTTAGTCCAGCATTGTCGTAAACTTCGATTTTGGCTCCTCTTTCAAGGAAAAGTTTTACAACTTGACAATGGCCCTTGCGTGCTGCCCACCTTAGAGCCGTTAGTCCAGCATTGTCGTAGGCTTCGATTTTGGCTCCTCTTTCAAGAAAAAAGTATATAACTTGACCACGGCCCTTGCGTGCTGCCCATATTAGAGCCGTTAGTCCAGCATGATCGCAGGCTTCGATTTTGGCTCCTCTTTCAAGAAAAAGTTCTATAGCTTGACCATGGCCCTCGCGTACTGCCCATATTAGAGCCGTTAGTCCAGCATGATCGCAGGCTTCGATTTTGGCTCCTCTTTCAAGGAAACGTTCTATAGCTTGACCATGGCCCTCGCGTGCTGCCCATATTAGAGCCGTTAGTCCAGCATGATCGCAGGCTTCGATTTTGGCTCCTCTTTCAAGGAAAAGTTCTACAACTTGACCATGGCCCTTGCGTGCTGCCCACATTAGAGCCGTTAGTCCAGCATTGTCGTAGGCTTCGATTTTGGCTCCTCTTTCAAGGAAAAGTTCTACAACTTGACTATGGCCCTCGCGTGCTGCCCACATCAGTGATGTCGAACCATCAATGTCTGCTATGTCGACATTGGCACTTTCATTAAGCAGTTGCTTAACAATGACGTGGTAGCCACGCTTAGCAGCCCAAATCAATGACGACGAGCGATACGTGAGATTGCTGGACTGGGTTCCACCGGAGGAGACTGATGGAGGTATCTGACCATCTAGAGCTTTTGTGGTACTAAGAGTAAGCTTTGGAGGCGATCTCTCTTCAACCTCGATATGTTCACAAAATGCCTGACAAAGAAATTCTAGGATGTTGGATGCTATGTTTACCGAGTCAATAAGGTATTCAATTAGCGATCTTGACATGACGAGTTGTTGTCCTCTTTCCCGTAGTAAATCTGTTATCAGGCTGCTTGTGTGAGCTGAGTGAACTCTACTTTTCAGCAATTGCGCGGGTAGAGTATCCAGATTTGATAATAACCGTTGAAATGTGTGGCACGCGTGGTCTGGCACCTCAAGCTTTTGGCAGAAAAGCATGTACGCAACGGCTTCGCGGATGGTCTCCTTAATATCCTTGCTGTAGTCCGCCGTGAAACTTCCGTGGCCTTTCCCACCAGCACACATGCCAAGGAGAGCAAAAATATTGTCACGTTCGTCAGAGGCTTCTGCGTTACCAAAGCGTTGTAGCAAGTCATACAGGTCTTGCCCTGAACCCCAGGGCGAACTTTCTCGTCGCTTTATCGGCATCATGTCCAAGACTGCCTGGACGTGTGAGTCGACTTGAACGCCAAGAAGACGAGGGCTAGCAAGGAAGAACCGAGAAGGAATCGAGTCTGCGCCGCAATACACCACAGCAGAGCGGGCATTAGCGACCTCTTGTAAGACCCATACCCTTCGGAACCAGACTCGCGCGAGAAGATCGTCCAAGCCCTGACGCAATCTAGTATGAAAATCAAAATAGCTCTCTGCTAGAGCTGACTGTGTCTCGAGCCATGCTTCCTCCCATCGCTGATCTTGAGGACGCCAGAATACACTTAGGGATTTTCTCTGCAGCTCGATGAGCGAGGTCATTAGAACATGCGTATTATCTGATGAGCGGCCAAGATGGAACAAGACACTGGTGGCCTTATTGTATATATCTCCCATTTGCTTGACTTGGTGATTTCGTTCATCGTTACTGCTCTGGTTGATGCAAATGGCGTCAATCCAGAGATATCGATCCTCGTCTGCATATCTGAGATCGCGCATAGTATACCACAGGTTGTGTGTGACGGCGAGTTGTGCTCCGTTTACAAGAACTACATTTGGCTTGAGCTCCGACCCCCATGCGTAAGAAAGGGCTTCATAAGGAATGCGCTCCTCATCATCCAACGTTGCGTGGATAATATCGACCTCAATATCTGATCCTGTGCCAGCTAGGAGCCTGACAATGCGGAAGGTCAGCTCGTCGAGATTAATTGATTCATATTCGTAAACATTGTCAGTCATGGTCTTTGATTTGCCCCAGAACGTCGGGGTTCAGGAATTTGTTCCGATGCCGTTTGTTGGTAGATATATTGGAATCGTCTAACTCAGAGAATGTGACAACGTTTGCCAGGCCTAAACTGAATGATGTTGATGGATATTGCGAAAGAATCTGAGAGAAGCGTTGGGGTTTGGCTAGGAGGTAGCCTTTAAGGTTGGTTGATGGACGCCGATCGCCAGCTGTGCTACCCTCGCACTGGCTGGAATGAAAGCACAGCCTCATTAGGCATATTTGAGTGCTGCAACGTCCGCTCGTCTCCAAGATCATACTTGCCTGTCGGGGCCAATTGCTACATCAAAAAGCCTAACCTAGACTATTAGAGTGATCAGAGTGCTGCACCAGGCAATCAAAGAAGCAACACGCTTTTTCTGGGTTGTTCTAACGCAAATTGCTGATGCGAAGTCGCACTTCGTTCTTTTGGCGAGATATTCAAGAAAGCAGACCAATTGCACACGCAAATGTCCCAACCACACCTCACCCGGAACTGTTATGACAGCCATCGCGTTCTGGTGTAAGCTTCGTTGTCTGACTTTCGAGCTGACTAGTCAAACCCCACCGAAAGCATGATGAGACAAATCCGGACAATAATCAAGAGAATTGACATTTATGGATTTTGATGTATTCATGTATTGAGTCGAGCTGGGCTGCCAGCTGATCTATCGAATGCCCAGATACGCTTTTGTTGGTCGCTCATTTCTAATGCAGCCTTCTTCTGTGTGAAGTGGCCGTCCTGTATGCCTTCCGCAGCGGGCTTCAGCCCAGTAGCTGCAAGCTCTATTACACCACGCCCAGTTTACTTTCAGATATCTTGTCTGTGGCCATAAGTCATCTATTTCAGGCAAGCGACAATGCCAGCAATAGCGGCGAGAGTGCCCTCGGGGTCCTTGACGCGAACGGTCTCAAGGCCAAGCTCCTTAGCAGGGTAGTCGTTACCACCGGGGAAGATGGCATCGCCAATGAACATGATCTTCTCGAGGGGAATACCGCTGGCGGCGCTGAGCTTCTTCAGACCGTAACCCTTGTCAACACCCTTCTGAGTGATGTCAATGGAGGTGGCGCCGCCCATGTTGATGGAAAGGTCGGGGAGTCTCTTCTTCAGGTCGGCCTGGATGACCTTGCGCTTGGCAAAGTCGGGGTCCCAGACGTGCTTCTCCTTGGGAGGAGCCTGCTGGCCGAGAGCAGAGAAGGTGATCTGGCTGCCACGGTCCTCGACGAGCTCACCCCAGGTCTGCTCGGGCTTAAAGCCAGTAGCCTGAAGGGAGTCTTCGAAAGCCTTGACGATGTTCTTTCGCTGCTCCTCACTGAAGAGCTCGGCGTAGACGACTTGCCACTTTCCGTCCCTGTATGTGTAGAGCTTGGTGCCAGTGGTGGGCATCAACCAGAGCTTCTCGAGGTTGGCGCGCGGGGGCAGGCGGCTCGCGACCTGCTTCTCGAACTGGGGCCAGTCACCACCAGAGATGACGGAGACGTGGGCGACGTCGAGGAGATCGGCAAGAGCCTCACCCATGGAGTCAAGCAGGGGCTGCTTGCTCTCGGCAAGGGTGCCGTCAAGATCGAAAGCGACGAGGGCGACAGGCATTGTTGCGGGGTATTATTGCGTGAATGGAGATGAAGTGAAAAGGGGGGGTATCAATTGAGTTCGTAATATCGTCGATTAATCGAGGTTCTGTGGCAGACTCGTCAATGAGCCGGGGAAAGATTCTCAAAGACTGAACACTAAATATGCGGTGAGGACACAATTTGTTGTGTTGTTCCACAGCCCCAAAAGCCAATAACTCAAGTCACTGGAGCTTTCAACGGCCAAGGCCAAATCAATAGTGTCCTTGTTCACTGAACGAACGAACGAACGACCGAACGTGGGGTTCCTTTTCAGAAGGGTCTAGGCGGGGTGAATTGAGGCTGAAGCGGGGTATTTCTTCTTGAACAGCGGCCGGTTTCAGGACATTGCTGCCACACTATATTATCGTTTGTGGCTTGCTTTTCTTATGAGATCTCATTGCTGGGCAAAGGAGAAAGGACCTGTGTGGATTGGAACTCGAGAGCCTTGAGCAGTAATCCACCCAGCTGTGACTTCGGATTGCGTCGCCCACGGAACTGAGTTTGATACCCCTGAGTTGAATTGACTTTTGGGTCCACGGAACTGAGCTCGAGGCTTCTTCCGTCCCAGGTGCTCATGAAGATCTGAATGCCAAGCCTGTCGCCAACTGAGTGTGCTACGCTCTCTCCGTCCCATTCGGTCCTCCCAGTCGCCAAATCGACCGCTGGGATCTTCGGCCTCATAAGACGGCTGCATCGCCATGTTTTCTTCATTTCGTATACTGTCATTCGTTTTAAGCGTATTTTTGAGATGTCACTTATTTACAATCGTCAGATGTTGGACCTGGGAACTAAAACTAATGTCGAGTTCCACTACCAGCCTTTTGCTTTTGAAATGGATCAAGTTGACGGCTCCGTTTTCCCCGGGCGTACCGGTGCGGACCGAGGAAACAAGGATCTCATTGTTAACTCTAACGAAACCTCGTCAAGAACGTGGAGATACGTGGGGGAACTGCGAGAATCCTGTGAACAGATCCCAAATGATCGACTGGGAAGAGGATAAGCAGCAACTTCCGTGTTTGCATGCCGTACGACCTTTTTGAGCCGCATGATCAAAGTTTCGGCCATTCTCCGGTTCCTGTATTCCCTAAACAACAGCGAGCTGTCTTCAAAACTCCCATCACGAGAGCAGAAGGTCCACCCGCTCACCTTGCGGAAACATTTGTTCTGCCTCTTTTGATAATTGCAGCGGATCTGACCTGCCGAGCTCAAGTCTTGGCTCATTTCGGCATCCCGCCCAAACATACATAAACGTCAAACTTGACTTTACTTCTTACAACTCGCTACTGTGTTCCGTGTTGGATAGCGTTTAGGACAACCGTTGCTTAGAGCCGGCTCACAACTCAGTCTTCAACAGTTCTGCACGGTACTGAAAATGGCACAAGACTCGAAACCTGACCATGAGAACCTTGCTGTTCTACAAAGGAACCGTTTACCAACACGTGCTTATTGGATTCCAGATACCGCAGTGTTGTTGAACGGTGAATGGGATTTCCACTATGCATCAAGTCCCCTGGAGGCTCCCCAGGTGGAAGATAAGTCATTAACCATCGGTGACGAGTGGACGAGGATAAACGTGCCAGGACATTGGCAACTACAGGGTCATGGGAGACCACACTACACCAACGTCATCTACCCATTCCCAGTTTGCCCACCCCATATCCCCACGGAGAACCCAACGGGAACTTATCGGCGAACGTTTAGCGTCCCACTCAGCTGGGACCGGTCCTCTCAACTTCGCCTGCGCTTTGATGGTGTGGACAGCTCTTATCATGTCTGGGTTAATGGTACTTTCGTTGGGTATTCTCAAGGTAGCAGAAATCCTGCTGAGTTTGATATCAGCTCAGTGATTAAGCGAGAAAGAGAAAATGAGCTAGTTGTTCAAGTCTACCAGTGGTGCGAGGCATCCTATATTGAGGACCAGGACCAGTGGTGGCTCTCAGGTGAGTAGCTGTCCGATGTTGGAACGATTGAAATGACAAGGGGTTGAACCAATAATCTCCAGGTATTTTTCGAGATGTGCACTTGCTTGCATTTCCAGGGGAATTCAGGATAGAGGATTTCTTCATCAAAACGGTATTAGATGCAGAATATCATGATGCTTCTGTGCAGGTCAAAGTGTCACTCTCAGAATCAACCGATCACAAACTGGCTATTACGGTACTGGAAGGCCAGGAGAACCTGGGATCACACGAGCAAACCGTACCCTCAGGAACCTCCAACATAAATCTTGAAGTGTTAATCCAAAATCCGAAGAAGTGGACAGCCGAAACTCCTTACCTCTACAATATTAGATTGTCTCTGATCTCTCCTGATGCAGAAGTTGTCCAGTCCATCGAGCAGAAGGTCGGTTTTCGCAAGGTGGAAATAAAAAAAGGGTTGATCTCGGTCAACGGGAAACCACTGCTCCTACGTGGAACTAACCGGCACGACCACCACCCCCGATTTGGCAGAGCCGTCCCACTAGACTTCATGAGAGAAGACCTGTTGCTGATGAAGCGTCACAATATCAATGCTTTGAGAACTAGCCATTATCCTGCCCATCCTCGACTATACGACATGGCTGATGAGCTGGGTTTGTGGGTCATGGACGAAGCGGATCTTGAGTGCCACGGATTCTACGATGCAGTCGCGCGGCCCCTCGACATCCCAGAAGAGATGGACTACGAAGAGCGCAAAGCCTTGACGTTCCCACAGGCCGCCAAGTACACGTCCGACAACCCAGAATGGAAGGAGGCGTACGTTGATAGGATGCGGCAACTCATCCAGCGCGATAAGAACCATCCCAGTATCATCATGTGGTCGCTAGGGAATGAGGCTTTCTACGGTCAGAACCATGTAGCAATGTATGAGTACGCCAAGTCTGTAGATCCTGAGAGACCAGTCCATTACGAAGGCGACGTCAAGGCTGCTAGCGCAGACATGTTCTCGTATATGTACCCAAACATGGAGCGACTTGCTAAGTGGGTTGAGAATGAGGGCGTCAAGGAGGACGGTACTTTTGAAAAGCCAGTGGTGCTTTGTGAATATGCTCATGCAATGGGCAATGGTCCTGGATGGCTTGAGGATTACCAGAACATGTTCAGGAAATACCCACGATTGCAAGGTGGCTACATCTGGGAGTGGGCGAACCATGGCTTGTGGAATGCTGAAGGTGGCTTCTACGGCTACGGTGGTGACTTCGGTGATGAGCCGAATGATGCGACATTCGTCATGGATGGACTTTGTAATAGCGAGCACAAGCCAACACCAGGTCTCCTCGAGCTGAAGAAGGTCTTTCAGCCTGTGAAGTTCGAGTACGAGGACGGCAAGGTCTACATTACCAACGAGTATGACTTTGTCGGCCTCGATCATCTTGTCGCAACCTACAGCATCGAGTCCCTTGGCCAGGAGTGAGTTAGTTCTACCACAATAACATGTCCGTACTAACCAGTTCTAGTACTATATTGATTGAGTCCGCAGAATTGTCATTGCCAAAGTTGGAGTCCTGGACGCGCGCTGAGCTTAGCCTGCCGGTTGACCTCGCGAAATTCAAGGACTCGTCGAATGAGATCTTCCTGACTATTGACATCAAACTGCGATCGATCACAAATTGGGCCAGCGCATCCCACGAAATTGCATGGTGGCAGCACAAAGTCTCCAGCGGCAACCCAATGACACCAGCTCGGTTGCTGACATCTAGCAAGATCAGCACTGAAGAATCGCGGACAAGGCTCGAAATCACGGGTGCGGATTGGAGTATCTCCTTCGACAAAGTCCGCGGCTACATGGCGAGCTGGACCCAAGGTGGACGATCTCTAGTAGAGATGGACCCCAAGCACAAGGCCGCCTTAATCCCCAACTTCTGGCGAGCACCGACCGACAACGATAGACCGGGCGACATAAACATCCCGGGATCACTACCCTACTGGAAGCACTACGGCGTCGACGCCCTAACATCACAACTGCGCGCCTTCTCCTGGATCGGCGGCGACGAAGACGTCAAAATCACCGCACACACCTACCTCTCACCCCCGATCCTTGATTGGGGTTACAACGTGCACGCCCTGTATACGATATCGAATTCAGGCAAGCTAACCGTAAACATCAAAGCGCAACCGGTCGGTGCCGCACCAAGACAGATCCCGCGTCTCGGCCTGAACCTGCGCCTCCCCTCACGCCTCCGCAGCGCCAAGTGGCTCGGCCTCGGGCCCGGCGAGTCGTACCCGGACAAGCGCGGCGCACAGCGGATAGGCATCTGGTCGCAACGCGTTGAGGACCTCGAGACGGCCTACGACGTGCCCCAGGAGAACGGGAATAGGCTCGAGACGCGCTGGCTGAGGATTAGCGACGAGTACGGAGCGGGGATCCAGGCGAAGCTCACGAGCGCGCCGGGCCATTTCAGCTGGACAGCTGGACGGCATGGCGCCGAGGCGCTGGAGAGGGCGAAGCATCCGTGTGATTTGGTCCCGGAGGATGCGACGCTGTTGAACCTGAGCGCGAAGGTTGCGGGTGTCGGGACCGCTGCGTGTGGGCCAGGGGTAAGAGAGGATTTGCAGGTCAAGGTTCAGGAGGACGAGTTTGAGTTTGTGCTTCAGGCTGTTCAGGCTTGAGAGGGGAGTTGCTGAAGGATTCCGCGTGCGCTAGATAGAACAATATCAAATGTATGGGCGTTATTATTGAGAGATACTCCAATTTACATTCAAACCCCATCGAAATTCAATGCCTCGTCAGAGCACACATGGAATTAGCTACATCGACCTCTTCCTCTGTTATGCTGGCACCATTGGTTTGGTTCGCCATCAACCTCTCAGTCTCGTAGATGATGCGCAGAGCCTGCTCCACGCTCGGGGACTCGGGAGCACCTAAATTTTCCTGCCACCTTTGAAATACCTTCCTCAGATGTGGACCCGTTTCCATGATATCGTACCGGTGATTGATCTGGCGCACGGATCTACCGGTGGCCAGGAGGATCATCATGGCCGTGGCCATACTGGTCAAGGGTTCAGTAAAATGCCAGCAATGCGGGAGGAGGCGGGATGGCTCACGATAGTGCACAGATCCAGGTGTCCACGAGGACGGTATGCGCGAAGCCCGTCAGAGCCAAGATGTGCGAAGTGCATGCGTCTAAGCAGACCGTGGCTCGTGTAATGATGTCGTCTCTGCTGACCCCGCGCACTTCGTGAGGCCCATTGGCGAGTAGCCAGGCCAGGTATGGCCTATATATGACGCTCTTACATGTTAGATAGCGTTGCCTCAAGAAGCCGCCACATTCGGAAGGCAGATCATGGATATCGTGTGCATTGAAGCGGAACGAATGTGGTAAGACATCACGCCATTCGTCGAGCTGATGGTCCAGTTCAGTGACGATCGCTGGGAAGCGCGAGATGTCTGTAGCGGCTCCTGAGTCGCGCGCATACAGCAGTTGATGGACTCTGTTTAGTAGGCGCCGCATGGATATGCATGCCAAGAAGTAGAGAGATGCGTGCTCCGTCTGGTCGGGGTCTGCGTGGGTCGCGTAGCTGCCTGGGAGAGAGACGGATGACTCAATCTGAGCAATTCCACTTTGCGGTAGTGCAGATAGCTCAGCTAGGTAGTCACTTGAAACATATTAGTGTGATACGACTTGATGAGTGATTCCAACTCAGCGAGTACCCCTTACCTCTCCAAAATATAGCATGCCCAGAAGATCCGTCGCAAGCACTCCTGGTTCTCGTCAGGTTCGTTTACTGGGGGGTATGAAAGCAGCAACAGGCATTTGGATGCAGTGTTGTGAATATAGTTCCACGCCTGGAGAGGACGCCGCAAGTATGCGAAGTAGAGCCTTTACTTGTCAGCAAACCTGCTGTGCTTTAGGAGAACCCGATGCCTACGCTGCGAAGAATAGTGACTGTACTGCCATGCAACTCATTTCCGAGTGGACCATGTGCATCGCCCTCAGCGCTCCGTCAAAGTACAATTCGCCCATCGCTTTACGTGCCCGGCGAAACTCAACCTCTTCGCGGTTGGCACTCGTATCCTCACTATGAACTAAACTGCCCACTACATCGCCGGCACAGCCGAGAGCCATGACAAGCTGTGCGCAACAGCTAGCTACAAGATCTGTGCTTTCGAGAAGGCCTTGCGAAACTAATAATCGAGTGTTCTCGAGCTGTGTCCGGGATAGCACGGGATACCAAAAGTTCACCGTCCTCTGGAATGAATCGAGGATGGCGTCGAGGTCTACAGGGGAAAGATATGGGTACATGGAGTTGGAGCGCATCAGAAGGCTTGGTCTGGACTGTTCTAGCTGGAATATTGAAGCGTAGTTCTGACGAATCGACGGAAAAGAATCAAAATATGACCACGATAGGATCGACTCCGTGGTAGATGTGTGCAGCGATTCGAGGATTGCATTTTCGAGGTTGGTCGTCTGACGATTTGGACGGATCTCGTCAATTGACAGGCTTCTTTGAGATAATGGGCGGGCTGATATTGGACTTTGCAATGCGACCGTGGGTGATTGCACCTGCCGCTCAAATCAGTCGCTGATCGTGTGTTGATGGAATTGTTCTCACCATAGTCAAGTTCATCTGCTGAAGCAACTCTTCAACCCTGAGGACACCCTCAAGGATGAGGTCACTCTTCCCCCGGCTAACATCAAATCAAATCAGATGGGTAGTTCAATTCATCTTTCAGTTTTGCTTTTGTTTTGGACATGTTGGTGGACTGACGTATTAGCCTCGGAGCCGTAGGAGCATTCCTGCTTGGAATTGAGACATGCGTGGCACGGCTTGTTGCCATCGCATCTGCTCGCAAGTCAGCCAAACACGGTCCTCGTGAGGCCGAAATGCAGGCGAAAACAAGCTTTCGCGGGGAAGGGAGATCCTGTACCTGATCTTCCTAGATCTGCAGACATCACACTGCGGAGCATGTCAGCCTTTGAAAAACTCCAATTCCCAGTTTGCAAGTCAGACACTTACTGCATGCGAGGTCCTGAGACGCTTCTTGGTTGGCTCGGGTGACTCTATGAAATCGTCCATTTCGTCGTCGTATGCTGTCCGGACCGAGGCGGACCGCAAGAATCAGGACTTGCTGAGGTTCAAATACGAAGCCCACACCGACAGGCTGGAGAGCATGTGGAGAAGCGGGGGTGGGTTGCCCAATGCGAAATCGTATGGGGGCGCTGGGGGGGATCCTCAAGCTTCAAGACCTCGGTCAGGGACGCAATTCGCTCGCTTCACTCCCCCATTCATCCCCTCAAACCAGCCCGTCGATTTTGTTCCGCTGTCCCCCGCATTGAGCCTGCAGCATGTTTTGTTGCCCAGGATCTGGGTCGAACCAGACCAGACCACTGTGTGCTCCCCAGTCTGCAAGTGATATGCTCGTTTGATTTGAGCCTTGGAGAATATCAGATGGTCCTTTACCATCGTTCGACATGGTCTGCTGCTTTCCCATTGGTGGCAGATCAAGGTCACAGGGTTCCAGTACCCGAACCGGCCCAGAGTACTCGCTACCAACAATAGCTTCCATGGTTGCATTCGGTTGCATTTGCTTGGAACAATACCCTTCGGATGTACATGTGCTCCAATGAGTGCTTCTCACATCCTGCGGGCGACACGGTCGGATATGGGCAAACGGCATGTATAAAGATGCAGCGTCGCAGCGCTCGTTGCCATATTTGTGGAGGTCATTCTCGGAGGGCTAGTTGTGCTACCTTTCGCCGACAGTTCTGCAACATTGGCCCCTTGAGTTCGCGATTCACCCAAGGCCTAACGTGAGGATTAACATATCACGGTCTTGTCTGTTTCGTAATCCAGTGTCACAATGACCGAAACAGAGAAAGAGGCTCGTGTCTCCAACGATCCGGCTGTTGAAGATCACACTGACACCAACACGGCCGTCCAACTGTCGCACGATGTGGAGAACACCAACTACTCCCCGTGGACATGGTCAATGATCCGCTTGTATATAGTTTTGGTCGTCCCGTACCTATGCGGTTGTCTGAATGGCTACGATGGATCTTTGATGGGCGGCCTGAACGGAATGACATCCTACCAGAAGTATTTCAACATGTAAGTGAAGAATTCACCCTTCTTGGGCGAATAACTTTTTAGCGTTGTGGCATGGACTTCTAATCTCCTCCAACAGGACTGTGGCTGGATCTAGCACCGGTATAGTCTTCGCCATGTACAACATTGGTTCAGTCGCCGCTGTCTTCATTACGGGACCAACGAATGACTACCTCGGACGCAGAATGGGTATGTTTGTGGGGGCACTTATTGTGATCGTTGGCACATGCGTACAAGCACCTTCAACATCTTACGGCCAATTCTTAGGAGGTCGTTTCGTGAGTCTCTCCCAGACGGCAAAGTGCTACTAGAAAAGATCCAATCTTGCCTAGGCTATGAGCCAACTCAGTGCTGACTTTCGGATCTCAGATTCTTGGTTTCGGTGTATCATTCTGCTGTGTTAGTGCGCCTTGCTACGTCAGTGAAATGGGTATGAAGCGATTGAGCCTGAATCTGATTTCCATTATTATCAGCTAACATTTCTCCCAACAGCCCATCCGCACTGGCGCGGTACTATCACGGGCTTATACAATTGCACATGGTATATCGGATCCATCGTCGCCAGCTGGGTCGTATACAGCTGCAGCTATCTCGCTCGTGTCGATGCGTGGCGCATACCTATCTGGTGTCAGATGATCACATCCGGTATCGTGGTTGCCGGTGTCTGGTTCCTACCTGAGTCTCCTCGATGGCTCATGGCTCACGATCGTGTCGATGAAGCAGCCCAAGTACTCGCCAAGTACCACGGCGATAATGACACTGCCCACCCAATCGTCCAGCTCCAGCTCAAGGAGATGACGCGTCAGATAAGTGTTGACGCCAGCGACAAGAAATTTTGGGATTACCACGAGCTTTGGGATACACACTCTGCCAGGAGACGTCTTATCTGCGTCCTGGGCATGGCTTGCTTCGGTCAGATCTCTGGGAACAGCTTGAGCAGCTACTACATGGCAGCTATGCTCAAGTCGGCCGGTGTCGTTGAGGAGCACAAGGTTCTGGCGCTCAACGCGATCAACCCCGTGCTGAGCTTCCTCGGTTCCATCCTGGGAGCCCGCATGACGGATGTTATTGGCCGGAGGTGAGTTTTGTATGTCATGGGCGATGAAAGTACCAATACTGACCTTGAATCTTAGACCTCTGCTCATCTACACGACCATATTCTCCTCGGTCTGCTTCGCCATCATAACGGGGACCTCGAAGATGGCGACCGACGACCCGTCGCAGGTGGCCGCGGCCAATACGACCATCGCCTTCATCTTCATCTTCGGCATAGTCTTCTCGTTCGGCTGGACGCCTCTACAGAGTATGTACATCGCCGAGACGCTGCCGACGTCGACGAGAGCCAAAGGCACCGCCGTGGGCAACTTTGCAAGCAGCGCTTCGAGCACTGTGCTCCAGTACGCCAGCGGGCCCGCCTTCGAGAACATTGGCTACTACTTCTATCTTGTCTTCGTCTTCTGGGACCTCGTCGAGGTCGGCGTCATCTACCTTTACTTCCCCGAGACCAAGGATCGTACTTTGGAGGAATTGGCTGAGGTTTTCGAGGCGCCTAATCCGGTCAAGAAGAGTTTGGAGAAGAGGAATGCAAGCACTGTCCTACACACAATGCAGCTCGAGGCAGATGAGAAGGTCGTATAAGCATTGCAGTGACCTTTCTTGCTACCTCTGGGTTGTTGGGAGGATGACTGAGGTTGAAAACATCAAATGCCAGCGCTTATTCGCACAGGTGCAACTTTTACTTGGAAACATTCAAGATCAGGCACAGGATTACGGGATTTCGAGTTCGCCAACCAGGACCTTCATTAGACGCTACATGTTATCATCGTTATTGTAATATACATGATAGTTCAACCCCGTCACAAGCCGGGTCAAATCACAGCCATATGAATCTGGAGACCAGTGTCCGTCTCCCATGTGATTGGAACATTTGGTGCGACATAGTAAATGAAGCCCTCTACGAGCTCGTGGTCCTTACCATCAGCCTTCATCGTACCCTTGCCTTGAGTGACAATCAGAACACCAGGTCCATCACTCGGCGAGAGCTCGTCCGTCTCTCCAGCCTTGAGTTCAGCCTTCAGCATATCGAACTCACTCAACTCGGGCTTGTACACAACCGTGTTACCAGTCTTACTCTTCTCGTACTTTTGACTGGGAAGGTAGACATCCTCTTTCCTGTGCGCCTTGAACGAGAGGGTTTCGGCGAACATGTCAATGCTGTTGCGCTCAGCCGGGGGACAGAAACCGCTGTTCAGAACGTTGTTAGATCTGGCCATACATTCGACAATGTTGCCCGACAGATATGCGTGGATGCCGTCGGCAGGGATATAGATGGCGTCTCCAGGGCCAAACACCATGAAATTCATGCACGCGAGAGCCACGAGATTACCGGCATCTTCGCGGCCATACTGGTCCTGCAGACGAGGTAGCAGATCCAGAATGTATGATGCCTCTCCGAGATCCGACTTCGGTACCTGTGCGAGCTCCTCTTGTGCCTCCTTCACCACCTGCAGGTCGGTCTTGAGGATCTTGCGTGTGACCTCGCGTAACGTTTCGTCGGTCCAGCTTTTGGTGTGCTCCGGCACGAACTGTTGCAGCGGCTTCAGCTTGAAAAGCGGCTCGATTTGAGCCAACGGCTTCCATCCCGCAAAGACCTCAAACTTGCCCAGCGCGACTGCAATCTCTGGTTTGTGATTGGGATCCGTGAAGTTCTCCGGGTCCTTCTTGTGCAACCTGGTGGCCAAGTCCTTGTTTGGGTGGATTTGTAGAGGCAGGGCCTTGGCAATGGAGAGAATCTGACCGCATATCAGTTGGGTTGTTGTGCAGTAAGATGGGTGGGAGTATTGCTCACCTTAGGCAGGAAAGGCAACTGTGCATCGAACTTGTCAATAACCTTTCTTCCCAGCAGCTGCTCCTTGTTGGCGTCGATTACGTCTTTCAGCAGTTCTCCCGTATCGAGCTTCCGCGCTGGGAAGTCTGGGTAGTCGCCGAACCACATCTCAGAGTAGTATTCGTCATCTTTAATATCGAAATTGATGCCGGGCGTACGGACACACAGTTGGGCTGCGAGTGATTGGCTCCCCTTCTTTCCCCATGGGTAGTTGTTGCAGGTTCCGCTCAGCTGAAATACTAAGGGCGCCATGATTGTCGTGTCTAATTTATGGGTGAAGGGTTCATTCAAGTTCTCAGTGGCTTCCTCCAAGATTGGCTCAATTGGTCCAATTTGATTGACTTCAGTTGGATACTTGAATTGAGAGCAGAGGTATTTTGTTTTCTTTAATGTTACTTTTTTACAGTTCTATGGTGTGTCACAGACTTCCATTTGGCCTTTTTGTGCACCTACCGATAACTTGTGATTACCTCAGTATGCTGTGATATATGCATGTCGTCATAGACCATCATTTTCCTCTGAGTATTGCTCCGTGAGAGCCGTTGTGCGCAGCGCGTTTTGTGGAGAGTTTGGCGGAGACCTGGGACATTTATATATGTAAAGCTGCGGCTGCTGCCATACTAACTTTGGCAACTTGACAGCTGTATCCCCAGTGAGGGGTTCCAACTTGCCTGCAGTTTGCGTCACTGAGCTGAGACTCGGGACTATGCCAAGGTAATAAGAATATCCTGACGTGACATGGCTTGATGGCCTGATGGCCACCTGAAAAGACCCACAAAAGAAACTGGAGCAATTCTATCAGAACAAAACGGCACTTTGGCTTCTGCTCTTGACAGACCCGAAGATCCTACGGGATTTTACCTCAAAAAAGAGCATGCACTGCGTAGTGCATGGTTTTCATTCTAATTAGTCTACGGTTAGGAGTTTTACTTCCGGACACGTTTGCAGGCCAACAGACTGGCGACTCCCGCGAGTTCTGCCAAACTGTCAATCTACAGACTAATGCCGAATGCCATACCCCAACAGGGCAGGCGAGCCAGGGGCCAAGCTGTCAAACTTTACGATCGTCTCGATTCAGCACAGATCTATTCCCACAAATTAACTATTTCTTCAAGTTCTTTTTTCGCTAATCCCTCATTCACTCTTGTTTTGCAGCCTCTCTAGCCTCTGGATGTCATGTAGGTGTGGTGTACAAAGAGCTTTAGGCGGGCGCTAAAACAATCTAGCGCATAGCTCAACGAGTCTGGCCCGTTGGATTGCGGCTGCGATTGCTATTTCGTTTAAGGTTCATTTAGCCATCGACGTCATTTGCGCGATTGCAGCTGAAACAAATGCGCCGTTGAGACCATATCGTGCCAACCAAGTCTTGGAAGTCGACGATTCAGATCATGGCAGGTCGAAAGGAGGGAAAGCTTGCATAGACCACTGCTACTAATAATAAGTGACTGCCCTAAGGTTAGATAGGTCCTTCACTGCATACTTTTGCTATCTTCAACTACAACTTTGACCTTCTAAACCATCGTAGTATTGGCACCCAACGCGGCGGGGTTGTGCGCACATTATGGCAGCTCCAGAAGAGACAAAAGGGCATTTCCCCTCGCTCTCTTCCCACTCAGAAGCTGCAGGGACTGGCCTTGCCGAATTTCTTCCAATCCATACAGACGTCGCAGATCCCGAGCATGTCGAGACAGCAAATCATCTTTCTGACGAGCCCACGCTATCACATGCCCTTGCAATGGATGACCACGAAGAGAAAGGTGCTGCCCAGTTGGATCATTTCGAGGAAGATGTAAAAGACTTGGGATGGTTCAAAAAGAAGGAAGACATGCCAGGGCCGCTTGTGGGCGGTCTAGACAACGAAGAGTTATGGCTTCTCATCCGACGATTCAACAAGCAGATGTACCATGTAAAGGAGGTCACCAGCGCTGTTCCCGGAAATCTCGACCTCAATATCGCAGACGAGGAAGAGTTCTCGCCCGACAAGCTGAGGGCCAACGTTGAGAGGCTCTATATGACTGTTCTCATTAGCCTATTAGGAGCTACCAAGCATATAGCGCGTCTTCGGTCATGGCGTGAGACGAGGCGAACGACTGCTTTTTGCGCGGTGCGTCCCTTTATTACGAGCTGGCATGCGTTGATTGGCTAATGTTTTATTGCAGGTCTACACGGTCGCATGGCTATTTGATTTCATTGTACCATTGCTCGTTGTAACGTTCATCACCTTGATCGTGTATCCGCCCTCTAGAGACGTCATGTTCCCACCGGCGCCTATCGCCTTGGTGGACAACAAGTCTGGCGGCGTACAGAAACCAAAGTCTGGTGTGCTGGGCAGTCACGATTCCGCGACGGGTGCTCCCGAAAACCACAAAGGTGAAGCGGTTGAACAGGAAGCCAGCAACTTTTTCAATGGCATTACCTCTGTCGTTATCACCAGTGCAACTGGCAAGCACCCACAAGGCGACCCTGACTCCGATGGCAAAGATCCCGGGGAACAAGTGCCGGACCCCAGTGGAGCTGCTCTGAAGGCAGTAGACGCAAAAGATATTGCCGCAGGTGGGAAGCCATCTAAGCATCATGACAAGACGAAAGTCCCTATGGAAACCACCGTTTGGACCAAGATGAGACCCGTCATGCATGGTGAGCGCATGTACATATATATCATGACATGCTGCTAACAACACATAGGTGTCGCCGACGTATCTGATACCTGGGAACGATTCAGCAATGCCCTGTCACCAACTCCACCATTTCCCCACGACATCTACCGCTTGAGACTTGCAGCAGTTATTGCGCCACTCTTTTTTGTTTCTCTTTTCGTCACCTCCTACATGTTCATGAAGGGCCTTACATTTGGCGTAGGCTTTGGCTTCTTCGGTGATCCAGTCATCACGCGTGGTATCGTACTGCTAAACCGCAAGTTCCCTCACTGGCAGAAGCTTCTGGAACTTCGCAACACCATTCTCAAGGGGGTACCTACCAATGCACAGCTTACTCTAACACTTCTTCGTATCGGAGAGGCGAACAAGGCGCCACTACCACCGGCACCTCGTACCATGGAAGCACCACCGGATCGCCCGGCTGCCGTGACCGAAGACGAGCTCCGCGCAACTGGAGCAGACTATCCTCTGAACGCTACCAATGAAGAACTCGACGAGGCTATCCAACACGACCCCACAGTGAAGCATGAAACAGATGGCCAAGACATTGACGATGCAAAGAGTCCCAAACATGGACGTAAAGGTAGTAAGGTTGTCAATTTCTTTAAGGGCATGACCAAAGGTGGCGTTAAGACGACCATGGGTCTCGACAAGGTGCGCGCCAAGGCTGGCTCCCACCATGCCAAGGACAGACTGGGTGCGGCTCCCAAGCCTAGCGAGCAGTTGCTGTCCGGGCCAGTCTTTTTCAAGGGCCGCCACAACGGATTGAAAGGACACATATACATTTCGACGAAAGCTACTATCCCTGCTGTCGCTTTCAGTACCGATAGTACCATCGAAAGAATTGGTACCGAAGACAGAGAAGACCTGCACCCACTCTGGAGCATACCTGTAGCCGACATCAAGGAACTGAAGAAGACTGGAGGCTATGGCTGGAAGGCAAAGATTGTTGTGGGTTGGTCTCTTGGTAGAGAAGTTGCCGATGCATTGGAGATTGTGGACAGAACTGGAAAGATGTTCAAGATTACCGCACTACCGTTGAGAGATGAGTTGTTCAACCGTCTTATTGCTATGGGTGGGCAGAAATGGGAGGCATGGTGAGGAACACCATAACGTACATATGATTTCTTGTGTTGACCGACTGTTAGCTCTAGGTATTGGACTGTGGTGAATGAGCACCGATGTACGAAAATGTATGATAACGTAGAAACAAAGGTATACAAGAACACAAATATTATAATATGAGCACGAAATCTTTCTTACTTCGCAACAAGTCTGCTCAGACATTATCGCTATAGCTTTGGTGATTTAATAGGAACCGTACGACTCCTACGGTATGATGTATTTCGAGAAGGCACAGATTCTTGATTAGTGTACAAATGGTCACATACTTGAAGAACAATGGTCGGGTTTTCTGGCTCTCATCAAAGAGAGAACAATTTCTCAATTCCAAACATCATAAGTAACTAGATGATCATCCTGCGCTCCGATATTTTCGTGTGCTCAAGGCCTCGCCTCATAAGTATTCCTGTTACTTGTTATTCTGCTCAACAGCATGATTCTAGCCTTCAACATAGGTCCATGACTACACCTGCTGCTCAGGAGCAACATCGTCGACATTGACCCTAGGGCAGGCCGGACTGCTCCGTACTAGTTGGCCTTCTCGGGAACATGTGTCCAGCCCTCGGTGCCAATGACTGGTCCGCGCTTGTCGGCCTGTTCGGGGACATGTGTCCAGCCCTCGGCGCCGATGACTGTTCCGCGCTTGTTCGCCTTCTCGGGAACATGTGTCCAGCCCTCGGCGCCGATCACTCCACGCTTGTTGGCCTTCTCGGGAACATGTGTCCAGCCCTCGGTGCCAATGACTGATCCGCGCTTGTTGGCCTGTTCGGGGACATGTGTCCAGCCCTCGGCGCCGATGACTGTTCCGCGCTTGTTGGCTTTCTCAGGAACATGTGTCCAGCCCTCGGTGCCAATGACTGGTCCGCGCTTGTTCGCCTTCTCGGGAACATGTGTCCAGCCCTCGGCGCCGATCACTCCACGCTTTTTAGCATTTGTCCAGGTGTCAGGAACGTGAGTCCAGAGCTCGGGTCCAACGGCTGCGGCGTCTACTTCGCGCTTATTGGCCTCCTCGGGAACATGTGTCCAGCCATTGGTGCCAATCGCTGCACCGGCTGCTTCGCGCTTCTGCTCACCAGAGGAGCGCACGTCGGTCCAGGTAGGTGTATGAGTCCAGGGCTGCACGGTCGGTGCAGGAACTGCAGTGGTGGACGTGGAACTTGCTGCTGGAATTTGGTTCAATTATCATTTCTGAAGATTATGATATCTCATTTTTACCTCTTATAGCAAGCCCATGGGCTCCGATGGCCAGCATGGCAGTCATGTACAGAATCTTTGAGCACTGCATCTTGAAGTATGTTTAAGCGATGGCTTTGAATAAAAAATCTCTCAAGGATTATAATAAAGGGGCTGAAGATTACAGACGTGATGGAGGTTGTGGTCTTGAGTCTATCGATTGAATGGTGCCAGGGGGCAAGTCTGCTTTATATATACACGCTATAGCATCAATCCTCGGTCTTCTCTTACTCGCAGAGTAACAAATTATCGTGACTGGCTTCAGCAACCTAGGTCAAAGAGACGTCCCTACACACACAACTGTACAACATACCAATATGTTTCTTCACCGACTCTACTCTGCTCTCGTTCTTGTCGTCTTGCACAGATGCTGAACCCTGTATTTACTGCTGTAGCTGTGAGTGGTTGAGCCTTCATGCAAGCATTCGCGCCATTGTCCTGCTTTTTGACCTTGACATATGTACGGGACTTATGTCTGCAGATATTTGCCACTGCAAGGCGTGACTTACGTCGTATGAATGTATGTCGACTATCACTTGTGAATGCCTTGTGCTATAGCAATCGAGATGAATCATTTCCCGTAGCACAACCTCCAAGCTGTCCTTGGAGCCAAAGCATGTGACAGGTAAACGCCGGATACCAGCCTAGTCGTAAACAAACTATAGAATGGGAGCTTTGCTGCGAGGAACTTTTGGTCAAGGGTCGTCTGATAGGATAATCACTATTGAGTTTAAGCTGTACTATATCCACTTGAAGATGCAATGGTATAATCCTTGCATCTGCTGCACCTACGGTTTGATCTTTCAGCTCATGCGGCTATTATACCGTAAGGAATGGATAAGCGGTACAAACTTTTTAATGCAGCCAAGACGTCGACAGACGGGATAGGTACTGTGCCATGCACAGTCACACCAGTGTCAGATGTCCTGTAGTGTGTCAATACATCCGTACAAACATAACTCGAACGTTCATACGGGTGCTGACATTTGAGATCTCAGTCTATACTTTTTTTTTGTTCTCGTGATTATCTACGAGATCAAGCTCTTCCGTTCATGTTTTTGAAATGTCCCGGTAGTTTAATTTTACTCTTTGAACTCTTTAGCATGTTCAGCTTCTTAAACCTACGATCTATTCCTTGGGATAGGCAATCTACGCTCATGGGTTCAATGAATTCTTACCACAAAGAAGACAGGACTGATTCGTCAAGCTCTCGCGACGAGGAGATGGAAGAGGGCGAATCATTTCTGGAACCACACCAACAAGTGAGAAGAACATCGAGATTTCAGGTCGTTCAACGCTACTTTCTCTCAACGTCTCTTCATGGCCTTCTTCTGAGCGCAAACGTTGTCTTTTTCGTTCTATACTCTACAGGGTGGCTAGCAGGGAGGAACATGCCAGACCCACAGCATGCGAATAGTACGTCTTTCCACACCCAAACAATCAAGTTATAACGTGAATGATACTCATATCGAACCCAGCTGTGTTCCGGGACGTCATACAATATGAAGAGCGTCATTTCGACTACACCTCCACCTACAAAGGCGATGGATCCTTGAACACCAACAAAAAGACTCTCAATTTAAATGGCCCACCGCGACCGGAATACGAAAACGCCTGGCACCGATTGATGGCATGTAAGTGTGCCTTTCTTCCACACTCCGGCCTTTCTGTTGTCTTACGCGGCGTTATATCTCTCAGACCAGAGCTTTCGAGTAAGTGAAGAAGAGTTGGGTCAATATGCCGGACAAAAGAGTCTCGTGAAACTCTCCGACGACAGCGGTTACTACATGGGAGTGTCAGTGCAACATGCCCTCCACTGTGTCCAAAGGCTCCACCATTATGTCTATCGTGATCACTATCATCCCAATCTCTCTGAAACAGATAGTTTCGCACTTAAAGTGCACACAGGTATGTGCTACCAGAAGATTTATCCTTTGCGAAAGACCTTACTAAAAGAGTTCTAGATCATTGCTTGGATTGGCTTAGGCAGTATGTTCAGTGCAATGCCGACACGACCCTAATACCCATTCGATGGGCAGAACAGTAACGCGTCACCTGATCAGCTAAGAAAGAAGAGCAACTTTGATTCTAATTCTAATTCGTGCCGTAGTACCCCGACGCCGGTCGTGAAGGATTGGGGAAAGAGAACTTGTGTGTCCTGGGAACCAATCATGGAGTTCATGGCAGCTCGCTCGTTTGATCCCTTCGAGCCTGGTCTCCTCGTGCATCCCATCTTCGGTACGTCTTCAAGAAGATACATTGGTGCAATTGCTACGGATTGTAATTAACCACGATTTTGTCGCAGGAGATCCCTATAATACTACAATCTCAAATGTTGGGTCGACGGTGCTTCCTGATGGATATTCGGGTTTACTAGGAGGTGAGCGGGGACCAACTCAGTAGCTTCAACGACGTAGGACATGGCTTTTCGATTTTGTGATCAGATTAACTTAGTTACTTTGAAATAACATACTGTGGTGCCTTTCAGTTCGTTCTTAGGGGAATGGTCGCTTCTACGAGTGATCATTTTCATCGTAGTCTTCACACCGCATCGGATCATGCTTATGCTAGGCAGAGGAGACGGCCTAAACAAGTGCAGCCGCTGAGACACCCGCGTGGTAATGCAATTGGAGTATGTAAATTATCTATGAAGCAGTGGGCACAAACTTCGATGCACGCCAGATCTATCGCCTATTGGCTACCTACTATCACGACACACCATGAAGACAACATGGAAACAACAAATTGCCAAAGTTCAGTGAGAGGCCCAGAACTGTGGAGAAGAACCTTGTTACCATTCGTAATGCACGCTAAGATGCACGATTCTGATTGAGGGCCGGTGCGCCCACATCAATTTTGAGTTCACTACCTATGTTCCAGCTGAGTCCTAGTCTAGGTGTGAAAGTAAGCACTTAAACTCATATACTGTGCGGCAACACGACGGTCGGTAGTTCGATGGAATATCTTGTACGACCATAAATTCAGCTATATCGTAAGTATAGTATCGCAGGAGGCTAAGGTAGACCTAACGCATGCATTACTGCATCTATTACCATTCTAACCCGATGGTGTTATTCATGCATTCTTGCATTCTCTCAAAAGCAATACGGAGAACTAGTAATTTGCAATTGAGCTCCTTCTCTAACTTCGATGGGGCTATCATGTTGTATCCGAGATGAAGTAAGAGCTTGGCTGCTCAATTATGTGCGCTTGACTGTAAAACTTACCATGAAATGACACCTTTACATGCGCCTATACTAGACCGGAACCTAAATCAGCCACCGTCTAGTATAAGATGCGGCAATTCTCATAAGGCACGTGACGAGATACGATCGGTCACTCGCCGGATCTTAATGGTGCAATTTGCGGAATACCGCAGCAGGTTGATGCATTAGTTGATTTGTGCACAAAATCGAAGCGCGCAAAACGTAACGATGAGATGTCAACATGCGGCCACCTTCAAACAGCTATCCGAACCCAAGAGGGTCTTTACTTCGTGACACATTAATCATTAATTGACGTAATATGATATAGGCGGTGTGTCCCGTCTTGGCGGCGTGGCTTATATGCAAGAAGGTCTCAGGTGTACCTACGTGGCCAATGGCTCCCTTGGACTTCTAGATTTCACCTAGATAGATAGAACGTAGAAAGTCAAGAGTGTGATACGTAGCCTCCGGCAAGGACGGTCCTTATGCTTCTAGACCGCCATGAAGGGCTGTACAAGTTCATCACGCCATGTACTAACATTGACCAAACTTCATTTGTTATGTTTAACCTCCTCACCAAAGTCTTGGCATTTTCCTATATCCCTGTTGTGCGTGGTAACCTCAATCTATAGAGCTTTAGTAGGTCAACAGAAATGCGCCGAATGTGTGACAAATACCATGAGCCTATTAGCGTTACCATGTCGTACGACCTCTGTCTGCGAAGTGCACCCCGATATGCACGTCCAACTACCAGTGGAAATACAGCATTGTCATTTGAAATGAGCGGATTGGTGCTACTTATGCCGAACAGCTTCCGTGTGAGCATCCAGTGAAACTGACCGGTCTCAGACAAGGCTGATGATCTCATTTTGGCTTCAATGATTTGTTTTGAATCCCGAAAACCTCTGTATCTGTCTACATGAAGTTTTGCATTACTCAACAAAACAAAGATTTGGTCAATGCAGCAGTCAATTTGACTCGAAGATTTTGCTATATTCTCGTGGTTCCACTCTGTTTATTCTATCATCATGACTTCCGTTGCCTACCACAACGACTATGACCATATAAGAATGGAATCAACTATGGATCCATTTTCGGACAAGCAAGAGAACAGTGCAGAGACAACTTCTGTAACGAAAGTGCGCTTATTACCTGCAGCCATCCATTTTCTGGTCTGTTCTCTGGCTCTCTGGGCTGTAGTGACTCAAGTGCTACGATACGGCAGTGAGTCTTGCACAATCATTAAGGAGATTGACTCGCCTACGACAACTTCTCAGAAGCCCTCAACATACAAACCCGATGTGTACCGCCCCAAAACACTGGCGCCAGGTGTCAGTTCCTGTTACTGTGGGACCACGATCCGGGAAGCAATGTCTCTCGGGTGTATATACGATTCATTGTCGGTAGCTTGGTTGCCATCTTATTGCAGGGACGAGCAGCTGACAGTGGAGTTTGAGCATGCCGGGCCAGGTATCGATGGTGCCTGGAGCTACTTCCGTGACAGGAAAGGCCTCATATCGATCAACAAGACCGAGATGGCCGCTTTGGCTGAACTTGGCGGCACTTTCTGGGCGTCTCAGGACTGGCATATTGCTCATTGTCTGTTTTATTGGCAGAAATATGTCCGCATGAGGGACACCGGTGCTGTCATGGAAGCCTTCTTTGATTCGCTTCACCATGCTAAGCATTGCACTCGCTTGATCAGGAACCCTGCCCCTGGTCCCTTTGTCCTTATTGAGGTTGATCCAAGACTGAATTCAAGCAGTACAGAACTCTGAGGAGAATTGGGGGAGAGGACATGGCCGGTAAGAAAAGATACCTTTATCATATTCTTCGCCAGTGTGACCAGGCTTGCAAGGGCGACTTCAATAAATTTATTGGGGCGTGCCACCATCTTCCATACAAAAGACTACCCAAATAAGTTTAATCTATCTTTTCGTCTCACCTGTGTGGATTGATGTATAATACCACACTTTGCCTCTCTAATTTGGGCCCGTAATTACAAGCAGATCTGAACGGCTCGCTCAATGTCGTTCCCGTCTATTTCGTAGCTACCTTGTTAGCCACATGCCACACCTCGATGCCTTTCCGCCGAGGCAAAGTTCGCAAAAGCGGAATGGTCCTCGCAAAATCGTCCGTCTCGCGATACGCGAGGTGTGCATCGACACTGTCCCATCCCAAAACCAGTACTAGAACCCGCGACTTTGCACCGTCGAATTCTATGTCTTCCAACGCAAAGCCGTGTGCCACCTCTCCGCTGAAGCCCTTCGGGTTGATCTTCTTGCTCTCGTCAAGGAACTCTTGAGCCTGGGCCAGGACTTCCTGCTGCTGCTCCAGATCGAGATCAGCAGGGAAGTACGCATGAATAACCTCAGCGACTGCCGTTTTGCCACGCCCGCCATCATTGCTGAGGACAGTAGGTGGGAAGGGAACGAATGGCACGTGATAGATAGAAGGCACGCCTTGGATGACCCCGCCTATATCCTCGTTGAAGGGGCCGTAGGCTGGTGTCTGCATGAATTTCTCGTGCGCCGATAGGGCTTCCCAGTCGATGAAGAGTGCGATATACTCTGAGTTCTCATGTCTGGTCGAATGGCGCACGCACAGAGACCCGGGCTGCTCGAGGACTACCGAGCTGACCTTTTTCGCAGCTACGTCTGGGTCGACGCCGGCCTTGAGGTGGAGGGAGGCGATTTCCGTGACAGCGGACATTGTATTTTGTTCGTGTTGTGATAACTGTTCAGTTGAATATACAAGTGCTGTAGCAAGGTTTCGCAGACAAGCGACCGATTGAGACGAGTATTAAATTGAAGGGCATCGTTCGCTCATAACTTTGCGAATTGATGACAAATATCATTTGTTTCTAAGCTATTCGGTAAAGTGTCACTCAATTTGCCCCGCTCCGTCCCGCTTCCTGATTTCGGCGCCGAATAATGAACCAAGACTTGCTGCATCACCGAAGAATATCAACGACGATGGCCCTTGACTTGTCAATTGCGGGGCAGTCGATCGTCTGTTTCGCTTCAGAGTATGTGGCAACGCGATTCAAGAGTAAATAGCAAAGATCGCACCAATGGTCTTCTTGGGATGTGCCGAAAGCTCTCAGCATGTTGACTTAGTAGACATTAACTTCACAGGTTGTAAGTCACGTCTAGACTAGAATATACTAGTTCTGAAATGAAGAGTTGTTGTTCCGCCCAGGACATTTAGAATAATCATGTTAATCTAGCCTAGCTAAGCAAGAGAAACCGAAGTTTGGAACGTGAACATGAATAATAGTTTCTAATCGCGGCACTTTTTCGTTGGTACTTGGTTAACTTATATGTTACGAGAGAAGCCCATCTCTATCAGTATAGAAATACATGCCTTTGCCTTTTCTCTCTCTCTTCCTTTTTCTCTTTGACTATAATCTGGCGCTATAAACATAGGCACAGGGTTTGATATACTTGGAACAAATTCAAATATCGTACTAGCAGTACATTCTGGCCAATAAATCGCAGTGATGTTTGAATTTGCTTGCAAACTAAGATTAAAGCAAGAACTGCGCTCTATGGAGCGTCCTTGACGCCTTTCGACACACTATTACGGTGGTGCACTCACATTCCCTATGGCTACGCCGCCAACTTAGAATAAACATCACGAAATTTCTTGTTGTGTGGATCCGCCGACTATCAGTAGAATCGCTCAAGTTCATTTAAGAGAAATAGGAACATTGAAGATGAAGTTTGCAGGTCTAATATGGATGTTTCGCAGTTGCACGTGAAGCCAGTCTAACGTACTCGGTGCCGTGGGGGAGTGGCATGTAATCCCCGTACCAAAATCCACGTAAACACAGGCGCAGAGCATTGTATGAAGATCGAACTAACAGAAATCTTTCAAATCAATATTAAACGTGTAGTACTGCTCAATAAACCCGTCAATGAAGGTGAAGCTGACAAAAGTTTGTACAGCAGGTGTTTTGGCTCGGGAGGAGGTGTCTTACATTCAACCCAGCACCTACAGTAGGTATATTAGGTCCCGTAGGATCACTTCGAGGCTACTGTATATCAGTGGGGCCGCTACCAAGCATATATTAGTTACTTTGTATAGTTTTCGAGTACAGCAGAAGAGTCTCTTCCTGTCACGGCCAAGTTACTGCGGTTTGTGGTCATTTGATCAGGTGGTCGGTGCATCTCTAGTATGTTTTTTAGATAGCTAATCTTAGCTAGGTTAGGTTAGTAAGCTGCGACTGGAAAGCTTTCCCTCTCCAGCGCGACAACCAGTAAACTTGCTTCCCTCACACTTCCCCGTCCCTTCGCTCACTCTAAGCATCAATACTTCTCACAAACGCGGTCGATTGATTGCATTTATATCATCATCCGATATTCTCTCTCGCCGCAACATCGTTTGGATCCATGCAAAGTCGTCATGGTGATCCTGCCGAATAGTCCTTTCTTGCAACGATTTTATTGACTTTCAACAGTGATATTTTCTGTTATCAATAGCCGGCATAGGGCCACCCTGTCAAGATTCTGCTGTGCGTTGTATGATGGCTCATTCACTAGGTAAATTAACGAACCAAACCCTAGTATGTAGATATCAGTGTTCTACCGTCACGATTTGCTCAGACGGATTTCCCGGGGGGGATTTATTTTGCCCTCGAAGTTTCTAGTTTGTGTTGTAGTACGGGCGCAAGGCTATCGCAGATGACATGTTCAGAGTACATATCGGCATTGTTGAACAAGACGTAGCAGGCTAGAATTATCCCCAGTGTTTATCGCTCACGATAGGTTTTCTTTTTATTTCCTGTCTTTCTCCTTCAAGACATCCCATTCATCATCCTACTTATTTTCGCTTGGCTATCGGCAACTTGCTGGGCCATTGCGAGCATCCGGATGGAGTTTGGTTAACTTTGTAATCTAGAGTACCTGTGAAGAGATGATGAAAAGGCCCAAGGGTAGAACCCCCGCCCAAGCAGCTAGCATGGCCAATGTGGTAAGTGGCACAAGACCGCACCGACAGCGTAGGGCTTCATGTGCATCCAGGCATACTTGGAAACAGACGCAGTGAGGCGGCGATGTTGAATGGTTTACCTTCCAGGTTGCTTGCAACAGCTGCCATAATAACAGCGGCCAACGTGTCGTTAACATCGGTGTAATCAGGAATCCCTCAGAATAGCTGAGGAACCACACCATTGAACAATACTCTACTGAGGATCAATACACACATTTGATCAGTATCATGACCCTACAGAGTAGTGACGCCCATCAAGCTGTGCCCAACTAAGTGGCCCCTTTGGTGAACCCATTCGGTACCAGTTTCATTTGGGGCAGCTCTCAGCGGCGTAAATGCGAAGCAAGAGAAGAATTAGGTTATATTCCGTGTTTTCAGGCGAGAACATGATTTAATTGGTAATTTTTCTTATCAATTCCACTCTTTTGTTATCTCAACTTGAATCTGTGTCAGTGAACACGCACATGCATAGTTCGTATTTATTTATTAGTTATCGCTCGTTTTATCTGTTTCTCATTTTCATAACACACATTAATGGCCCTTCAAGTCTGTTATATCAAATACTTATTCGCGTTGTTCCATGTTATGGTATCATAGGCCACCATCGTTACGTCATGATCGCTACTATTGTAGCCGCCTAAGCCACTTAGATATATATGTATATATAACCGCAAATCCACAGATCCGTAGGTGACTTCCTTCTGAACTGTCTTTTATATACAATAATTCAAACCTTATACACTACGTACCGTCCCATTACTGCTTAAAACGTTCGGATTCCCGGATCTCTAAGTCTCTCACTAGTGATAAATTTAGAACACATTGATCCGAACAACACGACTCAAAGCTTCATGAGTTTTCCAAGACATACGGACCGGCTTTTAAGCTTTCTCAAAGGTGCCTATAATCGAACCTTCCTTTTTAGGGTTGACTCGCAGAACAATCAGTGTCACATCTACTTAAGCTTACGTTAAAAATGTTTATATCAAGCTTTGATGTATGGTTCTAATTTCCAAGCTCATAGAGACGCTGACATTTTCGACTCCGATGAAAACAATCAATAAATAGCTCAAGAAGCTTCCCATAAAAGATTTCAGGCCTTTTGAAAATTGACAAGGATCTTGAATAGGTAGTCTAGTGACTGCTCTCACTACCTCAACTTCTAACAAGCCAACCTATTGAATAGATAGCGATGTTTCAAGTAAGTAGGCTACAATTATCGCCGAGCTTCTCGTTCAAGAGGCCGATTTTAAGTTTATAAATCCTGAATATATACAACGGTACTAGCCTTCTTCCCACCTTAAACCCAAGAAATTGTGCATACAGGCCCAACATTAGACAAATACGATCTCAGCATTCTATGTATGAATGCACATAATCCGCGGGCGCATAATATTTAATTTATTATCAATTGTACCGCGCGTGAACTTTTGTGCGTGCCGCCTACCTTCTAAATGCCACAAATCTAGCGAGTAGGATCAGCCCCGATGAACGAGTAGGATGTGGCCATATGTAACAACCGTGGATTCTGTCAGATTGCCTTCACAGCAATGGAAACATATAAGGCGCTAATGCAAGCCATACGCAGAAGCTGGTTGTCGTGGCTTTTTGCCATACATACAGTCGACGTTTTTGTCAGACACTGCCTTGAAGTAGGGAATAGATTGTCTCCACCAATAGCCAGAAAAGGCAATTGCAGATCCACAACCAACACGCCTTAAACTGCATATCATTCGCCAATTTGGTTTCTATAACAGCGATTTGTTGTCTTCAACCATGTTCGTGGAATGTTGGCAAGATTGTACTAGCCGGATCTAACCCCAGGTCTTTTTTCGGGGAACATGTGGACATCTACAAACTCCGTGGGCCACAAATAACTCAGGTATATAAGACCGACCTCTCTCTTGAAAACATCGCAGAGTTGAGTCTATAAATCGATTTTCTTCATACATCCTTTCGAAAAAAAAAATTGCAGCCTCCGTTTCCATCACCCACAGCAACCTGGCACAATGATACTTATCCATCCATCTCCCCATCACGTCCCGAGCTTAGTGCAGCAGGAAAGACAGTTGTGATTACTGGAGCGGTGAGTCTGACCGATTTTTATGCGTTGCTGTCTACAATCTAATGATGCCGCCGCTCACAGGGTAGTGGCATTGGCCGGGAAACGGCAATTGCATATGCCACTGCCGGGGCCGCAAGCATAGTGTTGCTAGGCCGTACCAAATGCAACTTTACAACAAACCGCCTCGCTTCTTCCAGGCCATGTGTCGAAGAAGGTGTTCTCTGTGGATGTTACTGAGAAAGATGCACTTCAGCGTGTGGCATCGGCAATAGGAAGCTGGGATGTGCTGATTCTTGCTGCTGGTCACGTTTCGGATCCCTCGCCGATCGCTTCCGCAAGCACTGATTCCTGGTGGCAAGACTTCGAGGTAAAAGCACACATGCGCTATAAATCTTGCTCTGGATTTCTCACACGCTCACTATCGCCCAGACAAACGTCAAAGCTACATTCCTTGGTATTATGGTCTTCTTGCCTACTAAGAACGAATCAAACGCAACCGTCTTAGCACTCACAAGTGGTGCTGTAGCGCTGCCGAGCTCGCTTCAGACGGGACTATCTGCCTATGCTTCATCAAAGCTTGCACAGATTAAGCTGATCGATTTCCTGGCTTCAGAGTAACCTACCGTCTTTGCGGCCACTGTTCACCCCGGCATGATTGTGACAACCATATTCAAGAAGAGCGGCGCAAATGCTAATGCTTTGCCCATAGACCAAGGTTAGTCAACAGCTTTTTTTCTTCTGATTCTCATTATATACGTACGATAATTTGAACACTATGCTGCTATCTAAAACAACGCAGTTCAACTTCCGGCCCACTTTCTAGTTTGGATGTCTAGCTCAGAGGCTACTTTTCTGAAGGGACGTTCAGTCTGGGCTAATTGGGACGTGGATGAGTTGAAAGCCCAGGCCAAGGAAATAAAGTCGGGAGTGCAGATGACAGCAGGAATCAACGGATGGCCGTATCATGCGGATAGTTAAGTTTTTCGTTACTAGGCAAATTTCAGTTAGAAGCCTGTCGTTGTGAAACGCTACACTATGATCAAATCCTCGCCTTCTCGCAATTGATGAGAAAGCCCGCTCGAATTTCAGCTCAAAGTCTGAAGTTATGCGTTCTTGCCTCAATTGACTTTGCGAAACGGGACCATCGAATCTCAAGTCTTCGTTACCAGGGGTAACCAGACTATTGTATACTCGAACCACTGACGCTGTATGTGTATGGTACGGAGTGCACATACTAGCAATTAATCTTTTGGTCATATGTCAGTCTGAAAGCGGTTCACGATGAATACCGTCCCAAAGTTTGCATGAGGTGTCAGATTCTAAGGCAGGGGCGTGGTGAGTGGCCCGATGCGGCGGTGGTAATTTATTATTGTATACTACACCAGGGGTTCAATCCCACGTTTCGGAGCTACAATCCTAAGTGATGTATATAAAAGCTTACGTCTGGACTAGTACAAGTAATTCTAAATGGACTTCTTGATATCATAGTACAGAATAGCCACCGAAATCATCAAGTCGGCAAATGCTTCAAATAAGAGGCTAATAGCATGATACAGAATTATACAGGGTAGTATAGTCAAACCGGCTGATTTCCATGTCTACGGGACTTTGATAAACTTTTGTGTCAATGGCTTGACTCTGGTTAACGGTTCTGGTAGTAGTCGGCCCATGATGCAGATCTTATCTCGATTCATATAACACCAGCCCTTAATTTTTCAATCCGGCGGCATACTGTCCAATCGCTGGTCTTTCTCTGTCTGTTTGTTTTGCATTTTCCATTGCTCCACCGGCAGGCCGGCGTTGCCTTACATGATGAGCCAACCAGATGAGATCGAATAACCACGCAACGATCTTCCTCCACAGATACTTTTCATGCGAGATGACCAAGCTCAGATCATGGGGTACGCTCATGAGTTCAGATGATAGAGGAAGCCCAAGTCTTTATTGAGAGCGCCTACATATAATATTGGTTCTGGCAAATCGGTACTGAAAGTACCTGGCATTTCGAAATCTTTGACCGCTGAAGCTAAACCCAGTCCGGCTGGATTGAGTCTCCACACTCCATGTTTTGTTTGGTTCTTTTCGCAACATTTACTAGACACATCAACATCATAGTTCGTACGTGATGGAATATGCCGGCGTTGATTTCGACATTGTAGGTAGAGGGCTGGTAGGTCTTGTGATAGCAGGTCTTATGCTAGCAGCCAGACAATCCAAATATAGCGGCAGTGAGGTTTTCGTGCTTGAGGCCAGCGATGATTGACTTACGGCCATCTAGTCAATATCCCTAGTATGTGATCAACTCTGATTCAGACTAAGTCTTCGTAGAATTTCAAAACTGTTCCCAAGCTACGTGTTTATCCTACCAGAACCATCCAGAGACTCATATTTGGGTAGCAAGGACTTCAGAGTCGAGAAATGAGGGTTACAAAAAGTCGATTACTCGGAGGATCTGGCGCTCACAACGGTCTTGCTTTCATTGTCACTTCGAAGGCTAGTATCAGTGGATTAACTATGAATATACTAAACTCCAGGGCTGAGTTGGTACCCAACCAAGACACAACACGCTACGGCGGGGCTTAGTGGCGGTTCGTTGCGCTAATAAGCATTTCGCCATGTGTGTGTTTGCTATTGCAGGCTACTGTAATCCTTCGACGTCAATAGCAAGCCAGGATTCAAAATTCTTAGTTTCTTGACCTGCAAGTACTTTCAAGCGTTCAGCAAGACGAATCATTGCATTTATATTTTGAGCGTGATATATCCTGTAGCAGCTTCTTGTGTAATTGAATCCGGCACACTCCCATCATTTCCTGGCTTTCTGCCAAGCTAAGGTTAGTCTAGCTGCGAACGTTGTGGTGCTTCTCATCTGTTAAGAGGGACGCAGCCATGGTTTGGATCCCAGCCGCGGCGAAACTTTGAGAAAGTAGCAGATGAAAATCTCTGGTGTGTATCGGCACCATGTTTTGGGTACAGGACGCCGAGACTCGTGAATGACTGCAGCCTATATTCTGCATAGCAAACAATCTAAGGTTGGTACCACATAGTCTAGAGCCAAGATGGACCACCAGTGGCCACATACAGAAAGCGCAAAGAACAAGTGACTGCCGGATGAGCTGGAGCCTTTTCTTTGCGACCCTGCTTAAGAAACAGCATTTTGAGCATTCCACCATATCTACCCATTCATCCATGTCATGACGCTATGGCTACTTATCATCCCCGATCCCCACAGACGCAGGACCCCCCGGACTATAGCGTTATCGAGCACTATTCCCATTGGTGGTAGCTACTGCGATAGTCCCAGACGTGCTAACGTATGCACCCGTGAATCGGCTATGTTAGCGAGGGGCACCTGCCTCTTTTGGATGCGCTTTTCCCCGCTGGAAATCATGCCGCTCAGGTACTCAGGAACCATATGTACTACCGTCCGGTCTAATAAGATCGACGCCCGCATGTATGGTACCAATCAGATAAATACGACATTCCTCCTCATGATGAACACCTAGAACATTTGTTCCTTGTTCTTCATGGTACGCCCAATCATCGCCAAACAATAGACATAGCGACTCTTGTAAACATGGTACTCTCTATGGCCGATGGGCTACTCGGCGCTCGTCTGCCTGGAAATGGCTTCTTGAGAGCACTTATGATCGGGTCGCTCGCGAGTCTGGTCTGGGGCGACCAGTCGCAGGTTCAAATTGATGCGCGAAACTTGGGTATGCGAAGCCCGAAAAAGGAGCATCTACTGGCTCAGATTGGCGAGCTTGCATACGACATGGACGTCGTAGCGACCACCACCGCTCCGGCGCCCGCAGCCACTACAACATCACTGCTAGACACTTTCCAAGTAGCTGAACCAGTACTCTTGCCATCCAGCGGCCACGCAGACGCGGTGACTGTAACGTTGATGGAGCACCAATTCGCTAACAGCTACGGCTCGCCTTTTGTCGGAAATTACACCCCACCAGACTTTGACTTTGATCATGTCGTCATCAACTTCACCGTCGAGGTCAAGGGCCGGCAATACGACCGCTGGGGCTCCATATACCTGGGGGACATCAACATCTTCTCGACCTCGACGGCGGAGCCTACATCGTACGGGATCACGTGGACCTGGCTCAAAGACGTGACCCCTTACCTCTCGCTCTGGAAGGAGCCGCAGACGCTCATCTTCGAGCTCGACAACGTCGTCACCGACATCTACACGGGTCTGCTCAACTCGACCCTGACGGCAACCTTCTTCAGATCGCCCATCCAGGTCGGCGGCCAGGCGCCCGCGGACCTGATCCTGCCCGTCTCGGCGCACAAGAGCCCCATCACCGCCAGCTTTTGGACCTACCCGGAGGAGGACGCGAGTGCGACGCTGCAGTTCCCGCGTAACGCGAACCGGGCGGTCTTGGGCCTGGCAGTGAAGGCGCAGGGCAACGAGGAGTTCTGGTGGAGTAACGTGCCAGAATCGGCCGTTGGGGCGTTTGATCCCGACGTGGGCACCTACCCAGGCTACTCGCCCTGGCGCGAGGTGCAGGTGCTGATCGACGGGCAGCTGGCGGGGGTGCACTGGCCGTTCCCGACCATCTACACGGGCGGCGTGGTGCCGCAGCTGCACCGGCCGATCGTGGGCATCGACGCGTTTGACCTCCGGGACCACGAGATTGATATCAGTCCTTGGCTCCCGCTGCTGTGCGACGGGGCAGAACACACATTCACCCTGAAGGTGGTGGGGCTCGTCGACGATGGGTCCTCGAGCGCCACGCTCTCCAACACCACCGAGAGCAGCTGGTACCTGGTGGCCAAGGTGTTCCTTTGGCTGGATCCGGAGGGAAGCATCACGACAGGGGTGCTGGGCACGGGATACAACGGGACGACCAACCGGGACCCTACGATCGCGTTCTCGCAGAGCCTGACGCAAAATGCGACGGGGTTCAACTCGACGCTGGACTACACGCTGAGCGTGGCGCGGCAGTTCTCCATCACGTCGCAGCTGCACACGCAGAAGGGCAACGGGACGGCGACCTGGACGCAGAGCCTGTCGTATACCAACGTGGGGGGCCTGTACGCCAACGGGTACGGGGCCATCAACACATTCTCGACGGTGGGGCTGGAGACGGCCGAGGTGCCCGGCGGCTGGGACTACCGGACGAGCTTTTCCTACCCGCTGTACTGCAACACGACGGTGTCGTACTCGCCCGAGGGCAACCTGACGCTGTGGGCGCAGCTGGACCAAGGACTCAAGCTCGAGGTTCAGGGCAACACCGTGTACCCGACGGGCCTGGAGGCGTTCGAGAGGAAGGGGGCGGAGAAGTGGCTCGGCAGCGTGCTCGATACGGACAGGAACGGGACGGCGACCTATCTGCGCTACGGGGACAATACGGTCACGACCGGGGTCGGGCAGACGCATCAGGTGTTCCACTTCAGTGGGCTGACAGGCGATGGGACTTATGAGACGCCGGGGACGGAGCTGTATTTTAGGGATGTGTCTGCCTACAACAATAGCGTGGTGACCGACTATGAAGTCGTTGCAGGTAAGGTTATCAGCTGAAGTTGCTGAGATAAGGTAGTTATGGAATACACGAGTAATGAACAACTGGATCACGAGGAACGATTAATTGGAATTTGGGCAATTCGAGACATGTCGTGAAACTCAGCCCACAGTCGTTATTTGCATTCATATATGCTACGAACGTTTAGGTGCCGACACGTTTGCTGACATGAAAGTGTGGCTAGTGGTATGTGCCTTGGATCTCTCTTTCTCCAGCTTCGAGAGGCCTACCCTGTCGGTGACTGGTACGGCATCAATGATACTATCGAACTCATCATCATCCTCACCGTTGTCCGAGTCGGGTTCTGCGTCGGAGTCGACCTTGTATTTATCATTTCGTGGCCGCGATATCGTCTCGGGCTGTTTCCTGGTGCTCGCGTAATGATCTGGGTCGGAAAAAGGCTTGGCGGCCAAGACCTTGCGCCGGATCTCTTCCATCTCCGCATCGTCTTCGCAATCGTCCGATATATCGAAGGGGTCCTTATCCTTTTTGTCCGTTTCGCCACCTGCAGCTTCTCCTGGTTTTGGCCATTGCGGTTGAGGCTTTTTGCCGAGATATATGCCATCGACGCTATCATTGCCGTCTGAGTTTTCCCTGTCTTCGTCGTCATCATTCTCGTCGTCGTCTTCGTCATCTTCGTCGTCCGATGGTAGGGCTACCCTGTGATTGGAATTTCCGCCCTTCCAGAGGTCATCCTCGTCACCTTCTAGCCTGCTCTCTGTATACTCCCTCTCCAGCCGCTCCATCCATTCGGCCTCGGTCTTCTTGACTCCTTCCTCGTCGGCGCACGCGGCGTACTTTTTGAGAATGCTCGAGTTTATATCCAGGAACGACTGCCCGTAGCTGAACGGCGCAAGGATCTCCTCGGCCCACTCGAGATGGCCACAGATGGCAAAGGCGGCGGCGAGGGCCTCGACGCAGTTCAGCCTCCAGGGCTTGCCGTAGTTGACGGTGTTGGCGGCAACGAGGTAGGGAAGCAGCCTCTCGCACTTGCCGCCGACCTTGGACCAGTTGATCTCCTTGGTGCGGGCCCAGGAGCACTCGACGACGGCGGCGCCGTACTGCTCGATCATTTCGCGGTCGGCGGGGCTCACGGTGTGCTTGCCGTTGGGGGTGATGATAACGCCGTTGTGCCGCTGGCCGATGTGCAGGTCGCGCATCATGCCCAGCTTGATCAGCTTCTTGCCCGAGCACCGCTTCGGGTCGCAGTGGTTCAGGTCCCAGCAGGCGGCCTTGAAGGAGGGCCGGCTGTTGCTCGTGCCGTCTTCGTCGTCATCGCCTCGGGGGACTCGTCGCGGTGGTCCATGGCCTTTGCCGCCTCGGCCTGAGCCCTTGAAGTCTTTCTTGTGGCGTACCATGTTTGATGGGGGTGTGTAAGTTACAGGGTTTGGTACAGGAAACAAGACACGACGCAGAAACCGGAGAGAGTTCTCGAGGAGTGTTGAGTACAGTTCCGCAACAGGCGACTGTACTATACCGACGAGATTGGGCGTGATTAGAGGATAGAACACATGCAGATGTGAATTATGGCCCCCCGCCTGTGACAATTGACATGGGATGAAATTCTGGTGACGTTTGGAGGGGCAGTGGCACAAAATTATGTAATTCTGTCACGCCCGTAGTTTTTTCGCAAACAGTACTAACTTACGGTCCTTCGTACTAACTTACTAAGGTTATATTGTTATGCATCATTGTTATCGTTAAGCGGCGGTATTCCGTAACGGAGCCTATCTGGCAGCCGCCTGGGACTTGAACCTACAGTAGAGCCCAAAGGCGGCACGGATCATTTGGAGATCCGCAAGCCGAACCCCTCATTGATCCCTGCTGTTGTTCTCCATAATTCAGGTAAGGCTGCTGGGCTGCCCGACTGCTGTACTGCACTGCACTGTACAGTACCGCTGCATGGAGCTGTTGGTTGGTGTGGCTGGCTGCAAGTTGTCCAATTCTCCATTCGTCAGTGGATGGCATCAGAGGCTAGCGAGCTTAACCTAGCAGTTTGGCGGCGATAATTCGCGAACTGAGTTACCTATTATTACCTAGAGCAACCCCCCCCCTTCTAACTAAGCACTGTGGTAAGGCGAGTAGCAAAGGTTAGGGGGCACAATAACCCACGCGCCATTGTGTCCATTGTCCATTGTCCATAGTCCATAGCTGGCACTTTTGAGGTTAAAGTGGGATGCCTCATGAGAAGGTCTAGGTTAGGTGATCCTTAACGCCAGATAGTCTCCGACTCTCTACTTTACCACCAGAAATCCAAAGCCTGCACATTGCCCATGGAGTCGGTCCTTGGTTCGTAGAAGGGATCTGCGACCCGATTGACTGGCATATCAACAACACATCTTTTGCGATCGCATCATCACCACCACGACCACCATGGAGGCTGCGTCCGCTCGCGCTGCGGCTAGGGATCGCTGGGGAGAGATGGGATTCCCGACGCCCTCTCAGCTACAGCGCTTCATCTCCTCCGCATGCAGTCCAGAGAACTACGAGCCCAATCTGGCTCTGAACCTCGAAATCGCCGACCTGATCAACAGCAAGAAGGGGCAGGCGCCTAGGGAGGCCGCCGTTGCGATAGTCGGATACATCAACCACCGCAACACCAATACCGCCATGCTAGCTCTGAACCTCCTAGACATCTGCGTCAAGAACTGTGGCTATCCTTTCCATCTGCAGATCAGCACCAAGGAGTTCCTCAATGAGCTCGTCAGGAGATTCCCCGAACGGCCCCCCATCAGACCAACCCGCGTCCAGGGCAAGATCCTCGAAGCGATCGAGGAGTGGAGGAGCACAATATGCGAGACCAGTCGGTACAAGGAGGACCTTGGCTTCATCCGCGACATGCACAGGCTTCTCAGTTACAAGGGCTATACTTTCCCCGAAGTGCGCAGAGATGATGCCGCCGTCCTCAACCCCAGCGATGTAGGTTTGATCTGGTTTGCGAGGCGACACGGACAAAAGCTGACACACTTCTCACAGAACCTGAAATCAGCCGAGGAAATGGCCGAAGAAGAAAAGGAGGCACAATCCGCAAAGCTCCAAGAGCTCATTCGCCGCGGAACTCCGGAGGATCTGCGCGAAGCCAACAAGCTCATGAAGGTCATGGCTGGCTACGACACCAGATCGAAGACGGACTACCGCGCAAAAGCAGCCGAGGAGGTTGGCAAGGTTCAGGCCAAAGCCAGACTTCTGGAGGAAAGGCTCGAGGCTATCCAGCCCGGTGAGAAGCTCGAGGACGGAGACGTTTTCGAAGAGCTCGCCGCAGCCCTGTCGAGCGCGCAGCCCAAGATCCAAAAGATGTGCGAGGAAGAGTCGGAAGACCACGAAGCGGTGGCCAAGCTCCTCGAGATCAACGACAGCATACACCGGACTGTTGAGAGGTGGAAGCTGGTCAAGAAGGGTGACTACGAGGGTGCTGCTAAAATCGCCCAGGGCGCACCTATACCTTCACTTCAAAGTACCGCCAAGCCAGGCGCAAGCGGCGGTTCTGCCGCGAACGAATTGTCGCTCATTGATTTCGACGGGGATGCTTCCGGGACTAACGGTGCGAGCAACAATGAAGGCTCTAGCTCTCAGGCCGGCGGACTTGAAAATGATTTGCTCGGACTTTCCATGGGCGATAGTGGTGGTTTCGGTCAAGCGGGTGGAATCTCCCTTGGATTTGGTGCCAACCCTAGTAAGCCAGTAACTATTTCAGCAAGAAGAACAACCATACTAACTGTTGCAGATGTGCCTGGTTTATTATCTTCGACGACCCAGAACTCTACTGCAGGCGGTGTTCCCACGACTACCTCTCCTCCACCACAAGCTTTCTCTCCCTTTTCCGCTTTCACTTCTGCCCCATCAGCTTCACAATCCAATACCCCCCAACCCAATTTTATGTCTGCCTTCGCACCACCAAAGGCCTCCGCGCCTGCCAACGACCCCTTCGCTTCTTTGACATCCCCACAGTTCGGCTCCAAGCCTGCGACCCCTAAGCCCGCGGCACCCGCACCAGCTGTGTCTAACGATGAGGATGAATGGTCCTTCTCCTCCGCACTGCCGAGCGATACCCCAGCCTTGCCGAAGGAGCATTCTGCAGTGGTTAAGGAGGGTCAGCTACGCATCGATATGAAGGCTGCCAGGTCACCACAAGCCCCTGCTGCCATCGCCCTGTCTTTCGCTTTCTCGAACGCGACACCGCAGCCCATCAGCGAGTTACACTTTGAACTAGCTGTAACGAAGGTAAGTCCCCCCTCCCCTCAGTAAAAAAGAAAGACTCAAAGCGCCCATCCCTCGGCCCTTTTTTCTTTTTTTCTTTTTTTCTTCTTTTACTTTTGGCCTTGATCAAGCGCTGACCGGCTTGATTTCCCTCTCCAGGGTTTTGAGCTCCAAGTCCAGCCCCAGACAGGCCGCAGTCTCAGTGCCAGCCAGAGATACGGCGTCACCCAGAACATGCAGGTCTGGTACACGGGAGACCGGTCGAGAAAGGTCGAGAGCATCAAGCTGAGATGGCGGATGAGCTACAAGCTCGGCGCCGAGACGAAGACCGAGGTCGGCACTATTCCTGAGTTTGGGTTGGCGTAGGGTGTTTTGGTCGGGCCCCGGGGCAAAGCTATAGATAAAAGATGAGAGATGCAAGCTTGAGATGAAAGATGAATCCCAAATTAGATCACGGTAGATTGCCATGACTTCCGAAGAAGCAGAACCCGTCCTATGCCGCTGCGGGGTCTCGATAAGGAGAACGAAATCTTGTCCCTCCTTGCACAGAGAGTGCGGCGTTCGAAAATCATGGTGTCGTGACTTGTTATTGTTATACATGCGCTGGCGCTCATAATATGATTTGCGCTATCTAGTCCTGGGAACCTTTGATGCTAGATCCTCGACAGCTATCTGTTGTACATTTTGACGCCCCCCTCCCCTGCTCTGTACGTCTCTGTACTTTACATATGTTGTCTATAATTTTACAGTCTTGTTTGGTTGTACCTTTCCGGTACTTTACCGCTTCAAGCCCGCCCCGCCCATATTTCCGTACCAGTTACAAAATATTCCTCCAAAAAGAAGTCTATCGCAGGACTCTAGAATGGAGAGGTTTGTGTTTTGTTTTTCCAACCGGCGTTATCTTACAGCGTCCTCTTGGTCTGCACCTCCTCAATGGCCTGGATCTGGTCGCCCTGCTCTAGGTCCTGGAACAGCTCGAACCCGATACCGCACTCACCGCCCTTGCGGGCCTCGTCGATGTCCTTCTTGCCGTGCTTGAAAGATTCTAGCTTGCCTGTGGTTTTTTTGAATTATATTAGCAAATCATGCACCGCCAAAAGAAAGCAATTGGAAGGGCGCAAATAACTCACCTTCAAAGAGCATCTCGCCGCCCCTCAGGACCCGGAGCAGTTGGTTGCGCTCCACGGTGCCGTTACGGATCCTGCACCCGGCAATGTTCTTGTACTGGCGGCCCTTGATATTGATCGGGAAAACCTGGAGAACCTCGGCCTCAGCGAGGACCTTAAACGTGATATCGACGCCTAGGAAGGAGCCGAGGTAGTCACGGACGTCGTCGGTGAGGTGATAGATGACGGAATGGTCCAGGATCTTGACGCCAGCCGTCTCAGCCTGGCGCTTGATCTGGCCCGAGATGGGCAGATTGAAGTTGACGATGGCGGAGCCCGACGTCGCGGCGTGCTCGACGTCGCTCTCGGTAATGGCGCCGGGAGAGGACATCAGGACACGTGGTCGGACCTCGTTGGAGCCGATCTCCTGAATGGCGGCGCAGACCGCCTCCACGGAACCGTGCACATCGCCTTTGACAAGGAAGTTGATCAACTTGGCTCCGTTCTCGTCCGTATCGGATGGCTCTTGCTCTTGCGTACCCCAGCTGCCGTCCGGTCGCTTGTATTTCCCCTCTTGGTTGGCCTTCTCTGCACGACGCTGTTCGCTAAGTTGACGGCGCTGTTCGGCAATCTTCTCATGAGCTGCAGCATCCTGCTCGCGCTCGCGCAGATGTTCACGGTATTCTGCTGCTTGCCGTACACGGCGCTCGTCAGTGCCTTGGATAACCTCGTCGCCGGCGGCGGGTAAGTCACGCCAGCCCAAAATCTCAACAGGGGTTCCAGGTGGCGCTTCCTTGATCTCCTGCCCAGCTTCATTGCGGAGATGTCGGATTTTGGCGTACGTCGTTCCCGCGGCAATGAAATCACCAGGGCGCAAAGTTCCACGCTTGACCAAGATAGTGGCGACCTTGCCGATCGGCTTTAGACTACTCTCGAGAATCCAACCCTCAGCCTGGCCATCGACTTCGGCGCGCATGTCGAGGATTTCGGCCAAAGTTAGAATGTTCTCCTCAAGGTCTTCCATTCCCTGGCCAGTCTTGCCGGAAACACAGACTACCTGAACATCGCCACCATAGTCCTCAATCTCTACTCCGTTGCTGGCTAGGTCGGCATTGACACGGTCAACATGTGCGCCGTCCTTGTCGATCTTGTTGATCGCCACGATGATAGGCACCTTTGATTGTCGAGCATGCTTGAGAGCCTCCAAAGTTTGAGGCTTGACACTGTCGTCTGCCGCTACCACAAGCACGACGATATCAGTTACGTGTGCTCCACGTTGGCGCATGGTCAAGAATGCAGCGTGGCCAGGGGTATCGAGAAAAGTGATCTGCTTTCCAGTTGACATGCTAACAGAAAAGGCACCGATATGTTGCGTAATGCCACCGTGCTCTCCTGCCGCAACTGAAGACTTTCGCAGGTAGTCTAGAAGCGTTGTTTTACCGTGGTCGACGTGTCCCATGATAGTAACAACTGGCGGACGAGGAGGCAGGGTTGAAGGATCCTCTGGAGGCGGACGGGCTTTGAGATCTTGTTGCTCGCCGCTATCGACCGTAGGCTCAAATCCATACTCCTGAGCTACAAGAGCTGCAGTTTCACCAGCCATAATGCTGTCCAACGAGATGCCCTCGAAACCCAATTCGGCCAACTGACCCAAGAACACACTCTTGTCCACTTTCAGGGCAGTCGCAAGGTTAGATATGCTGATGAGCTCTGGAAGGGCGATGGATTGCGGCTCTGTTCTCTCAGCTTCGCGTTTGGCCTTGCGCTCTATTTTCTTCTTGCGTCTCTCAAGATATTCATCATAGTCCATGTCATCGTCCTCATCAGCATTCTCATGTCTCGAGCCGCGCCCTCCACGGGTCTTGCCTCCTTTACGGTCTTGTCCTATCTCGATCTCAAACCTACTGCTGCGATCCGAATCACCGCGCCGACTCCTGCGCCCTTCGTACTCATAGGTTTGAGGTGAAATGGTCGGAGTTGATTGTACTGGTATGTCTTCGGAAGTCGATGCGTCGCCCCGCCCATTCCTTGGAATTGACTCCCAAGCGTCCGAAGAGTTTTCATTCCTCCTGCTACGTGGTGGTTGAGATCTCCTCTCCTGAAACCCCCAGGAGTCGTTCTGCTGACGCTGTTGAGGTCTGTTAGACCTTTGTTGAGGTTGATCAAACTCCTTGCCCCAATCAGTAAGAGGCGCCGATGGCCTCCTGGGGTCTGATGCCTGTGTTGTGTTTTTTTCCATCATAGACCAGAAATCCTGACTCGTGCCTGCGGTGTTGGTGTTGGCGTTGCCGTTGCCGTTACCTGATTGCTGCCGCCTCGATAAAGAATCCCACAAGCCGCCTGTACTTGATGCCGCCTCTTCGGCTCGATCAGACGCACGTCTCGTATCTTGTCGCTCTTTATCCGCCACAGAATCCCATGTGCTTCCAGTTCCGCGAAATGCGGATGGCTGACGCGACTGTGGATGAGTAGCAGCCTGCTTAGTCCGGGGATACGACGATCCATCGGGTGCCTTCTCATGCTGCTGTTGGCCAAAGGCGTTGGATCCAAGCAGACGAGTTAGGTGTGGGGTCTGTATCTCGTTATCTTCTATTGGTTTTGATGGTGGACGAGGAGCGGGTTCTGGGGGCTCTCTTCGCACAAGTGGTTGCGGAGGTATGTAGAAGTCACTCCCGACGGTCCTCGGGCGTATCGACCACGCCGGCCTCCGTTCACCCGAAAAGGGCTTCTCGCCCCGGTCTATGAAGTTTGGTTTGGGTTTCTCCTGCGGCTGACTATTGGCGAACACTGGCGGGGCTTTGTAACCTCTACCCGTAAGCGTTTGAGGTTCCTCCATGAAAGGCTGCTCTTTCGACGAGTCTCCGCCGTTAAACACCGGTGGTGAGCTGTATCCAGCCCCGGAGAGAGAGGCTGGCCTGTTGTTGAATGGAACCCTTTCGGTTGGATATTGACCCTGACCTCTGCGACTCTTGGTGAAGTCAAACCTCATGGGGGGTGGTTCTTGGCGCCGAACGTTGTCCAAAATTTCTTGCTGCTTCTTCGGGTTCCAGGTATTCCTGAAGCCCAAGCCGGGCTTGGGGGCTCCCGCAGCTGCTCGTTCGTTGGCGATGCGGTCGGCTTCGGCTCTTTGTGCCGCCATGTGTTGACGTGCTTCTATCTCGTGGGGTAGTAAGCCGGCGGGCTGAGAGGTTGTAGCTTGAGGCGTGCTGCTCTTGGTCACACCGGGGACTGCTGAGCTGGTCGCAGCCGGTCCGTTTCCAAAAGCTGGGTTGCCCCAGCCAGAGCCGCCTCCTCCGAGGGGACGACCTCCAGGAAAGGAAGATTTGGAGCCGGGAAGATTCGATCCATTGTCGCAAAGTGATCTCGTGGTAGAGAGAAGCCGCTGGGAAGGTAGTTGGGTCCGCCGTAAAGCAAGTCTGTGCTGGCAGAATGCGCAGACTGAAGGACTGCGCTGGATGGGTAAATCATGTCAGCAGAGAGAGGTAAACATAACCAAATAGTAGGCAAGGAAAGTCATACGTCTGAAATCCCCCTTCTCAACATCCTGTTACAACTGGTCGCCAATGACTATGCGACATTGGGGAAATGCTCGTGTTCAGGAAGCTCCAAAAGCTCAGCACCAACAAATTAATTATGATTCGGCAAAGCGATACGCGCGCCCGCCACAGGCCCAAGGGCCGACGTCAGGAAAATCAACGGGGGGCGTATTTGATTGATCGGACGAATGTGGGGCCGGATTAATCGAAGAAACCCGGTGCAATTTCATATCGTAGGTACAGTACGGCTAATAAGAGACCGCGCGAATTGAATAAATAAATAAATGCAGATTCAATTGGATGGGATTGGGTCGAATTGAATTGGATCGAATCTGAACTGCCACACTCGCTGGAACCTTGACCATGCTTGCACTGAAGGCCGCGAACGAACCCCTGGCAGCCTAGAGTTTAACTTGGGCCCTTCAGCCACATTTCCAGATGCCAATTCCCAATTCCCAATTCCATCTTCTGCCTCGACATTTGAAATCATCATCACGCTCTTTTTTCCCCCGCGCGTTCAGCCTAATGCTGCCAAGCTGAGGTCTCAATCATTTCAATCAGTCAACATGGTCAAACAACGAAAGGGCGGCAAGATTGGTGCCCCCAAGAAGAAGGGTTCAGGACTGCCTGCGCCTTTCAAGGCGCCCCCTGATGTCCTGCAGCCACTCATTGACACCCTGGACCTGAGGCACGTGTACATCTTGCACGTCGACAACAAGCCCGCCGACCTCAAGCGCAAGGTCTTCATCGTCCCTGTCCTCATGAACGTCGCCATCCTCCTGTTGTTCATCTGGCGCATGTACGCCATTCTGCCTTGGTACCTCCGAGTCCTGACCTCAACCCTGGGCTATGCCAATGAGACTACTCTCGTAGCTGCCGAGATGGAGTGGGAGACCCTCCTGCCCGAGGTCGGCAAGCGATCTGGCCAGTTCATGCTGGATCTCATGCTCTACGTCTTTGTCTGGCCCTGGCCCTACGAGTTCTTCCTCGGACTCGAGCATGCCAACCCCGTAGCCTGGCGCCGGAACGTCGGATTCCGCGATCGGGAGATTGTCGCCCGCCGCAGCAGAGCCTGGGACAAGGCTCTCAAGGATGTCATCAACGACAAGAACTCCAAGGATATCTTCATGAACATGGTCGGCATCGCTACTTCTCCCAACATCACCAGGGACAGGACCGGCTATCTACTCATGAACAAGGAGTGGAACTTGGACTGGGCCACTATGATCGACGCAACCACCATGGTCGATAAGAAGATGGCTGCAATTGAGGCCTTCAAGCTGGTTGTCCTTGTCTATCAGGAGGAGTATGGCTGGATAGTGGTAGACCACAAGCTTGACGAGGATCCTGCTGAAGATGAAAGAAGGACACAAATCTTGCTGTTCAGGGATGCACTCTCGGCCATTGGCAAGGAGGACCTCTTCTTTCGCTGGATCGAGGTTGTCCAATTTGAGGCCAATCAGCCTGGTGGTTTCACCGCCGAGAGACAGGGGGTCGTCGCGCAGCAGGTCAGGGATCTTTTCCAGAAAGAGGGCGTCGATTTCGACCAGCTATGGAAGGACAGCGTTGGCACAGATGGAATTGCAATCTAGAAGTTCTTGAGAGCCTGTACATATGCGATGACTACCTGAAGAGGCCATGATTCGTTTTCCATTGGTGTGCGAGCAGCTACCGGATTTACAACTGATCAATTACTTACGCCAACTGAAATGATGTCCCTTACTCAGAAGAATAGGCGCTGGTTGCTAGATGCTGTACGTCGAAGCTGGCGGCCAACCATAATCCCTCCAGGCTACCAAGAGCGAAGTGACATAAAGAAACAACATCCGTGCACATACAAAGCTACGCCAGCGTCAGATCGGCCCTACTGCCTCAATCAACCTTATATGAGTCTGTGCAACCAACTCAGTTCATGTTCTGCCTTCAAGACTGTCGATTCGCAATTTGACCAACCACAGACTGCGCCAACTTGTAGCCGCCTATCCTATACAGCCAAGAGTTCTATTTGCAGCAACAACAATAGCAACAGCGAAGGTCGTGCTGAAGGTACACACAACCGTGCCTCAGTTCCCGGCGGCCGACTATAAGCCTGTTTAGCTTCGCAACAGGACGTTGTTGAAAGGCATATATCCTGCAATTGATCATGTCGTGTAGGATAAGAAAATTAGGATTACCATACGACGGGGAGGGTTCATTCTGGAGATGGTTCTAGTTTAATCCGTTGATAATACGATACATTTACTTGTACATTCTGCCTGTTTGCGAAGTAGCCAGTTGACATCACAGGTTTGTTCTTTGGCGATCGCATATGACCATAACGTAATGCTTTCTGCGCAGATTTCATCACATCTCAACCATTGTTCTGCTTCCATTATTCCCGGGCGCGTCATCAACACCGCGCCGACCCTGGGCCCGGCGGCGGGTTCGCAAAACTCGGCGACGGGACCCCTGGACAAGAAGGACGGCTCGTACGTCTCCACGGCCCTGGTGAGTGACATGTCGCTGGACACGACCTAGAAGCATGCGGGCCAGAACGAGAGCGTCGCCGAGCTCGCCGTATCCATCGCCACGCCCAACGCCACCGAGAATTGGTCCGTCTGCCACCAGCTCCATAGTCCCCGCATACAACCAGACTTGGAACGACCTGTTCAGCGCTGACGATGACGGGAGTTGCAAGTCGGTGTTTCCCGAGGAGTGCCTCGCCATGCTCAAAGTGGTCGGGTGTGCCGTTTCTTTCATTGGCCCGAGAAGTATCCTTATGTGCCTTCTGATTCCGACATCTACGTATGAAGTGAGTTCTTTTATACGTTGTTTTACTATTTTACCATTTATTTCCCTCCATAATATAAAAATATTCATTCTTTCTCCATCTTTTAAATCGAAGAACACAATGTTGATACAATCCTGTTTGGAAACGAACAGATAGCAGCGCCAACTCGGTCCTCAATGCCGACGCCTTTTCAACCTCGAGAACCCCGTCCACGACGTCGCCAACACGACCGAGGTCGAGTTTCTCTCCAAGCGCGTCTTCCCGGTCCTGGCCGAGTGAATCAACACCAAGACGTCCGAGACACTCCGGGCCGTTCCTTGTGTCCACGGTAACGTATCGGCGGGCGCCACGTCTAACACCGGGAACTCAACTTCAGACCCCACGGGAACGTCCAGTAGCCCATCCAGCGCTTCTACCAAGAACACTGCTACAGGTGTGGGCGGGATTGCCGATGTGAAATACTTGTTTGGCGGGGCTGCAATGCTGGTGGGTTACATGGCGTATTAGATTATACAATTATAGATTCCCATTATGCAGCGCGACACTGATGGTGTTATAAGAGGCATGTGGTAGCTCAGAAGAATCCCTTGGGAATTTTTGAGTTATACAAGACATTGATAATGGCGGAATATATTGATGATGTGCACACTGTCGTGAAGGTACGTAACTGTTGCCATGCGTAACCCAATGTATCAATGTCGTGCGCGTAATCATCATTTTATTTGCCCTTTCCCTTCTTTTTGGGGGGTCCAGTCTTGCCTAATGCAGCCGCTCGTAACTTTGCCTCTCGTGCCTCAATCTCTAATTTGCGTTCAGCATCACGGGCCTCCCTCTCTTCCTTCTCAACCTAGCCAGTGTTGTTAGTAAATTAATATACTCGGGGATCCGCGGTTGCACTTACTGCAGCGACCGCTGCCTTGTCCTTTCGTTCCTGCCTGAGCACCGCCAAACGAGCCATATCTGCCTTGGATTCATCTGTCTCACCAGCCAAATGTGCCTTGCGCCATCTCTCTTGGCGCTGCTTTGCCTCAAAGGCTTCGCGCTCCTTTTTGTTCATGCCGGCAGTCGTCAAGTTCTTGACACCCTCGGTGACCTCATCGACAGGCACCGTGGGTGCCTTGGCCTGGTTGCGAGCAGCCTTGGAGTGGTTAGGGTTTGCGGGCATATCATCGTCACTTTCTTCTTCCGAGTCCGAGGGCATATCGCCGACCTGGACCGGACCCTTCTGCTTTCTGGCGATGGCAGCCTTCTTTTGCGCAGCCTTTTGCGCCTTGCGCTCCTCTCTGCTCAGCTCGGCAGCCGGCTTGGATGGGCCGTCATCACCGGATTCCTCCTCAGACTCCTCGTCCGAATCTTCGTCGGAATCGTCAGAATCATCGGAGCCCTTGTTTTTGTTGGCATTCCACATGCTGATCTCATTGCCGTCAGCGTCGAGGGGTCGAAGATCACGAGAGAAGTGATGGCCACCTGACAAAGCGAGCGGTTAGCTAAGCAAGCTGGCATGAAAACTGGATACTTGGTGCATACCTCCTCTGGTGAACTTCTTGAACTTTCCACCACGTCCTCTTGAAGCAGCACCTGGCTTGCCAGAAGCTCCAGCCATGATTGCAGCTTTGGCCAAAGTATGGTGGGATGGCGGGGTGTGTCGATGTGAGAAGAAGAACTGCGCGCCGGAGTGTCAGAGATGCGACTGAAGACAAAACAAGACAGATGGGGAATCAATACTCGAAAATCCGACGCCTGATGGGTCAGGGTTTAAATGTACGATCTGGTCTACAATGATTTCATTCAACCACACCCTAGACAGGAGAGGCTACCAAGGCAAATGATGAAAAGAGTCACAATAACGAAGCAGATAGGCGGGGTCGTTGGGTTTGCAATTGGCTGGCTGGCTTTGGCTGCTATTTTCATCATCGCTGCCCCGCATCGCCAGCGCCCCTCTACTGACTCACTGCGGGTGGCTTACTTTGTTGTTATTACATGCGCTAATCCCAGCAGCAAGCCAAACAGCCTGTGTGCTAATTTTTAAACTCTCCCAGGGTCATTTCCCAGGCTGCCAGGGTCTGAGCTGATGCGTATCGTGGCAGGATGAGACCCCACTTCGCAGCTATCGATTACCGGTAGAATGTTGCTCCAGCGCCGGCAATTTGAGCTGCACTGTATCTTCTCGGCGTCGGTTCCTGAATCTTAGAATTTTCTTTCCTTTCTTCCTCACATAAAACAAAGACAATCCTCCGTATTCACTCTGGCTTTCGTCACAATCAATGACAGGTCTTGGAGGGGAAATCGGAGGACAGAGGAATTTCATTTTCGATCACTTACCCTTTGGTCTGCCGCGGTCCTGCCGCCATCGGTCCCAGAGAAATTTTTCGTTCGATACATACCAATTTGACAATGCTCCAGAGTGTGACTGATGACTGCAACATGGATGAACCAGATAGTTCAAGGTTGGTGGCCGTACAGACTCACTCTAAAGCGGTTTGCTGTGATGCTATGTCACCACTGTGCATGTAACTACGGCCATTATAGAACACTTTCTGGACTGAGGATGCCATGTGACATTGCCCACAGTTTGGTTTGACGTTGTCTACAAGCCCGGCAATTGTGTAACCGGTGGAACTATGTGATAATGTCGACATCCAGCATTAATCCACAACAGGTGGCCCGTTCTCTGGCATCGCATTCATGGTTTGCAAGATGTCTTGCAAGTTGCACCATTTGTGCGGAATGCTGCTTATACAATGCTGACCTCCTCCAAGTGCAAGATACCACGCTCGACCTGCTCAAATACTTCACCGTCCATGAGCCCGTTGATCCGGCACATACCCACAAATTTCCTCACTCCGTCTGCTTTCCGCAGCAGGAGCGGATAGTGCGAGCCCGGCAAGATCCAGACCTCATCACCTTTTTGGCTGCCCACAGGGCCCAAACCCAGCCGCGATCCTTTAGTTTCGACCATGGCAAGCTTCTTGCAAACAAAACGCAAATTCCTTATCCAGTCAACTGCATCATATTCCACATGCTGCAGCCAGTATCTTGCGGAGCGACTTTCACTCGGGACTTCTTGGCCAAGCATGATCTTTCGTGTATCACTTTCGAATTCCTCGTTGTGTCGAATCCCCAGGATGCCCAAACGTGCTTGTAATATTGTCTCGTATCCACGACATTGTCGAATTCTGCGCCATTCTCTGCCAATGATCAAGAAAAACAACAAGGCAATGGCTCGATGGATTCGGTGGTGCTCCCCTTTTAAAGGCTGGTTGATACAGACTAGAGCCTGGACAATGCCTGCGATATTTTGCTTGGTGCCAATAAGATCTTGGAAGCCCAGAAATGCGTTAAGGCAAAAATCGCGCAAGTCGTCCGTCGTAGTCCATGTCGTGGCACCAACCAGACTGTCAACAAAAATCATTCGGGCGGTAAGGACCCCGTTCCTCGCTTTTGCCAGTACAAGCTTGTCCAAATCATCATCTGCATTTGAGATTCCAGCGCCGGTTCCGTGTGAAGATAGGTAACCCGTTACTGGAGGTAAGCCCCAATCAGGTACCCAGGATGGTAGACCTGGCAATTTCGAAGCACGACCTGTGCCAATACCCCATCCAAACAGTATTCTCTCCAAGCTAGTCTTCGTAACCAGCTCTTCTGCAGCAGTGACATAAACCTTTTCCACGGATGATGTATAATCGATCTTTAACTCCATGTTGGATATTGCACGAATACCATATACACGGTCCACTTGTACCGAGCAATTGAACCGGTGCATTTCCAAAAGCAACGGCTCTGCTTCACGGTTACCCAGTTTCTGGTTTATGTTAGGAACTTGCAGCAGCGCTTCAATCATACTGCTAATATTAGCAAACGACAGTGCAACTACTCTTGTGTTTTTCCAGAGTTGAGGTTCCATGCCTTCTGGTCGCAGACTCGCCGGATCGTCAGGGTAAAATTGAACATCCTGAAACCATATCAGAAAGTCCCAGAGGTGCTGTATGTGTATCCTCGCGCCAAGGGTCAATAAGATAGTTTCCTTGTTAAGCCATATCTCCTGGAGTATCCAAACTCTGGTCCAGTATTCATCGCAGGCGAGCAGTTCAATTGTGTCCCAGATATGATTCCCAGTGGGATCGGGGGGAAGAATCCTAGGCTCCTGACTTTTGGGCTGTGAAAGTGTGCGTGCTTCCAATGACTTGAGATCGTAATCCAGGACCATCAGCTCAGGGAACCTCTCAATCCAGGACGTGTCGTCGCGTGACTCGATGAGATGGGCACCGGTACGAATATATTTGAATGCGGCCCTATAATCCCTGGAACCCAACCAGCTGAGCACCTGGTGAGCGCCTGTATATATTGAATGCATGAGACCAACTTGGTAACTCCGTTCATCCTGGTCGTTTTGGTTGATGCATAAGGCATCTGCCCAAAGATAAACAGCACCGTCGGACGAATATTCTCTAGAAATCTCTCGCAAGGCCGATGCCAACGTTGCCGTGACGGAGAGGTTATAGCCGTCCACGACTATGGATTCACGGTTGCTTACGTCGCCCCAAACATACGAGAGAGCATAATATACCGGCCCCGAGTGCATCGACACTGTGCACAAAGCGTAATTAACGTGTCCATCTATTGTTGTTTGGATGCAGATCAATCGAATCTCTTCAGATTCTCTAATCAATGTACGGTACGGATACACTGCTAATGTGAAGTGTGAAGGAACAGGTTGCGTCATATCCAAGACACGGATTGGACTACCGACATCTCATACCATGGGCCTACACGATGCGCAGAAGATAGAAACAGTTGATGGCAGGTGATCAAGCAACGGGTGGATTGCTGATCAAGAGGGCGGAATTGAACGCTTGAACTCGGAATTGATTCAGTTTGGTGGGAAATAGAAATAGAGTAGGCCTGATGGTTATAGAAGAGTAACGCAAGCAATTTGCGACACGTGGTATTTCCACGCATCACACCGAGCACAAGATCCATGGCTGTTGGATCACATTGTGGCGGCGCGAGTCGGCGTATTCCTCCCTGTCAAATGGGTGCACAGCCGCCCAGCTGGCAACTCCCCCTGCCAGCAACAACCTGCATAATGCCGAAGGTGGCGGTGACATAGAGGGTTCATAGACACTAGAAACTGGCCACGTAACTGATTTAGAATTTGTCTGTCAAGCAGGATCAAGTACCTCAATCGAGGAGGAACAGAACAATGTAACATATCGTGTCACAGATAGCTTAACGTTCATGCACATACACTGTGACCTATGTAGCTGCTCTGACAGTTTGGGCTAAATCAAGTAGGTTTCTCTCGACTCTTTATAAAGCTCGGCAGAATTATCTTCATTTCTTCCTATTTAAATTTAAATTGTAACATTTGATTGTTTTATAATTATACATGAGTAAAGGAAATATAAGCTATATATCAAACATATACATTTGGATAGTAAAAAGCAGTACGAAATGATTTGATATCTGAAGACTTAGAAAGCTGGGTCTTGTCACTTTAACCAATATTTAGAACCATGATAGACCACGGCCAACTCAAGCATTTTAGCCTGCTATTATGACTCTCATCATTCATGTTTACTAGTATATTCTAGTGTTAACTCTTAAGCGTTATATTGCGAGCCATTCCTACCCAGCGTCATAATCGATAAGTCTAGAAATTGATTTGTTTTTTTTTATGATGTCATGTTGTCAACGGTATTTCGTTAGAGGAATTTTTGGAACCACCAAATCTGACTATGATTAAAAATCACTGCAGCTAGATGGAATGATTCAGATATTTGACCCATCTCAATGCCTCGTGAGGTGGAGTGAGCAACCAGATTTCTGGCCAGTAGTGTCAGAGCGTCGAACACTTCTAGAAGTTCGTGCTACGATTCTTCGGGCGTTGAAAGGAATGTGACTTCAATTCTGTTCGGAAAGTCTAAGTGCACGAGACAATGACATGATTCGCGAGTCAAGACAGCCCTATCTATCAGCCGTAGACCCGAGAAATCGGGTAGTGCGTCTGTGGCTGTTACATAGTATTCCCGAAACAGGCATAAGTATCTATAAGGGCCCTTGGCAATTCTATAAATGGCAGCACACTGTAGTCTAGTGCCTTGGGCACCAGGTACGGTCTCAGGTTTTGAACGTTGCCTGTCCCCTCCATTTACAACGCAGCTAAGATGGATATCCTACGCCCTAAGAACCCCAAGCCCCGCTTTACGCTATAGTGTCATTGCAACCACCTTCTCATTTGTCACTGGACCTATGTTGTCTCACCTTAATTCCAAAATACCAAGATTTTCATCGGTATGACTCTGCTTGCGGCAGGTCCGGAGGAGATTGAAAATTTACCTTGGCAAAATTTTGCTCTTCTAGAGCTTCAAAAGTGACGAATTTCCTGACTCGGAGCGAAGAAATATGTCCGACTGATTATTCTACTATCGTACCCGCCGTGCTCCACCGTTGTGCGGCTTCTTGGCCGAATTCCCGCAGTGTAGTAGAGGGTCTGTCGACTAAGCAAACAGTCATGACTTAGAAGTTACCAAAAGCTCTAGAAGAGACAGGTCAGAACATTAGAGAAATCAATATATAATAAACATATCCCATGCATTGTTATTGATATGAAATTCATCAAGCAGTCAAACGACCCTCCTTCCAAATTCAAATTGTTCCACTGTATACATATAGACTGTGGTAAAATGGTAAAATCATCATATATTGCTGTTCTTACAGCCATATCAGCACTATGTGGTCATGCTCAAGCAAATAACGGCACACAATCTTTTAACTTTAACGGCACCAAATCTGTCATCGCCTTTGGTGATTCTTATACCTTTATACAAGGCACAGCGGGAAACCCCAATCACACTTTTATTGGAGACTATAAGAATTTTAAATATACGGCGTCTCAGCTTCTCAGCACCAAGATTGTGCAGAACTTTACTAGTACTGCTGAGGGGGGGCCAAACTGGATTGAACGCCTTACCGGCTGCGCAACGACGAGTGGATACTACTCGCCTACCGCTTGTCGAATCCAACTTTGGGACTTTGCTTTCGCCGGTGCTAGCGTGAGCCGCGAGTTCCTCCCGCCACACAGCAAAACGACTGTTCCCTTGGTGAACCAGACCCAGCAGTTCCTGACGTATGGAGAGCCGGCGCTGCGCAACAGCGGAAACCTGGACAAGAGCAAGGCGCTTGTGGCCCTGTGGATTGGTGTCAACGATGTGTTCGACAGCAAGACTTACAAGCCGGCCGAAGTTTCTTATCAGGACTTCTGGACTGCCGAGATACGAGGCGTGTTCGAACAGAGCGTCACACCCCTGTACGAATCTGGGTTCAAGAACTTCTTGTTTATGAACCTGCCACCTCTGGACCGAACAGCGGCTAACCAAAAGACGGCCTACTACAAGACAGGCGAGGTCTACCCGAGCAAGACGCAGGTTGATCTCTGGGGTTCGATACTCTCGAACCAGACACAAGCGTTCGGTGCTGCATATCCTGATGCCAAGGCTATGCTATACGACGCCAACAAGTTCCTCAACGGGGTCATGGACAACCCCAAGAAATACGGCATCTCGCACACGGCTACATACTGTGCAGCTTGGAATCAGATCGGTGTCTTGACAAACGCTACTGCTTACGGATGCGACAAGTTGCAAACATATTTCTGGTACAACGCCCTCCACTTGTGAGTTATCCCCGAATAATGATTATGTAAAGATGGCATTGAGACTCAACTAATACGGAATTTCAGGTCGGCACGAACCCATCAAGTCATGGCAGCAGATCTACAGACGTTTTTGTTAAGCCAAGCAACGTATTGATATTGAAAAATATGATGGCGGGTCAATCTGAGTAGTTGGCTTACTCTCAGTTGTTCAAACATACAGCTTGCGGGTAGCAATTTTGATGATGTTAATAGAGATAAATAATTCAACACAGACAGAGATAAAATGTAAAGTACGGCGAATAGACAAGGGAAAGGCGCAATTGGTTTTGGAGTTTTCTGGAGTCAAGGGCATAGAAGATGGTTATCATCTAGGTTAACTAGATCTCTAGATACTCTCTTGGTACGATGGATTAAGTGATCATTAGATTAAAAGACGAAACGGATAAATACATGAAAGTTTATCTATATATATTTATTAACATATCATCACAATAAGATCGTTTAATTATTCTAAGAAATGTAGAGAGATTGAAGCAGGAATATAATATCACTAACCTAATCTAGAGTGATGGTATGTTTGAAGCTAATGGTCCCTGCTATGAGGCATTTACGGATCAGCTTTTAGCTGATCATCAATATACACAGCATGTTTGCTCTAGCCACATCATACAGTAGCGTATGAAAGCTTCGTAGCTTACCAAAGTCGACGATGCGTGATTATCGATGAATGCGCGTGCTTGAGAGAAACCGGTATCTAGAAAAGGACACGACCAATCAACGGTTTTGAGGAACGAGCCTCATGAACGAAATATATTCTCGGCCCCAGACAAAGAAAACGAACTAGTCTAATGATATGGCAGTTTCTACAGTTGGTATAGAACACTTTTTGGTGAAGGACAGGTCTGATGCACTGAAAGGAAGGGCCTGGTCCTACTCGAGCATAGGATAGCCCATGCGGTGCTCGCATGAGCGTGGGAACGCAAGTGTGTTGCTCTTAGGGCGTGGAATGATAGTATAGATACTTTCAAGTAGTATGTAGAAGTCCAAGTCCACAAAAGAGAATATCGGTGTACAGAAAGGGGGCATATGCACACTGGCTAAGTCACGTGATCACATACTCCTAGGTTAGGTGATCTGAGAGCTCCGTGGCCAGCTATAGTGGTCCATATTGCCACAAATGGATACTTCTCGTTGTGCACGGCTAGGTAGCTAATGATTGAAAAGCACCCCCATTTGCTTTTAAGCACGAAGTCGTGTATTGGTGCCTCTTTAACTTCTTTTCCTTGGCTGTTCAACCCGTTTTTTATGTAAAGTCGCACGCAGAGTAAGGGAATCTAGAAAGTTATCTTGTCTCCAACTTTTACTCGAACATCTTCTAATTTCTTGTATTGAAGCCTTCAGACCATGGTCTGAGAATCACAGGCATAACAGATCAATACATACAATCATTCTCAGCCAGACGATGTATTATGTCCTTTGCTCAGTATATCAAGACCTTTACACATACAGATATAGAGTTCTCGCCCGATTAGACTGCATCATTTCTTCTTCCCTTTCCCCTTCTTATGAGTTTTGCTCCATAAGCGTGACGATGTCCGGGACTCTTGGCTTTTATCGTAAGTGGTATTGGCCTCGGGCTCCAACGTGCTGCCCTTGTGCCACCGTGATGTTTCTGGGGATGGTACCCGGCTAGGGCCGGATGTCGAGAGCTTGCGCCTATTTCGGGACTCTTGGTCCTTTTCGTAGGTGGTCTTCGTCTTGGGCTCCACAGTGCTGGGGTTCGACCTCAATGCTGGATCTGGGGTTGGTACCCGCTTGGCCACGTTGTATTCCACATTTCCACTAGCACTGCTTTGGCTCTGTTGTGGCATCTTCGTGTTTGCCTGGTGTATCTGGCTGATATATTCGGGTTGTTCAACAACCGTTCGTTATTGATCGAAGATGCTAGACTGGTCGATGCGTACTAGACTTCAGAAGATGGTGTTAAGAATACGACGAGAAAAATATTTAATCATTTTATCGACATGTAGCAGCTGTGATGCTTAACCTCTCACAACTGTAACAGCCCACGGGTGTAGACCTTGCCATCAATGTGCGTCTGATTTACTTCCATATTTTCATTCGTGTGCTGAGGGAGGTTGCCATTTGAAACTCGGCTGGCGGGAAATGAACTTGCTGCCAACGATCGGTTGCAATTTCCACGTAACTTAAAAAGAGCATTATGTACAAATGGACTGAGTGACGATGGTGATTTAGGTACTTTAGCTTTTTAGAACATACAGAAGATGGTGTCCCAGACATCAATAGAATTAGTAGGCAATGCGCTTGGCCGATGAAAAGCATTGGTTTGTTATGTGTTGACTCTCTCCTATCGGGTACCCAAACCAAGTCTCATAGAATAGAACAAGACATTGCTGTGTATGAATCAGCTCAGCGGAAAACAGCAACGGTACCGAAAGGTAACAGGCAATAATGAGTATATTTCAACAATAGGAAGATATTGCTAGATGGTGCGACGCTTAAAAACTTCTCACTTTGTTTGCAGACTGGTCTAGCACAGGCATGAATCCATAAGCCCCACAACCTTGTCAAATATCCACAATGCTTACGTTTCCAACATCTGCTACAAAAGAGTAGCTGGCGTTGCATTTCCGCTGCTCAGCTTGTAAGCACTATAATGCTCACGTTTCCTGCATATACAGAATATCATTGGTTGCTCTCCGCTACTAAGACACTTTGGCTGCGTCTTCTTTAGACTAAATTAATGATGTGCGGTGTCTAGGTAAAACGCCACTGAGCTACTTGGTGGTCAAGAAATAACTATAAAGCTCTGCATGGAATGCATAGCCCGACTGCAATCATCATTCTCTGCAGTCCAATAACTAAAGCATCGATAATTAATCTATAGAACAACATGAGTCTATATTACCCCCGTCCAACCCTCACTGAGCAAAACTTTCCGGACCAGCTTGGGAAGGTAAATTAGCATATCCTGAACAATTTTGTCGCAGGCGTCAAAACTGACAAGCGACCAAGGTATTTGTCGTAACCGGCAGCTCAAGCGGCTTTGGAATGGAGCTTGCCAAGCTTTTGTACCAACGACACGCGAAAGTGTACATTGCTGTTCGTTCCGAGGCGAAGGCTCTTGCTGCTATTGAGGAAATACGAAATGCGTTTCCACAGTCAAAAGGTAAGCTTGTGTATCTGCATCTCGACCTGGCCGATCTCGTGTCCGTCAAGCTGTCGGCACAGGAGCTTCTCATCAATGAGAGCCGCCTGGATGTGCTCTGGAACAACGCCGGTGTCATGGTACCTCCGGAGGGCTCCAAGACGACCCAGGGCTACGAGCTTCAACTCGGAGTTAATGTCATCGCCGCCTGTATGTTCGCGCTGTGTCTACGCCCGCTTCTGGCCGCCACTGCAGCAAAAGCACCCAAGAACTCGGTACGAGTAGTTTGGGTGTCCTCGATAGCCGCTAAGACAGCACCAAAGCCGGCGGTTGATTTGATGAACATGTGGAACGAGGTTTATGATGAAAAGCAGTGGATAAAGTATTGCAGAAGCAAGGCTGGCACGATTTTGATCGCGGCCGAATTTGGAAAACGAGTGGCGAGCGAAGGCATCATTAGCATTGTGAGAATCACCATCTTTAGGAAGTCTAGCAAAACATACTGATTCTCTTGCATTAGAGCCTTGAGCCCGGTATAGCCAGAACAGAACTTCAGCGTTCTGCACCAGCATATCAGAGATTATTAGTAGTATGTTGCGGATCAGGGATGGTTTCTCGTGGTGCTCGTCTGACTTATGTTTCAGAGCATCGCAGGGTATGACCCGAAAAAAGGCGCATATACCGAGCTTTTTGCTGGCCTAAGCTCCAAGATCACAGTTGATAACCAGGGGCTTTGGGGTAAGTCTTTATTAAAAGATAGCCTTGCATGAATCTGACCTGATCCTCAGTCGTTCCAATCGGACGATTGCAGACTTACCGCAAAGACTTTCTCGACGAGGAGCTGCGAAGAAAGTATTATGAATGGATCGATACACAGATCAGTCCCTTCAAATAGCTTTGTGAAACGCATTCAAGAGAAATGATCGTACTTAAAAATATCGGGAGGCGGAACTTTCAGACGGACGGGCTGCTGCCGCTGCTGAGGGTGCCAACCCAGGAGGCCAGAACTCATCAACTTCTAGCTGCTCCTGAGGTTGATCAAGACGGGATGATGTGGAACTGTCTTTACCTTTGGTTTTAATATTTTTCTAAATATATTTTGACCTTTCTTAGCAGTTCCGAAGTGCCAACCAATGTGAACACCTGTAGTGGCTCCATGTGTAGTCGTCAGCATGTCTCACCGTTAAGCAAATTGTTAGAATCCTGCCGAATTATTTATAGGACGAGACAACTATATAGGACGAGACAACTAAGACATGCCCTGCATGGATCTCCACCAAGCACTATTTCTGGACATTTCACCATCTTCACCACCGGTAAGGCACTGCCATTTCTCCAAGAACCATGGAGTGGCCTCCCAGCTACGACAGTCCCAAGGAACACCTTCTCCGCGCCCATGCAAAGAGCCCATAGTAGTACCCCAGCATCGAAACCCGTCATTCGTCAGGTCTAGGCAGAGATCGTCCTCATCAATCATAGGTGGGTCTAAAGAAATGGCTGCTATAACGTTTGAGCGGAAGATTGGCCAAGGGATAAGGTCTAGGTATGGGTGATGTGGGAATAGGCGCTGGTTGGTGGTGGGTTGAAGATCTCTTGGGATGGTTCGTATACATCCGTGACCATTTAGTGAAGCGCCATCTTTTTCCAAGTGTGGATCGTATAATGGTGACACGGAGTCTTCGTCCCAAAGCATGTCTGGGGATATATCAAGAAACTGCATATTGAGCAGCTGAGCTGAAAGAATTGACACGACTGATAATGTAATAGTACTTGGTGGATTCGGGCACGTTGCTCTCAATGTCTCCAGTGATGGCCATGCTGGAGGATTCCGAAGCCGACCAAGAAGCGTGATGCCGCGCGATACGACGAGTTTCATATCGATACCCCCATAACTCAGCTTCACCAGTTCAATCCAGCGCTGTGAGGGGGCTTGCGAGGCTTGGTCGAAGAGGTCTGCTGCCATTCCATATCCAAGGCTTATCAAGCCATACTTGACGATGTGCCGAAGACCGAAGCCCTCACTTGCCATGATTCGGACACATCTGATTAATTCGTCTCGGGAGAAAGAGAAGAGGACTGGGAAGCTCAAGGCTTTTGCGAGCATGTTGTGATTACTGCTGCTACCTGAGTGCACGTTGATTGTGGCTCTTGTACTCGTGTCCATTATTTCTGCATCAGTCGCAGCGTGTCCAGCAGAAGCGTTGAGTGAGCTACTGCTGGCCAGTACAGATGCTGCCATTTGCTCGAGGGCATGCACTCGGTTTTTTTGCTTTGCACCTGGAGTCAATAAACTTAGTGACAGATGATAAGCTGTGCTCGCTCAACAAAGACTCACGGTAGTTGCGTTGCGCTTGGGCATTTTGCCGCTTACGCAGCTGGCCGGTTCCGATGTGGCCACGAGGCATGGTAAGGATAGCTCAAGAAGCACAGCAATTTGACACCATGACGCGTGGTGTTTTGGCCGTACACTGCGGTGATTTTTTTACATCTGGAGGAGGCGCGATTAATTGACAAATGTGAGCAATGCGGATTGGATTCGTCTTAGGTGAGCTTCAAGAACCGTGTGTTTATGTCCACTAGAACGGTGTCCCACTACACACATCACGGTAACTCTTATTTATACTTGTACGTGTAATACTACAAATGTTAATTGAAACGAAAGAATCAGCCAAATCTACCCTTTGTGCGGTCAAGGCTCGATTATTTCATTTGCGTATTCACATCAGATGCGCGTAAAAGTTCAGGTTGTGTCCGTCGAATTTATGTACCATCCAAATAAAGATGCCCAGCCGATGATTCCGCGACACGGTGTCAAAAAGCTGCGGCTGACTAATTAGTTGTCACAAACGATTGTGAACGTATCCAACCCTGTCAATCTTTTGGCTATATGTACGACCCTACGAACAGCATGTAGGTTCAGCTACAAGAAATGAATTTTACTTAGCATTGATTACAGTCCGGCTATCTTAACTATCCTCTGATGTGCACATACGGCTTATGACCTTTGCAGAAACTCAGAAGCTTGACAACTTACCCATGCGGCGTCAGCCAAGAAGGGTGCTGGGCCGGTCTATATTAGGGACCTCATGGCGGTGTTATAGCCCTCAAGGTGGCGCTTCAGGCGAGCCCAACCACTGGACACGTAGGCCGGAAGTTCGCAATGTTCACACCGTCAAAGTTGGAATGGGCTGGCCGTAATGCGTGGACAATGGCTCTCGAGAGGAGGAATGTTACTTTATCATAGGTGATAACACTGAACGATGGATGGAACTATTGAATCATGCGATATAAGTTTTTGATCATCTGGTACGATGCGTATCAGCTTAAAAACATTCATTACGGGCTGAACATCCATGCAATGTGATCCAAGCTGAGAAGGAGAATCGCAGTGATTGGTGAATTGCCTTTAGAGGATTGGGCGCTGAGCCAGGTTTAGTAAAATTGCTGTGCATCAGTCTTGGCACGAATAAAAGCAGGTTGCGGTCTACGATACTGGTGGGCAACCAGTACATACTTGAACGCAACACCATTGGAGCGCTGTAGAAACCACAGTACTGCTGATTCATTGGATCTATTACAGTACAGCACCATTTCTTTAATATCAATCAATAATCCTTGTGAACTCTCGTTCACACTAGTCTATCAAAAATAAACAACGCAGAAATTTATGAGTGCGTTAAATCCACAGGACGGCTCCTATTTTTCATAGAAGTCGTCTTCACAAAATTGATAACCTGGTTCTTACAAAATGAATATTTTCAACATGTATGCGGATTATCTCCTGAGGCTGGCCACGGATAATGCACATATCTTAACGCAACGAACTAAGAGGCTCGCATTCATCTTGATTCTACTATGTCTATTGATTTTTACCGTATTCAGCGGATTATATCTCTACGTTCCCACAGAAGCACAAAAGCGTATACCGCAGTATGTCACAACCTCAAACTTCACTGCCCAAGCCATCACTTGCGGATATCCTGCTAGTGGCCAATACGGGACATCTAGCACATCCGTATACGTCATTATGCTTACTACAGCATTCTTTGTACGTCGAGTACGTTGGTTATCTACTGCCATGGCAGCCTCTGCCATGACATATGCTGGAGTTGCTTCCATCCACCTCATGGTTCTTTTCTCGGTCAACAATCGGGTGGCTAAGGACAAACAACCATATGATTGTACACAGGTCAGCATCGGCAGCGGTAATGAAACGATCTCGATCTGCGCCGGAAACTTTGATCCAGACTATATCATTGCCGGCTCGCTTGTGGGCGAGGGCTTGCTAGCCATTCTACCAGCTGCAACGTGGTCCCAAACCTTCAAGAGCGCAGAAGGAGCCCCTATTCTCGTGCTTTGGACAGCTTTGCTTGCGACCGGGCACATATTCTTCAACATAATCACCCCGAACGCGTTTATAAACTACCAGATCTGCCCCATCGGCTCGAAAGAGCCCCTCCCCCGCTCAAACTACGAAGCAGGTCCCGAAGATGCAGCTTGGCATGAAAAACTCGACGCCATCCTGCGCAATGATCCCTTAGGCGGTACGGGTTGCATATACTCGTGTTTTTCCCCAGAGAGAGCATATCTCGGGAGACAATCACAAGAGATTGGAGTATTTGAAGCATCTTTGAGCAACAGATACACTAGTTCCGCAAGAAGAGGAACGGGCATTACCTTCTGGCTGCTTTACGCGATCTTGTCTTTTGCGGTCGTGATACTTCGACATAAACCATGTAGACATGATATCTGGAATCAAGTGAAACAGGAATGGCGCGAACTTCTGAGACTGCGTAGACCCTTACGCCTCGATGCATGCACAAGGTGCAAGGTCGAGATGGTGATCCAGGCGCTAGGTGTGTGCTCATATCTCGGATACGTCGGGCTATGTTTTGAAGAATTCGCCCACATTCCCAATGCGGAACCTTTTAGCGCAGTTGGGCAATGGGGCGTGTCGGCCACTGTTTTCATTGTCCTTATCGCTGCTGGAGTCAGTAGACTCGCAAAACTTTTGGGAGAATCTATACGCGAAGGTAGCCCTAGTGCTACAACTCCGCCAGTCGGTGGACAAGCCATCACATCCACTGTACAGCAAGGGCATATAGCTTCGTCGAGGAGTACAGATGACACGCCTCTGATGGATGTTCCAAGTAGACAGGTATCACGGACTGATGCCCGAGAGGAAAGAACTCGCACGGGCAACTAGCACGGTATTATGAGCATTCGATTTATTGAAATAAAAAACTGTGATGTATTCTCGTTAGCTACTACAGTGACAATCAGGTTGATATCTTTTGTTAGCATAAAACAGATTGATACATGTTATATGGTCGCGTAGAGACCAATTGCTATACGGTGGTGAGGAGATATTTCCACGTAGCCAGTGAAAAACATGGGATGTGGTATTGATTTGGACTGATGCTTGCGACATCATGACTGGATTACTAAGGTGGTACTAGAACTTGTTGGCGATTATTAAGCGCCTCGACAATCACAATAACATCGTCAAATTACACGCTTCAAAATTAATAGCTCCAGTATTACGACCTTTATTATTTTTGCTCTCCATATTCAACTTCAAGCTCAAATGAAGGCACTCGTGCTAAACGCTGAAGCTCGGACAGCCTCTGTGGAGGAGGTAGCTGTCCCTACAGCTGCTCAGGGCGAAGCAGTGGTGAAAGTCTTCGCCATCGCACTAAATCCAGTAGACGCCCTTTACACACTCAATCCGCTTGGCAAGAGTGGGAGAATCGTGGGCAGTGACTTTTCTGGCACAGTATTTGCGACAGCAGACGGCGATGGCGACATCAAGATTGGCACAAAAGTGGCGGGCTTTCTACAGGGCGCAAGCAGTGTCAATGAGCGGCCTGGAGCATTCGCAGAATACGTTACCTGCCCGGTGGACCTGCTTTGGCGAATGCCTGAGGATTTGACGTTCGAGGAGGCTGCGACTATAAGCCTTTGTGCTCTAACGGCGGCGCAGGCGCTATTCTATCGTCTGGATCTACCGGCGCCATTTGACTGGGTACCAGGAACACCCCGCATCAGACCCGGTGGTCGTTCGGCAGGTCTTCCAGATCGAGTTCCATTAACTGTCCTTGTATATGGTGCGTCAACTTCTGTTGGACTGTTCGTAGCACAGCTTCTGCGGTCGTCGGTAGTACACACTGGAGCATCATTGAAGATGATTGGTGTAGCGAGTCAAAAGAACTTTCCGTCATTGCACTCTGAACCATACCTTTACGACACCTTGATTGACTACAGAGATCAAGACTGGTCTCGTCAGGTTCTAGAGCAGACAAATGAACATGGTGTGGCATACGCAATTGATTGTATTTCAGAAGGAACTACGGTCAAAAATGTCGCCGGTGTCTTGAGTGACGGAGGCAAGATGGCCATCGTCAGATCGAGGGAGGGCGGCGCTTGGGATGCCGAAGGATTACCCGAAAATATCCGCCCGAGTTATGGCGCCGTGTGGGAAGGCCTCGGAGTCGACGTGCAATACCAAGGTCTTGTTGTGCCGGCATCTAGTCAATCTCGGACGTTCACAACTGCCTTCTTTAAGTGGTTGTCCAGCGGTCGAAGGATTAATGGTAATCCTGTCAGGCTAATGCCGGGTGGTCTGGAGAATATCACGCATGATGGCTTTGTGCTACTTGGTTCTGGTGCTATGAAAGATCGCGGTAAGGATCGACGCGAGCCTTGGATGAGGCCAATTAGTGCTGAGAAGTTAGTGTATCGACCTTTTTGATGATTAATCATCGTTGCAAGAAAGGGTTACTGAAAAGATTCCTAAAACGTGACTCGTGAAATAGACGCGCAATTAAACCATAAATACCATCCTTGACCATACAGTAAATTTCACTCATTAATCTTGTTAGATAAATGTTTGTAAATCCCAAACGAAAGAAAGAGCAAAAGAGTTTCTTTCATTTTTCTTCTCGATCCAAGGCCCATCAGTGAGCAGCCCTCACACTTATGTTTTCTGGCGTGATTAAATGGACACTATCCCTGAAATACACGGTCAATGATGAGTATATATCCCATGCATCGAGCTAATATTTTCGCCTATATATTGCAGATCTGAGGATTTAAATGGGACAATGATTGTAGAAATCTTTATAGACTCCGTGCACTCGCACTAATTCCACTCACATCGTCCTTATCCCGAGTATTACTTATCAATTGTAGAGATAGTAACTAGTGTATATCTATCGTCCACGAAGGATTATGAGCACCTATGTGAGATTCTTCTCAGTTGCTTCACTGGTATTGAGGCCGATGGCCTGACACCTGCCTTCGACGTCAATCAAGTATGAGGCAATCCCTGAGTCATTGGTGGATTGTAATTACACAAGCCGGAAGTGACCACCTAGGCTTGAATTCGAGCTTTCGTATTTCGCAAACAAAACTCTAGCATAATCCATCTCCCTCCTATAGCCATTTAATCCATCTGGCATAAATGATTGAAGTTGAAAACTTTCAGGTTAAGGAGTTATTTAAGAAGGGTTTCGATATTGAAAAGCTTAGGGGTCTTTAGCGGTTGATGATCGTGTAGACTGCATATAATAGGCGGATATGTAGTCGTGAACTGGTGCGATCCGCGTGGTTTGGTATGCTCTATCTAGATTTATGCGGCCTTTACTCAAGTATTATTGTTTATATAAGCTACTGTATCGCCAGCCGTAGATAATGCCGCATAAGATAGGCACAAAACACAATAGAGAATCCAGCTCTACGTCTGGTCAGAGGATGTTTACAACCGCCTCCTAAACTCCTCATAACCAGCTCGAAATTCAGGCCTTGGCTCATTCTCCCAGGCATAATCGGCATCACGGCCAGTGATAGCATCTAAGACAGGGTCGTTGGCGACAGGGACAGAGCCAATAGCCTCCAAGGCCAAGACAGTGGCCTGCAAACGATAGACTATTTCAAGATCTTCCGAAGACATCTCCTCCTCATTATCTATCACCTGGCGGTAGGTTCTAGTCGTTCCGGTGTCGGTGAAATATGAACAAGATGAATCGTCCTCTTGAAACACAACACCTGTCAGCGCAACGAGGATCGGAAGATACTGCATAGATTTACCTGTCAGAACCTCACACAATGCGATTCGATAGTTTCCATCCGCCACTTTATGCTCCATGTTATCAACGCCATATTTGGCAGCTACGAGCTTGCACTCCTGTTTGAGATTGCCGTCATTAAGGTCAAACTCAGGGACCACTTTATGGTTTTTTCGTATCATCAAAACCACGTTTTTTCCATCAACTTTACCCGAAGCGACCTCCAGGGCGTATTTCTTGAGAAGCCGAACCGAGTGACCGCTAGAAGTGCTATCATAAAGGTGGTTGAACATATGTTCAACCAATCCGTATATCGCGGCCCTTGCCTCGCTCTTAGGTTTCATTTTGGGTTGTGAGGTGTAGTATCAAACGAATGGTAGTAGAAGGATCTGAAACAAAGAATAAAGAATCCACAAATTATCACTAAATCCAGTGCCCTTTTATAGATACCCAAGTACGAGACGGTGATGGAGAAACCATACCTCTATGTCTCTAAATCACAGCATTCGTTCATGGCGAAGAGAACTAATAGTGAACCTCAGTACCTGATTGCAAGTTGGTGCACAACCTATCCTGAATGGTTTATTGTGAGATGATATCTTCACCACCTCTCCTAAGGTGGGTGAATCAATGGCCAAGATAGGGAATGTTGTGAGATACCACAAACTAAAGGAAAATGAATGCATTTCCAGAACACTTCTAATATCTAATTGTTCGACGAAATGTATTAGAGAATCTAAGCCCCTAAGTACATGATGTTACCTATCAGCTTTGGACTGCCTACTCAAGTTCGATTGAAACATCACGTTATTGCGCTTAAGTTACTACATGTTCTTAACGTTTATGTGTAAAATGACCAGATTCCGCTAAATTAATTGAGCGAGCTGGTCACAATCAGTGGTCATTCCACTACCCAGTTCGCGTTGGTGCACTCCATTGCAGGCACTACTCTGATGATAACTCATCACCAAAGGCTTCATGAATTTAGTCATCAAATTTGTCATAAATTGTCAAAGTCGGTTATGATGAAAATGCTTTTAGACTTCACGGCAGTAGAAATGATCATACTTATACACACGTTACCAGCTATAAGTTTGCACACGAGGCCATATACCAGCACAGCTCTGATCGTGCGCAGACTTATGGCTGTTGCTCAGCTACGAATAACATTTACGCTTGAGGATGCCGACGTTGTCTGGCTTAAAGCTAATCCGCCGTTATGAGCAAGGCCAAAACGTGGAGCGCATGAGTCCCATGGTTATGACGTCTGCTACTATGTTTTCCCGAGCCATACAGGGCCGGCGATGAGGTAATCGTCTTTCTCAAAACACTAGAAGTTGACGCCAGGCCAATACGCTTTTTGAAGGCGGTTAGTATTTCAAGGCGGTGAGTGGTATGCTGCGCCGACGAATATGAACTGAACAACTTCTCAAGTACCTTGCCAAAAGCTCAGGCTCTGGAAGAGGAAAGATGATGCATTTGTTAACGTAAGCACGAATTGAAGTTGAGAATACCTCACCTAGCGCCTAGCAATGTCTGGAAAGCTTATCCACGCAACTATCAACCCTATCTTTGGCTCCACGCATGGGACGGACCTGAGCCCAACCCCCCTCTGTGTAATATACGCTTCGTATTGCCCCGGACATTCGGTATGATTTCGGCTACGCTGGAGACTAGCTCATGTCGCTTCATCGTATGTACAGTACGAGTGGAGCTTTTCTTGGCTGCCCGTGCCGTGTGACTAGCATAGAAGGATCTGCCGCTCCACTTAGTAGGTAAGACCAGACATTTCGGATGGATCTTAGCCGTCTTCCAGAGCTTCACGCAGCTTTCGTGTAGACAAATATCCAAGAAACAAGCCCGACAACCGATGAATATCAGCTGATTCGACTGTCAGTATGTATTAAGCGATATCCGACGACGGTTCATCTAAGCAGTATTGACATGAAAAGAAAATATAAGATTGGCTGAAAAATATTTTTCATTCTGATGCAGTGTTCGTGTACATAGTGCGAAGGAGCCTATTCCCACCTATTGAGGCGGAAGAGCTGATTGGCCAGATACCCAATCTCATCCTTGTGACCTGTCAGGGAGGTCATGATCCTTCACCCACTATCGACTAAAGATACTATGACTCTGGGATTGCTTATATATGTACATAGTGAAAGTAATCGTCGGGTCACTACACACGATAATTGACAGTCTACGCAGGCTTGAAGTGCCCAAGTGGAGTGCTACAATTTACACGTGGGAGGCAAGATGCCCTGCATGGTGAACTTCATTGCTACGTAACGAGCGATTGGCTCTCATTCGCAGTCAGGTACGAGCACACGGGCAATTCTGATCTAACGGCACTGGGTGGCGCTTCTAGTAATGGGAAAGGCTATATGGTCTTCTAGTAAGTGACTCGCGTTCAAGCTTTTTGTTGGTTACAACATGTTTTCAATTGTTGCCTATTCGATGCACTATTTGTCATTTATCATATATGCGACTAACAATTCTCGCAGTGCAAGATGTGAGGCCAGTGGCACGTCCTGTCGCGTGTTTGAGATGGATTACCCCTTCTAAAACAATGTGGTTACTATTGATTTAGGTGTATAATGAGGATATTTCTTTATTTATAGACTTTTTGATCATTAAAATGTACATATCTCTAATCTTGCTTATTGGCTTTATGAGTTAGCAATTATATACTTACAGAGCTTTTGCCTGTGTGATTAATTGATAGAAAGGATGTCACCGGGGACCTTTAACACACCCTCTCGTTGGCCAAATTAACTATGATACTGTGATATCGCCGCATCTTACGGCAATCGCTTGCCTGGGGAGGATATTCAGCTGGAAACAGGTGGTCTCGTTGGCTGCGTTGATCAATTGCGTACACGGCGTGCTTTGTGTGGAGCAAGTTGTTGATCCGGTGCTTGTTAATACACAAACACAATCAATGCTCAAATTGATTAAAGATATAATGACTGTTCATATAATACGGGAATGACATCCATGAAATGGTTCCTACCAACTCACCCTGATATTGCCTGATCCACGAAACACCAAGTGATAAAATTTTCTTATTCGCTTCCAAGGCTGTAAATCCTACTAGCAGAGGGGTTGAGTTTGTCTTTCATACACGTTCTTCACTTCTGGTCCAACGCATCAGATCCAACGCTGAACAAGCTGTCCGGACTATTAAATAAAACATTTACAGAACTTAGTCTCTATCAAATTGTTACCAGTCATATCATTTCTATACACTTTTAAGCAATAAGCAGGGTCATTGTTGTCACTCGTGTAGTAACATCACGAGTAGTGCGGTTCCAGCTAAGTCTGAGATTGTGATAGGCCATTGCTTATATGAAATTAGTCTAGTCTAGAGCTCATGGTCACCCTGAATCCTATTTCCTTCAAGTCGTTTTGGACTTCATCGCGCCCTAGGCTCCGATGATGCAGATTTAATAGTTCGAAAACTCCACCCTCTTTGTTCAAGGAGAGTATTTCAGTCTTCATTCGTCGAAAATCACAGAAGTAACCTCTCCAGCCACTGTTTCACTAGCTATAAACCTTTGCAGTAGACCACTGTTGACTTCACGTTCTATGACTACGACACGGCTGTCTGACTGTAGCCCAACTGCCAACAAATTTCCGGCTTTGTTAATGGAGAATTGGCGTGGAACTCGGCCACCAGCAGGAAATGACTGCAGATATGACAGTTCGCCAGAGCTATGATCGACATTGTACGTGATAATGGCATCAGAAACGATCTGAGTACCATTTTTTATGTCGAAGTGGGGTATCCTAAAGCCGTTATCTCCGCGGGAAGAAACGATCAAAAACCTGTTATCGGGCTTCGAAAACATTAGCGATGGCTCGAACATAGAAAGGCTTGGGACTGACCGATAATGTAATTTCTGCCGCTGTAGTCCCATCTGGCACGGGATTATTCGGTCCGAGGGTGCTGATCGAAAAGAACTCTTTAAAATCCAGGGTCGAGTCGCTATAGCCAACAGTGTATCCAGTAATGGTGTTTGAAATCTCACTGATTAGATACATGTAGGTCTTTCCCCCAGTAGCTAGGAATGTGGCATGTCGGGGGCCAGAGCCAGGACTGGCAATCACAGGGTCTAATGCAGTATATCCAAGTCCGTCGATCTTGAAGACCCGAACGAGGTCCGCTCCCAAGTCTGGGACAATTATATATCCTCCCGTGGGGTCGAGTATGGCCTGATGAGGGTGTGACGCATCCTGTTGAGGTGAGTTTGGACCGGGCTGAGAAAGAGCAAATGTTTCATTCTGCAGCGGCTTTAATGTAGCTGGATCTGAAATATCGAATGTACTGAAACTGGAGCTCGTACTAAAAAAATCATTAGAAACGTCCTTCTACCACCACTCCAAACATGATCTGGAGGCAAGCCAGCTGCCACGACTTGTGCCTCACATGGTGCCTTGAAAAATAAGAGAAAGTCCTTACTAATGCGCTACAGCGAGTCCTGCTTTTGCATCGCTATCGCCGTAAATCACGGAGCTCACTGCTCCAAAGATCATGTCAACTCGATCAAGTTGAGTCAAACTGCCATCGTCATTTACCTGAAATGACGATAGTGACCCCGAGCGTGCAGATGATCCCCTGTCAAGACAGTATAGGGTCCTGCTGGCGGCTTGTAGAGTCAGCCATGCCGGGACTAGAGCGCAGCCAGCCGAGCCCGAGATGCTTTCAAGTGCAGTGGAAACGGAAGAAGCGTTCGGATCAGGCAAGGTAAGATTTAGCGTGGTAACTATGCCGGAATAAGATGAAACGTAAAGAAACATGGCCAAACACGATGGCAGAAAGTACAAGGATAAAAGACTGGCTAGACTTGGACCCTTCCACATCGTATTAGAGCTTGATACACAAGGTAGTAGTCGGGCTGGCAGGTTGAGAAGAGGAAATTCACAAACTTGCTTCGTTGAGATCACTACTAATATTCAGCTCAAACCCCATCCTAGTAATCCAGCGGAGCCCTGGTTCAATGGCTTAATAAGGCATCATTTCGCCGACCATCACCGGATCTCTGGGCACAGATGATGGCAACAGCTGGGAATCTGAGTCATGACTTTTACGAATGGCATGGTGTTCGGTGCATCACCCGGTTGTGGACAAATGCAACATAATTGATCCCTGCAATCTCGAAGCGATGCAAGGAACGGGCGGGGTAGTGGGAGATTCTCGCAAAGAAATAGCGAGCCAAGCCAACTAGACATGGAAGACCGTCTTCTAGGCTCCACAATGAGGTCCGCTTGCAGAGTGAACTGATGGAGAAATGCTCCCGTTCCAAGACTCCAAGAAGAGTACTACAATTCAACTTCCGCCAATCATAATGCAAGGGCGAATATAAAAGAGATGCGACAGAAGATATCAACCCTGTCAATTCCTGGATCCCCTTTCATTCTTACGGGCGCTTCCGTTAGCGCACCCTTTTGACCACATAGCCCTCGTGCCGCCTCGTTCTCGCTTCGCGAATTATATTTACTTCGAAAATGATTTAGTAGTATGTATTACACCTCTAATCACGATATATGTTATTTCGACGGAGTCAAGAATAATATAAAGCAAACATGATGAACTAAGGAGTACTTTATCGAACGATGTAGTAGACAGCATAAGTTGTGTCAGCCATGTCTTTAAATCAATATTGATATGGAAATCTTGTATATTTCGATATTGCCATTGATTTGAACAAGTCATATAGTGCTATTTATTCCTAATACCCATTGAGTCTTGGAGACCTATGCCTAACTAAGATCTTTCAAGACGTCGCTGTAAGATTGAGCATATTAATGTAAATATATCAAGTACTATGTCCGGAAAACACAAGAGAGCAACTCCCATTGTTGTTTCTCATGTGTGTACTATGTTAATTCGTCGCTGGGTGGGTGGAAAAGTACATCTAATGAACTTGGTCAAAACTTATCAATTCAATTCCTTACGGAGAGAGTTTGAGCAACCCTGAACAGATTATATTCCATTTACTAATGGTCATAGTTCTTTTCTAAAACATCATCCAAAATTCGTGAGAGTCAAAAGCAGTGGCAGTTTACCAGGGATAGCAAGGATTCTAAAGTAGCCAGAACATTGAAGTAAATGGACAAGACAGTGCCGCACGCTTATGGCTCAGTGAATAACAAGTCACAATTCAACATGAAAACTAATTGAAGATATCAGGTTCGAGGCGCTTATTTTGATTGCACCAAAACATGAAATACAGGGCCAGCAAGATCTATTCATAATTGTAAGTCGGTAGGATGAACGTTTAGGGATCTCTAGATCACTAGGTCTTAGCGTAAACAAGGCTGAAGTTATAACCACCAGTTACATTATCTTGGATGATAGCATTGCTTAGTATGGATTTATATCGTGTCTTTCGTGGTTTGAAATAAATGATCAAAGATAGAACGAATTGTTTCCTATTCAAATCTATTATGGAACGATCTTTTCTTTAAACCCTTTCGCCCTGAACTCGATATTGAGCTGTGACATATCCCGGAAAACCTTTGGCACAGCAATACAGTTGCAACTTTCCACGGGAAACTCAGAATCCAGATGGCACAGCATATTGGCAGGAACAAACGCATCTTAGCCTACGCCCAAACTCTTCTAGTCAGATGTAGTTTTTGCCTTATATCGGGCCAGGTTACTACACACTTTACCGATGTTATCTCGAAGGCCGAATCAGAATAGTTTCGGAACAGATCTATCTCCGTCGAAGAACTTATACTACATGGCGTTATTCATCTCTCTGAGACGAATTGCTTCAGTCGATGAAGGTTTGGTGACGTTCTCTTGGCTGCTCACAAGTTCACCATCAGGCAGGTGTTAAATGGGGTGACCGCCCCAACCACCATAGCAACTACCTGTAGAGACGAAATGGCGAATCAGGTGCCCGCAGGATACAAGCACAGCATTTAAAGCAGGATCACATTCGAGCACTCATGATCTGAAGCTTCAAAATATTTCAAATCCAAACTTGAGGGGAAGTCGAAGTGAATCATGTCAATATTCTTCTTCAAGGATTTGGATCTTGATACATAATGTATACACACGTTGAAACTATGGTAACCACCGCTTCGATAACTCGGACAATAGAGGGAGCATGAGACCCGATATTGAATGCTATCGCACCTTTAATGCTAAAAGTCAAAAACTACCAATTCCCGTCATTAGAGGTTATCAAATAAACACTTTACGGTATTGTTTATTATCGATCGTTTTCATCAATATGAAGAGACGTGGCCGATCGAAGCAACGCAGTCAAAATCCTTTATTAACGATGTATGGTTAGAGCACACAATAAGGTTCGTGGGCACGTCCTCGCCATTACGTGTGATCAATACTGTCTTTAATATACGATTGGAGTTCTCATTATTATGCTCAAGACTCTGAGTGGCTTCGTTCAGCCATTGTCTAGGCTCTCGAATCGCTATCGGCTCGCATGCATGATTTGATGCTTGGGAAACGCGTAAACATGTATATATGTTGCGTGACATCGATCTCTGACCCTTATCATGCGAAATCGTCCTTTCAGTAATATGTCATTCTAGTAATTGATAGCACGCAAACTGCGGGCCCGGTCTAGTCGTCCATTGTGTTTGAGTGTTGAGCAATCAGGCAGGGTTGTATTGGGTTGTATTGTACGCTAGAAAGCTGCAGTTGCACCTCAGGACGACACGTAAATGCAGGCGCCGAGATTGGATCTAGACTAGATGGATCAGAATTGACCTATTATGCGTGATGAGAATGTAACACGGAGACACCTGCATACATGCACCTATCAGCTCCAACGGGCCATCGTTGTTGAATCACTAGACAAAACACGTCGAAAGTGCATCCGCGTAATTCCTTTTATTTATTTATTTATTTATCTCGGCAAGCCCAGTGGCTTGAGCGTTAACGGCTTTTTTTTTCTTTTCTTTTTTCTCCTCTTCTCCTCCTCCTTCTCTCCAGGTTATGTTATCAACTTCTTAAGTACCACATGGTGCTTCGTATTTTATTGCTGATAGAATCTTTCAGGCTATCCATCGCCTTCGGTTTGATCAACCTGGCGAGGGCCAGATCGCTGATTTCATATAAAAGTCTAGACTAACAGCCAGCAAGTTATGCTTGAGATCTCTATTAACTCTTGTGATGGCCTCGGCCTCTTTAAGCGAAACATTTTCAATACCCTCCGCAATGAAATGACCATGTTGCATGCAATTTGGTCGTTGCGATATCTTTGCCTAGCACGACCGTGTGCCAAAAACAATCGCACGACCAGCTTGATTGCCGCGCTCACTCAAGCCCCGAGCAAATTAACCTCCAGCTACTAATTGCATTGTAATTTTCTCCTGTTTCATAAGCGCTGAGCAGAGGATCAATATTGCACCAGAAACCACGATCAATATATAGGCATTATCGATAGCGCTGACGAGGACTTCCAACGCAGCGCTCCTTATTTCAGGAGGAGCAGACTGCAGTACAAGACTCCTGGCTCCAGAAATTGCTGCCGTAACGTCCTCCACCGAGTAGCCCGCCGGGGCGAGGATAGATAGTAGCCTATTAAACGCCACGTTCTGGAAGATGGTGTTGCAGATGGCCAGCGCCACAAGAATACTGCCCTGCTGACCGACGTTGATGAACTGAATGACATCTGCCATCTCGCGAGGCGAAACTTTATTCGGAACGACCGAGTAGGCGGCTTGAAACGACATCTGGCCCATGCCGACGAGGGTTGAGTAGCCGTAGATATTGGCATCCGCTGTGTCCGTCCTGCTAGTATACAGCAGCGCGCCGCCGGCAGTGGTCAGAATGCCGCTGAGCAGAAACCAGGGCATATAGTAACCCCAGCGCACCATGAGGATACCATTCAGCATAACGCCGAAGACGTAAAAGATGACGAAGGGGAGCAGACGGACCGCAGTCTTGACACCGTCCTCGTTGCGGATGAGAGAGTAGAATAGCGAGAGATAGTATATGACCACGTAGAGTGCGCCGCTTAGTGCAGTACAGCAGACCAGCATCAGTACCAGAGTTCGCTCTCGCAGGAATTGCCCTGGGAACAGCCGGTTCTCCTTGGTTGTCAACACTCCGAAGTACTGTGTCATCGCAAATGCGGTCCCGATGACGATGACGACGACGTAAAGCGTGATCGCGCGACCGTCTGCCCAGTTCCAAACGGAGCCGCCGAATGTGAATATCATAGCCAGTATAATGTATATAGCGGTACTCAGAATCATACCCAGCCAGTCAAGAGACCTTAACTTTTGGGTCAAAGTGAGTGCAGGCCGGGGCTGCATCGACGGAAGGAGGAAGACATAGATGGGAGCCATTACGGCGAAGATGAAGAGGTTAAGATAGAAGGCCTATCATTATATTAAGTTAGTGATAATTAGCCGCTTTAGTTAGAAATTACTACATACCCAACGCCAACCCGAAGACGAACTGTCCGCCAGAGAACCTCCCACTACAGGCCCGAGAATGACTCCTGTGCCATAGACGAGAATGGCTGCTGCCATATAAGCGCTTCGCTCCTGGGGTATAGTAAGGCGCTGGAGCATGTTAATGTTTCTGTGAAAAATGTCAGTCTAGGGAAGAAGAAAGAGGAAGTAAACGTTTACCCTAGATACATTCCGGCTCCGCCAGCACCGGCCCAGACACGGCCGATAATCAAGGCGTTCATCTGAGGAGCGGCACCACATATGGCGCTAGCCGCGGCGAACAAGGCCAACGACCAGAAATAGAGCCATTTTACGTCGAAGGCGGCGTAGGCTTTGCCTCTGCAGGTCACGATTCAGTGGGAGGTCCTATGGTGTGGGGCCTGAGACGAGGATGACTTACAATGGCAATATAGCTGCAATTGCACCCAAGGGAAAGCCAATGCCTAGCCATCCGAGTTTGTTGACATTGCCCAGGGAATTGATTATGGGGGCCTGGATGTCAGCCACAATTGTGTTGTCGAGGCCGTACAAAAGATTGCATGAAAACACGGCCATGCATACAAGTGCCCATCGCAGGCCTGTAATTGACCTTTGTGGCTTGGTTACTTCGGTATCTGGCGGCTGATCGAGCGATAATGTTATATCTCCCTCCTGATGCAACATCTCGGATGTTTGGTTCGAATTGGGTGGCTTGCTTTTTCGAAACAAATAATATCCGCGGACCGGTTCGACCAGGACAACGACGACTAAGGTAGGACACAATAAATCAGTTAAGAGCTTGCGGTTTCTGGTTTAATATTAAGAAGACTTAGATGAATAAATTGATTAAGAACTTGCGATTTCTGTCTTTGATAATCAAAAATATGGATGAAACGTTCTCAAAGATCTTGATGCATCCTGGGCAGCATATCACGCGGTCGAGCTCTTGATCTCGTCGGCAATAAATCCTTGTTGCATACAGTACTGAGTGCATATTTGAGTCGTTATGGTCACAAAGACCGAATCTACGAGGCCGGCACGAACTTAACGGTATTAATCACAATGAGATGTTGTAATTTTGACAATATCGCCGATGCGGCCAACGTGCCCAGTCTAAAGTCCGAAAACCAACTGCCCCGGGTTCTCGTTGCGGTTCGCGTTGCAGCGAATGCAGAATCTTGCGGAGCATGCCGCGACCTCAAAGAAGATACGTATATAAATCAGCATTGTGGGCAAACATGTGAGTGGGACTTATGTAGTTCATCGTTCTTGACGGAACCAATAGCATGCAATCCGGTCATCAGTGGCTGTCCTTCATGTTTGCAACGCAATCAGCACTGTAACCGTTCATGAACAAGGACATCCATCTGCCAACATTAATATGAACATTAGCTTCAGACTGTGTGACACCGACTAATAGTCTTCACTCTAGTGAACTAGCTCCTCCCTCTTCTTATCCAACCTCCTGCCCTTTCAAAGCCTTGGCCCGCTCGACATTGATCCACCTCCAACCAGGTTTAACCTGACTATTATCGACCAAAAACCCGCCATACCTCTCTCCCAGACTATACACCCCAACTTCCAGCCCTTCCTCATCACCAACCCTCTTAAACTCGTTCAGCCTCCCCTTCGTATCCTCTCCGCTAACTTCCCACTTGCTGGCCATGTACCCCCTGACCTTCCACTGCCTGAACTTTCCTCTCCTTGCATAGTACACCGCCCGCCTCGTTATCATGGCCTCTTCCCTCTCGACCAACAGCTGTGTCTGAGTGCGGGCGAGTAGATGTGCGCTTTGGATAGGAAGTGGTGGTAGTCACCATGCTCAGAGCATAGCGTGGAGGATGGGTATCGGGCTGGTCTGAGAGTCCAGGCTTGTTCTTCGGTGGTGGAGGAGTCTATGATGCTTTGGGAGATGGTTATCTGGATCTAGTGGGAGGGCGTATGTCTAGATGGTTGGTTGGTTTTGGGGGGGGGGGGGATTAATGAAAGTCGAATTCTGACTCTCGTGGATATGGGTATGGTGATTTGGTATTGTTCTTTTGAGGTGAGCATATTGTGATTTGGCCAGGGGCGCACAGTAGCTAAGTAGCCTTGATACCTCGTACAAAGGAAACATTCCGTGGTTGAGACAGCACAATGCTATTGCGGTGATAAAGAGTTTTTGCATGATCCATACCAATAGCCACAATGCCGCATTGTGAAGCGAAACTGCTTTGTGGCCCCTTTCACCAGTAAAGCCTCAAGGTCTAGAGCGAAAACGAGGCGAGAGAGAAGAAGAACGAAAATCCAGGGCGAGATGGAAGGAAAGGACTATATGCTTTAAGATTTTCACACTCGGATAGTGTTTCGGAACTGCCAGGCTGAACGAGATATGTTGAAGTGGTAGCCAAGTGTTGGCCATGAATGAATTATTCCCAGACCGTGCAAAATCCTGCCATAGCCGGGCTGTACTATTTGAATGTGCGCCAATCTACAGGTCGGCAACTTGTATGTATGTGCCCAGACACCAACCTGCCGTACTGATAACAAGATAGATCCTTCCAGAAACGCCTTTAATGCTCGTCATGGTTCGTATTCATCTATACCATCATGACATCGTCTTCCTCGCCCTCTGCCTCGATGTCTCCTTCTAACCTCAAGAAATCGTGATGGAGGGCTTCCTCAGCACTGATACGCCGGCTGGGATCAAGCTCCAAGCACCGTTCCAGGAATTTGACAGCTGCCTTTTCTTCGTCTGAACAAACGGCATCAGACCTGTTCGTGCCGTCACTACGGCATGTGCTCCACAGCATGATCTTCTCGAAGCTGAAACCTCTTTCGCCAACGGTGGGAATACTGCTCTCGAAGACACAGCCATGAAGCTGACCTGCGGCCCTCATGCGTTTCGATCCAAATATGGTGGCAATCTCAATCATGGCCTCGATGTCATCCGCACTGTTGAAGAATGGGAAACGCTTGCAGAGGATAGTCAGCAAGATGACACCGGCTGACCAGATATCAATCTTGGTCGTCTGCTCTGTGCACTTGAAAAGGACTTCGGGGGCGCGGAAGCCGCGGGTGCCGGCGCGGTTGGCGCGTCTCGAAGGTCTCGTGTCGTTTTTCGGGTAGCCATGCTGGGGGCCTGCTTGCGTCGCGTTCGCCGTCCAGGAGGAGCGTATCCGTTGCTTGCGCGCCTCCGAGTCTAGATGGCATAGACATGGTTTGTGGTCTGTGCCTTCCCTCTCTGCAAGACCAAAGTCCACCAGCACGCCACGTTGCTTCTCGGGGTCGTATAGGAAATTGGTTGGCTTGATGTCTCTGTGAAGAATGCCCTTCTCATGCACGGCGGCCAGTGCTGTAAAGAGGGAGCGGAAGTAAACCTGAATGTCGGGTACGGACATTTGAGGGTAGTATTTCCGGAAGTCTTGGTGGCGGAAGTAGGGTAATATGACTACTACTTGATCCGACTCACGGAAAGCTGTGATCAGAGGGCAGACGGAGGGGGCGTCCCTCAGGTCGTGCAACAGCTCGATCTCGTTGAGAATACGCGTGGGCGAGGAGGTGACATATATCTTCTTGATTGCCACGCATTTCCGTGGCTTCCTGGGAGGGTTTGATCTCGAGTTGGACTGAGAATGTGAAGCCAGCTTTAGTGGTGGCGGCGTCCAGTGGTTGTCCTTTGCGTCCATGTCCCAGCTGTTGTTATAGCGGTCGTAGCGCAGATCCTCGGCCTTGTAGACAGTCGAGAAGGTACCTTCTCCTATGCGCTTGAGCAGACGATAGTTTTGTCTGAAGTCGGGGAAGGCTTCTGTCAGCTTCTCCATGTCTTGCTGTACCGTGAGGTCGATAGGTTCGTTCTCGTCAGAAGAGTCCGAGTCGCACTCCTCCGGGTCTTGGTCGTGCTCCTGCTCTTCCTCATCGTCGAGGTTTTCTTGGTCGTCGATGTCTTCTAACTGTTCGATGTCCTGGACTGCCTGACTTCTCCCCTGTGTATGACTCTCGTCGGTCTCGACAAGGTGGTCGGACATGTGATCCGGGGCGTCCTCGTGGATTTGGAAAGGCTCCTTGGGAATGCGCCGTCTGGTCAGCGTGGCCATTGCGCTGTCTCTCGAGAGAAAGCTGGAGCTCTGACGTGCGGCTACTGAATGCTGCGACTGCACAGACGCGGTCGCCTTGCAAAGCTCCGGTAGCGGGTGTCCAATCGTAGCTGTATCTCTGCGCGAGTGATGCGATGCAGAGAGTTTTGTTGTCTTTAAGCGCAAGTCCCTGTCGAGCCAAAGTCAAAGGTGCAGCTCATATGATGTCGCGCAGGTCGCTTTATTTAGCATTCGAGCTCGAGCAACAAACATTAATGTTAGACGACCATGAAATACGCGCCTTAAGCGCCGTGCTTGTACGGTAGCTTTGGGGCAGGGATATGGCTGGAAAGTTATGTTATGTCTATGTTATGCTACGTTATCAGATCAATCGACAAGATCACATCAGAGCGGCAGAGGTGAAGCACGCGGCTTGCTGCATGGAAGGATCAAAATCTATGATTATTCCTCTGATCTGATCATTTAGTTCGGCGGGTTGCCGATTTGACGGTTAGACGCGACTGTTATTTTTTCTTCTTCTCTCCTTTGGCGGGGAAGCTTTCGACTTTAGTGAACTTCAGCTCTCGCTAGACTGAGAAGAAGCCCGCGTCTCTCATTCGACGGTCTCGATTGAAAACCAAACAAAAACAAAAGCCCACCACCGTTGCTGGAGCCACATGATTTTCATTAGCCAAAGAACGTCACTTTGTTGACTTTGCATACGCCCAATTTTGGGGGGTAACAAATCAACGATTTTGAAAGGCAACATTGTCACGCCCACCATAATAATCATTGTCACATTGGTCGCTGGCGCAAATCAGCTCACATCGACCTTCTCTCTCCCGCCATTCACACAACAACGATTCGAGATACCCTGTGCTATTTGCGACGACAAGCGACGACAGCTACGACCTTCTTTTTTATTTTCTTTCTTCCTTCTCTTCCAAGGTCTGCGCGGCCAGTCGCGACATTCTTTGTACATATTGGGACGGAGCTAGGCTCTCTCACCCACGTCCCCACGCCACACATCACACACCACACATCGCCAGCTCTTCCGGCGCAAAGTTGCGGCCATGGACACGATAAACTTCGACATCAACGATGCCCTCAAGCATTACATGAGTGATCCGGCCAGCGTAGCCACGCCGGAGGCAGACACCTCGCTGGTGGACTGCGAAAACGACCCGGAAACCCTCACAAATGCCGTCATCAACCCGGTGCTCAACTCCATCGTTGACGCCGTCGCCGAGAACCCGGACTTCATAACCCGCAGTGCATATTTCGATTCGCTGCAGTTTCTACTCAAGTGCGCTCCCACTTCCTATAGCCCCTTGCCCACGGACAATCCTCCTGGCCTGTCATTCTCTTCACCTCGTCACAGTTCCTCTCGCGTGCAAAGACAAGAACCAATTTCTGAGCTATTCGTCCAATCCAGATCCGTCCAGTTCCTGCCCACCCATGCCCTCAGCAAGATCTTCGACCTGATCATGAGTGGCCTGGCTGCAGAGGCCGACGCCGTCAACAACGACCTCGAAAACCCGGACGACCAGGACATCATTGCCCACCACAAGACCCTCCTCGAGGTCTACGGCTTCCTGCTCCAATGGGCCACCGCCTGTGTCGAGATCAAGGCCGCCGAGAAGTCCTCATCAGCTCCAGCTGCACGCGCGAGGGGCAAAGGCGCCAAGTCCAAGAACGCCGCCGCCAGGGACAAGGATGGCGCATGGGATAGCGCCGCCCAGCTGCAAACAGCACTCGACGTCATGTCCAAGGTTCTGAAGTTGAAGCTGGCCAAGATATTCTTGACCACGAGCGAGCGCGACACCTTCATCGGCCTCCTCACTCGCCCCGTCTACATGGTCCTGGAAAGCGAGCAGAGATGCAAGAACACACACATCCGAATGCATGCCTTCAAGGTGCTCTGTATAGCAGTAAAGCACCACGGCCATGGATACGGTAGGTCATTGCATATCATCGCTCGGGCTGCACCCCTCCCAGAAAACTGACGCGTCGTAGCCGCCCAAATCTCTATAGTACAGAACTTGACCTACTTCGAGCACTTGTCCGAACCCATGGCCGAATTTCTCCACATCTTGTCTGAGCAATACGACTATCCCCAACTCACAGACGAGAGTCTGCGAGAGCTGAGCAATAAAGAGTTCAGCACCAACGATACAAGAGGCCCCAAGTCCGTCTCGGCCTTCATCGTAAAGCTTTCCGAGCTCGCACCAAGGCTCGTCATCAAGCAGATGACCATGCTTGCCAAGCAATTGGACAGTGAAGTACGTCCAAGTGTTTTTTTCTTCCTTTTTTTCTTCTTTTTCTTTTTCTTTTTTTTTTGCCCGCCATCGTCTGCAGACCATGCTGATACAACCTAGTCATACACCCTCAGATCCTCCCTCATTGAGGTGTGTGGCAACATGATTGCCTATCTCTCAAGGCAAGAAGAACGAAGTGAAAACCACAAGTCACAGCTCAATGCTTTCTTCGATGTGCTCGAAGAACGTTTCCTCGATATCAACCCCTACTGCAGATGTCGTGCAATCCAAGTCTACACCAAGATCTGCGAACTGGACCAGAAGTTTCCCAAGCGGCGCCAAAAGGCGGCTGAACTCGCCTCACGCAGTCTGGAAGACAAGAGCAGCCACGTCAGAAGAAACGCCATTAAGCTAATGGGTACTCTGATCAAGACGCATCCATTCACCGTGCTGCATGGCGCACAACTTGCCCGCAAGGACTGGCAGGAACGTCTTGACAAGGTTGATGCCGAGTTGACTGCCCTTCAGCCACCCGCTGGCGAGCCAGGTCTTGGAGATACGACAGCCAATGGCAATCTTGTCGACGAGCCTACACAGCTCGAATCCCCCCAAAAGGCCAGTATTCCTCAGAATATGACCGAAGAGGAGAAGGAGGCCATTGTTCGCAAGGCGCAAGAGGACGCTGCTACATCCGAGGCTATTGAGAAGCTGACGTTGACCAAGAGATACTACACTGACGCTATCAAGTTCATCGAAGTGCTGCAGGAGTCGACATCTACTGTTTGCCAACTCCTCGGCTCCAAAAACAAGTCCGAAGTCATCGAGGCCATGGACTACTTGGAAGTCGGCAACGCCTACAACATTGAGGACAACATGGTCGGCATTCGGCGCATGCTGCGTCTGATCTGGACCAAGGGCAATAGCGACGAGGGCAAGGGTGTTCAAACTCACCTGATCGATTGTTACAAGAGGCTCTTCTTTGAAGCGCCGGACCACTTCACCTCCAATGATGCCGCTGTTTACGTAGCGAGAAACATGATTAGTCTTACATCTGGCACAACGCCTGCCGAACAGACCAGTCTGGAGCAACTTCTCGCTACTATGATGAAGGGCGGCATGATCTCAGATCTCGTTATTACTAAACTGTGGGAAGTTTACGGTTACCAGAGACGAGAGATTTCAAAGTCTCAACGACGCGGCGCCATTATGGTCCTCGGTATGCTGGCAACCGCAAACCCGGAGATCGTAGTTGGGGAGATGGAGACGATGCTGCGAGTAGGTCTTGGTTCCTATGGACGCAACGATCTTCAGCTAGCCAAATACACATGCATTGCTCTGCGCAGACTGAACCCAATCGGCCGGCAGCAGAAGGATTCCCAAATCAAGTTCAGTCGTTTACCAAACGATCATGCCGTCCTGGCCAGACTTGCTGCCATCACCGATGTGCCGAGTGACAGCAAAGACTGGTTCGGCGTGGCTGAGCAGGCAATTAACGCCGTCTATGTCCTGTCCAGACACCCCGATGTTCTGTGCGGAGAAATAATCAAGCACAAGACGAAGGCTGTCTTTTCGTCGCAAGTAAAGTCGCCATCACGACCAGTCTCACGCGACTTTGATCCCACCATCACGGCTCCGGTTGCCGACTCGCAAGGACTGACGACCGCTCTTAACGAGCCGACCCAGACTGTTGACCGGCCAACATCGGAACCACCCGCCGAACCCAAGCAGAAGACATCCATTGCCTTGTCGCAGCTGCTTTTCGTCGTCGGACACGTCGCTATCAAACAGATCGTACATCTCGAGCTTTGCGAACTCGACTTCAAACGCAGAAAGCAGGAAAAGGAGAAGTTGACGTCCAGTGAACCAGCTGCGGAGGCACCGACACCGAACCCCAAGGGTCGTAAGTCTAAGACCCCGGCACCGGCACAAGAAGACGAGGGCGACGAGCTCGACCTCATTGGTGGAACGACAGAGGATGACTTCACGGAAGCCATGCTTCATATTCGCGAGCGTGAATTGCTGTTCGGTCCGCAATCGTTGCTTGCCAACTTCGGTCCCATGGTGGCGGAGATCTGCTCAAGAAGCGATATCTATCGGGACAAGGGCCTCCAAGCTGCAGCTACGCTTGCTCTGGCCAAGCTTATGTGCGTCAGCTCCGAGTACTGCGAGGAGCACTTGCCCCTGCTCATCACCATCATGGAGCGCAGCCCTGACCCCACCGTCCGCTCCAACGTCGTTATCGCTCTTGGTGATATGGCAGTTTGCTTCAACCATCTCATTGATGAGAACACAGACTTCTTGTACCGCCGTTTGGCTGATTCTGATCTGTCGGTCAAGAGGACATGCTTGATGACACTGACCTTCTTGATCTTGGCTGGACAAGTCAAGGTCAAGGGTCAACTGGGTGAGATGGCCAAGTGCCTCGAGGACAGCGACAAGCGCATCGCCGATCTCGCACGCATGTTCTTCAGCGAGCTTAGCACCAAGGATAACGCCGTGTACAACCATTTTGTCGATATGTTCAGCTTGTTGTCTGCTGGCAACTTGGAGGAAGACAGCTTCAAGCGGGTTGTCAAGTTCTTACTTGGCTTCGTTGAAAAGGTCAGCATCTCCCATCCTAACATCATGATGATTTGTCGTACTAACCATGACCATAGGACAAGCACGCCCGCCAATTGGCCGACAAGCTCGCCGCTCGTCTGCCCCGTTGCGAGACTGAGAGACAATGGAACGATGTCGCTTTTGCTCTTGGTCAATTGCAACATAAGAATGAGGAGATCACAAAGGTTGTTGGAGAAGGCTTCAAACTGGTGCAGGCCTCTGCTTAGACGATTGGGTTAACGATGCACGGAGTAACGCATAATGTATATTTACGATGGCGATGACCCATACGATATTATGGATCAAGGGCCTTGGCGTTGCAGGCGTTGTCTTCTAGAGCTTGTCGGAAGCCTATATTGATACCTGCCATCTTTCCGTTCTGTTCATATCACGTCCAAAAATAATTAGAAGCGCCGCCAATAATGGAGTTTCCGCATCCTGCAATGTTCCGAAACGCGCCAAGTAGTAACACAAGGTGCCGGCTCACGAACACCAACAATGTCATTCTGGACCGCCGCTTCCACGCCCTTACGACTGTAAAGAACGGGCTCAACAAGATATTACTGCGTCGCCGTCCCCGTACCCTCTTCCAACCTAGCGTTTCTATAGCGTCGTTGCACTTCCCACAAGGTAGCGTCAGGATCCATAATGGTAACCACATGGTTCATCCAAATTGCCAACAAATTATTGCCGAGGCATCTTGTGGCTGTGATGGATTATGTCAATCATGTGGCGACAATGCGCTTGCGAAAGCATTTAGTACAGAGCAACTCCTAGAAAAGCGTGCATGTTGACATCGCCGGATCTTGCATATCCTGCCTCTTCCCTCAGTAATGCCCTGCGAAAAGTGCGGTTTAGATGCATAGCATGCAAACCTCACTTTGATGCGTGAGCCTGCCTCCAGTATTTGGAGATCAAGACAACTTCGCCGCCTGTTCACACACTTCAATCCGCTGGCGGAGAAAAAGAAAGAGAATAAAAGAACAGCATTATACACCACCTGCAATGTCACAATAGCCTTGCAAGCTTCTCTATGTCTGAAAGGTGGAATGGTATTCTTCGTCGAATGCAAAACACTCTAAATCTGTCGCTTCCTTTGAAGTCCCGTGATCGTGACAAAAGAGGTTGTTAAAGTGAGAACGCCATTTTTCGTGAACTGTTGTGGTGAGTTTGGGCTGCGCGCACTGTTCACTCACCTATATTCAGCGAGCATCACAGCCTGAATGATACCTCCTAAGCTACCAGTTTGGGAGAGGGTGTTCCAATAGTCCAAATGAGCAGCTGCATAATCATAAAGATCTCAAGGGTAAAGTTACCTGTCCTCATAGTTATGTTAGGGTCAAAATCGTACTTCGATCACGTTAACATTCTGCGATGAGTTCAACATTTGACGAAAGAGCCAGATAATAGATGATAATCCTTAATTACTAATGATAAGGTTGTGCATCTCAACTGGTTCTGGTAGATGGGTAATATACTACAAGGTTATGGCCTTAGGCCCGGGCCTGAAAACAAGCTTGTGGGATGTATGGTTCATAGAGAATAAAATCCATGCGGGTTGAAGTGGGGACCTCAATAAGGGGATATTAGCCAAGCCAATACATAAGATGGGGGTAACAGTAATGACATCGGTATGCTTAAAGCATCACAAGATGTCAGTATACAGACGACAGTTGACGGACCACTATTCCCGAATCAATCTCCGTCAACCTTATTTCAACATCCGTAACTAGCTTTCCTTCTCTGCCTCCGCCTTCTCGAGTGGATCATCCTGGCTCGAAGTCTTCTCAGCTACAGAGTCGTCTCCCTTGTCCCCGATGGCAGCATCTAATGCATCCTCTCCGACTAAACCATCGGGAGCTGCGGCGCCTGTTTCCTTGTTCGCTTCGGCCTTCTCGAGGGCATCATCCTGAGCCGTGGTCTTTGATGGGTCTGGTATGTCATATTACTAGAGTGTCGCAAGAGTGGTAGACGAGTTGCACAATACCTGCGGGCATGATGGCGGGTTGGGTCAATTTTTCAACTACAAGTTTTAGTCGGTTCTTTGTTATGGGTTCTAAATTAGTTGTGGCTCCAGATAATAATAAAGGCGACGTATGGGGTTTTACTTATACCCATATCTTGGGGCAACCAAGCGGGTGATGTCATTCACTATAAAGCTGAGCTGAGTTAAGATTTTTGCTCGCATGCAACCTGCACCAATGAACAGGGCTTGGTGAGGTCAATGGAAACCGGTTTTGGCAGGTGAGCTTTGGGTTGCTGGGATTTGCTGCGAGATCGATTGCGATCGATACGTTCGACTGCTCCCCACATTACGTAGGCTGACCGTCACTTGCTTGTAATTTACGGACATGAGTTGAGTATCTGAGCAGGTGGCCATGCCGACATTTAAGACGGAAGAATATGATTTCTCGTAGTAGAATATGATGAGATGACCGGTTGTCCTATCGACCAGTTAAAACAGTCTTGTTGTGCCTTTCAGCTTGAGGCCGACGCCTTTCCCGCCTACTTCTCCGCCATCCATAGTTTTCGCCGGTTAGAATTGCACCAAGCCAAGGGAGGCAGGTGCATTAGTCAATTGCCCTCCGTTGCTAGATAGCAGCGAGATCTGTGATCACGTACACTCACTTGGGCAGCGTGGTCCACAACAAGGCTTACACGACGCAAAGGTCCAGCCCGTCCTAATATCTAAACAGTCATCTACTCTGAAAAACAGTGATTTATGGTTCTCCCCTTGCCAATGCGCACACCTGACGTTCTGGAACACGGTGATCACGCCGACTTCGCATTCTTTGAAATAGATAGAATGGTACTTGGCGCCGGGGTTGGTCTTGCAGCCCCGGCAGCTGCTGTCTCGCACAGGTCAGCGAAAAGATTGCCCGGTGGGTCCGTCACAACACTGTGGTGATGCACCCATCTCTCTCTTCAACGTTGGTGGAAAGTCTATCGAGTACTCGAAAAAGCTGGGCTGATGCTCTGTAAATGCATTATTAATAGTAGGAAGGCGAGGCGGGACAGCATTGGTTACAATATAAACGCGCAGGATTTGAAGTTGAATTTATTCGATGTTTGTCTGTCGATGAAGCGGTAATTTTCTCAACTTATACGGCGTGACCTGTAGCTATATATGACCGCAAAGAGCTAGGACGGTATTTGCGATCGAGATGGGGCCACTTAGTACGGGAACAGTGAGCCATGTGAATGTTCCCGCGCCACAAGCGAAGCTCATACTTAAGGCCGTGACCCACCATGAGCTACAGTCCCCAGCATGTGATCCTAGGGCGGAAGGAAGAAGTTAACGTTGAAACCAAAAACTGTACGAGTCGATGAGACAATCAAGCAAGACATGATCTATAGTGTAACCCGCTACTACGTAATCAGTAACCATTCAAATACACCCATCCTGTTTTTCATCCTCGATTTGATGTGTCGCTGAATACAAAGTATGACTGAGTTGAGATACCTCAAACATCTGTGTTGCTGAGAACATGTGTACTTGGTGAGTTATTTTGCGGTTGGTAGAGCCTGAAATGCACATTGAGGCAAGGCAAGACTGAAAAAAGCAATTCCTGTATTATATACGTGGTAGCTGAAGCTGAAGCTGAACGACCATGGGCAGAATGGCCTGAGATTTCCCTGGAATGGCTTGTAAGGCATGTTGACCATGTTTCGGCGTACCAGTATCAATGACCGAGAAGTAAATATGAGGTACCAAATTTGGGGTTCCACATCAGTTATCCCAGACTTAAAGACATGACAAGGAAACAACATGTAGTACATCTCATCTCATTATCATGGTTTACATTCAAAAATATCCATCGAGTCGAATACCTGCCAAGTATAACAGAAATAAACGACGTCTTCCATCCTAAGTATTTCGGAAACGCCCACTCTAGATTTCGTAACAGCCGCTATGGCCGCGTTGAACCGACGTGACATTTACTCCCGGGTACCCGAGGCGATCGACGCGGTATCCTTGCGTACCTCGGACGTCTGCGGAAGAACGGAAGCTTGCTGCGACTTTCTCTTGCGGAGGAACGCAAAGGCAAAGGCCCCGACAATGGCAAGCGAAGCGACAATGACTCCAACGGCAATACCGGCCTTGGCGCCAGTGGAGAGACCATCACTAGACGATGAAGACGACGAGCTCGTGCTGGGGCTAGTTGTGGAGGTAGCAGTGGCGGATGGAGATACAGTCGTAGTCTCGACGCCCCCAACAAAGTCTTCGGCAGTCACGTTGAAGCAGGGGACAGAGAGTGTGAAGTCTGCCGCCTCGACAAAGGTCTGTTGTTCAAGAGTCAGTAAATTTATGCCTGCCGATGAAAGAAAGTACCCACGATGTCTGCGCAAGCATAGAAGGTCTCGTTCTTGCCATTATTCTCGCCGGCATAGTCGGACCAGTATTCCAGTTGGATGGTAGCATTCGTGCCAGCGGTTACGCTGCTGGGGATCGAGGCGATTTTGTAGCACTGGTGCCCAGCCTCGATCCTTGTGATGTTGCTGACAACCTGCTCGGTGAAGTCACTTTGGGTTTCAGGGTCTTTCGTGTGTATTAGTATTGGTGATTGTTAGGTGATAGAACAGAATGCGCATACCGCTGTCGAAAGCCATGTAGAATGCGACATTCCATGCATCATCAGCGATAGACAGTGCAACTTCACCCTGGGCTTATTTCATGTTAGTGAGTTGTCTAAGGCTCTTGCGAAAATGTTAACATACTCAAAGGGTAGATGGTCCTATTTGATACACCGGAAGAGCTACCACATGGTCCGATGTTGTCGTATGTAGCACTCCATGGGCGGTCATCTGGCCACAGGAAAGCTACAGGGCCCATGATGGTGCCCTCATCTCCCTCACCGTGTACTTCCGCGTCGTCATCAGCGCGTGCGAGAGGAGCAGCAGCTAACCATGAAAGGCCTGCAAGAAGACGAAGAGTGTTTGTATACATCTCTACTGCTTATCGATTGGGATCAAGGGACAAACGTTGCACGGTGAAATAAATATAAGCGTGGCAGGTAGGACGATCTGCAGCACAGGCAGCAGCCGATAGGCCTTATTATGTGTATTCCTCCAACGAGAGTGAAGGGTGGCGAATAGCCGGTTCGGATCCGAGCGAGCAATCGATCCAGAATCGCAATTGTCTGCATGTGTGAGTAGGCAACCAGTAGCGATGCTAATACCGGAGCCAAGTTTATGTTGCATATGCCAAGATCTGATAAGTTTGTTCCTCCACTCAAAGTCGATAGTGTCGGCTCGAGCAGGCCATCCTGACAGGATTGTTGGTCGTCTTCGCCCATGGGTCACACCGTTCGGTGAGCTTCTCCACTCGTCTGTTGGAATAAAGAGAAGAAACTCTCGGCATGTGAAGATAAACAGGCAATGGATCCGGCTGATTATGTTTCTGTGACATGCAACAACAACCTCCGATAACGGCTGGCAGGTAGAATCGCCTGAAGATATTAGGCATGGATACGAGGAACTGGCAGGAATCCAATATCAACTAGGGTAGGAACCAATTGTGCGCAAAGCTCAGTCTGGCTATCTTTATTACCGTATTTGAAACTCGTGAGAAGCTATCTGGCTTGTGATAGCCGTACAAGGACGATGCGCAGTTGCACTATGCAGGCTAGGTTTACCGATTTTAGGAAGTTCAGAAGGTGCTGGCATTTTGCTGCTTGTTGTTGTCGAAAAAGAATCCAGGTGAAGCCCAGCCTATTGCGGATGCTAGTCATTTGGACTTGGTCAAGTGTTCTCCGCCGAACAAGCGATTGTGGTCCAAGAGCCTCCGATCCTATCGGTCTCCATAATGGCACTCCCAAGAAGCAGGGATGCACAAGAGAAATCCTGAAAACAAAAACAGCATCCTTTACATATTCATAATGACTCCTGCGTTAAAATCCAGAAACCCAAGTCACAATAATTCGGAATTACAACCGGATCAGCTCGGAGCAGTGATGCCAAGCCATTTAATCTTATCAATCGCATCAGATGGAACCATCGTGGCCAACGCCAAGGACAATTAGAGTCACGAAAGCGGGGTATGGAAAATACTGATTGCCTTTTACCGTTCCAATGGAACCGGATATCGCTCCCTTGTATGCGGGTCCTCTCTAGTCTGATCAAGTTGCATGGATCTTCGGATCAGATAAGTCGAGCCGAAAGTGGAGCAGAGATGAAGTGCTACCTGAAGGCTTGGGCTGGGTCCAGGTTTGTTTATCGATACTCACATAGCCAGCCGTGACCGGAGTCCTGCGAACATGGCTTGGGGCGACCCTTGTGTACAATAGCAGCCCGTCTGATGAGGTTGCTCGCAATCCTTATATATGGGCCGTGGTACGCCGTGTTGCAGGCGAGACACATCCTGCGATATCGCTTACGTACATACATTCATCCAGTAGCAACCAACTTTTGTATCTACGATTTGTGCCCATTGGCCATCATCAAACATGCTGTCGCAAAATATCTTCGTCGCCGCCGCTCTGGCCATCACTAGCAGCCAAGCATCCCTCGTCAACATCCGCGCAGTCGCCGCCGGTTCGGACGCATATAACTGCCACGACAACTGCGGTAAGCAACGACCTCCCAGAATACCACACTCCTCCGTACTGACGCCTACTTCCAGGCAACGCGATCCTCGAGGTCCAAGCCGCGAGCGCAGACATCTGCAGCGACAACATCTTCCTGACCGACTACGCGAACTGCCTGCTCTGCGCCGGCGAGGACAAGGACAACATCTGGAAGTATTACGGCTCGCAACTGACAAGTGCGGCGGCAGGCTGCGGGTTGTCGACCACGCCTTATGCCGGCTCGACCACGAGCACCATCCAATCCGCCCTCGTCGCCCAGACGGCCCCGGCGGCCTCTGCCAGCACGACGGCTGATGCGAGCGTCAGTCCTACAGCAGCTGCGACCACGAGTACTGAGACTGCGGGCTCTGTGGGTACTACCAGCGTTATCGTAAGTTGGACGATTACCATAAGTTCTCGAAAGAACTGCTCCTGACCAGACTAGTCTTCTACTGCCTCCGCCAATGCCACCGCAACCTCGATCGTCACGGCCGGTGCTTCCACTATCTTCGAGAAGTCAATTCTTGTCACCGCTGTCTTTTTCGGAGCAGTCGTTACGCTCATGACCCTCTAGGGGCATTTTGCATGGTGTGGTCGAAGATTTGTTTAATTTGTGTATAACAGTCTGGGGACGTCTACAGCTTGGGGACAGTTGCGAGATACGATTTAAACATTAATTGATAGTCTAATCTGTGCGTGATGCGCTTCCAGGAAAATAAAAATAAAATAAAATCATGGTCGCAGTACCGACAGCACCTCTTAGGAAGAAAGTGATTACCGACCGATTGGCCCCGTAAAACTACAACCACACCCCTATATTGGTTGCTCTCCAACGACCTTGTCAATACTACGGATGAACTCAAAAGCATTGGCCTCGCCTTCCAAATCGTTGTGAGCAGCAATGTACCTCGTGAAGAAATCATTCGGTTTGATGAGATATTCCGGTATTGCAGTGCTTCCATTTCTCCACTCGAAGCCTTTGGTGCTGGCTTGTTGGCGCTTGAATCCTTTGAGGGCCTCTGGCAGATAGTCAGGCCTCCTCTCTTGGCGGTACCATACGGTCGGGTGGATCATTTCGTAGGTCTTTCCAATCCTGACTCCGTCAAAATTTCTTTCGTTATATCGTCCGGGTGTCCGGGTCCTCGAGCCAGCTAAGACCATAGCGCCGCTGAAGCTATCCTCGATGGGCCCAGTGGCCCAGCCGAACTGAACCTGTTCTGATACAGTTTTGTGACTATCCTTGAGCCCATTCTTTACGAGAAAGCTCGACGCTCTCTTCTTGAGCCAGTGTCCAATATCATTGCCACCTTTTGGCAGCATGGTCGGGGGAAGCGGCTCTAAGGGGCATGCGATTAGGTCGTATCGGTCTTGAAGCGAGTTTTTGGCCAAGTTGAATATGTCCTTGTCGAGCTGGATGTATGGGGATATTTGCTCGCACATCCACGCGAACGTGATGAGCGCAATTTCTGTACATGTCAGTCGCCACCGATTTCGCGCCGGAACGGTAAACTTACGTTCAAAGTCGCCCTCCCTCTCATCTAGAGGGTCATCACTACCTCCGCCAATGTTGATGTGGTAGCCTGGAAACCAAACCTGGAGTAGCTCCGAATCGGTACCCTTCAGTGCCTCGTACATCTCAGAGTCAATCAGTTCTCCCCACGTAGCTTCAATCTGTTTCTGGGTCGCCTCTGGGTCATGCTCTATCCTCTTCCAGTCTTCATGAAGCTCATCATGAGACTTTCGTGGCTTCTTCGTCGAGAGGTCTCCGTCGGGCGGAAAGTGCCACAGAGTTGGAGAGAATGGTGATCGATGCTCGTCGAGAGCCAGCGCATGGAAAGCATGGCGAATATCTAACATCACGTTAGCTGGAGGTTTTCCAAGAACTTTCATACTACTGACATGGGCTGAGTGCGACGTTGTGAAACCCGGCATCCGGAATCCCGAGGAACTTCTCCAGCCAGTTTAGATGAGGTACGGTCCATGGTAGATCAGGTACTCCCAGACTCCCAACAGTATCAAACACACCTACGACTTGAACGACTCTCGAATCCTCCGGTGCGTCGGCATGGTAGGATTTGCCATACCGTGGCGTCTGGGGAGAAACAGGGCTGGCGACAGAATCTGCGTCGGAAAGGGCACCGTTGACCCATTCGCGGTAGTGCCTAGACTTCCTAAAACCATGACTGTCTTTGTTTTCCTGGTAGAGTCTATAGAGATCTGGGAAATCTTGAAGATCTCTCGGTGAGATGACACCTATGTCGTTGACAAGACCAGCTACTGCTCGAGCTGTGTAAGCGCCTCTGGAGAAGCCAAAGCAGAAAATTTGGTCTCCCTTCGAGTAGTTGAGAACAATAAAGTTGTATGCCTCGATGACATTGCCAATGAAGCCAATACCGAATCCGCCTTGTCGGTCTTTCTCTTCTTTGCTAATATCGCCCGTGCCTATGCCGGCATCATAGTGCACGATCTGTTGCCAAATCTTACCATCCACATCCCTGGCACTGCGGGCAATAGAGCGGGCTAAACGCGTTACATTCGAAGGAACGTTCTTGAGACCCGACACGGATGATTGCCAGGTGCCATCACAGCAAACAACAATTCGTTTAGACATGACAGGAATGTCAGACTCCTGGCCAAGTGAACCCATCTTTGCGAATGGCGTGAGCAATTATCCTGGTTTGGAATTATATAGCTGGGTATCGCTTCGTTCCAGCAGATGGATATGTGCGGACTTTTGTTGGTTGTTGGTTGTCATTCACTGTTTGTAGACAAAGGAGGCTTCCTCATTGGAAAATTGGCGACCTAGCGATTCCCGTTCAAGAATCGGAGTTCTACCGCGAGGATCTTATAGAGCTGATGGATTGATTCCACAACACCCACTCATGACTGCATTCATTTCAGCGACACCCTATAGGCGAAGCCACACGTGTGTGAGGCTGGGATGCGCAGGGCTTTTAGGTGCAGGTGCACAAAATCTGACTTGATACATTGCGAAAGGCTGTAATGTTTCATAGACGAATCCAACGCCTCCTGATGGCTGGTTGGCTGATGTCAGACAGACTGAACAGTCGGGGGGATGAGAATAGCTGAGGGATCGCTTAGGTGCGAGGCTATGCGATGTTATGCGACGTCTTATTAGGCTGCTGGATACCTATGTAAGCAGAACCCTGGTCGCTAGGGAGCCAGGGTCACATCCGTGCTGTTATCTGAACAGCCTACGGACTCCCTGCATAAGTCAAACGCGGGTGTTGGGTGCAGGTACAGCCTCACAGTCATCTCGAAGCAAGACCACGTTCGACAAGAACTTACTAGCGATCCACTGTACGTAAGAATCATGGATCAAATCGGCCGCAAAAATGCAAGACTTCTAGTCGCCGGCCTCGGCAACATGTACTAAGTGCTCCGGACTGTAAGCCGCGCATCAGGTGAGCGACGAGGCTGGAAGCAGGTGACTCAGCGAATGGCGACGGTTGGCCCGAAGCGGTGCGGACGCTCCAACCTGTGTTACCCAAAGAACTATCGATGATTACCAATGACTGTAATCAACAGTGTCGAAGTGTGTGGTTTCAAGTGGCATGCGTAGTTGACAATAATCCAAGGATGGAGGACCAACGTGATTCGCAAGTTGATCGAGTGGGGCATTTCGCCTGCCTGGCCATCAGCCGCCAAGGTCCGCTAACGTCAGATTGATGAGTAAGACAGGAGGATGGCAACATGGCACGAGGTTTCTATGAGCTCGAGTTTCACGGTTCCGGTGGCCATCGTGTCGCGTGTAACCATGATTACCGAAAAGCCAAAGCTCAGGAAAGAAAATTGACCAGCGTTATTTAACAAGCCGTCGACGTCGAAATGCTACACAGGTAATGAATTTGAGGGAGTCGGGTGATTTGACATCCCCACCTTGCTAAAGTGGAGAAGCATGCTACATAACAGTGGGCGGCTCCGGGATGATATCCGTTGGCTTCAGCACTGATGTGATATGTCGTGAGGGGTTCTTTGGCAATATACTCTGTGGTGCTAGAGACAATAAATATTTTCCCCACGTATTTCCTGGAAGTCTCACCGCCAAAAAAAACATAACCGGCTGCAACTCTGCCAAAAATGGCATTGGACCATGATTCCAAGATCCTGATTGTCGGGTCCGGCGTATTCGGCATCTCGACTGCACTATGGCTCGCTCGCAGCGGCTACCGAGACATAACGGTATTTGACATGCAGGACACATATTCCACAGGCTACGATCCAGCTGAGGTTGATTCTGCGTCTGCAGATCTAAATAAAATCATCCGCTTCTCATATGGAGATGAGATTGAATATCAGAGACTAGCCTTTGAAGCTGCGAAACTGTGGGAGGAATGGAATGGTGAGATCGCTTCGGCAGATGAGAGCCAACTGCCCGAGGTGCTACAAAAGGGCGCAAGAAAACTATGGTGGAACTGTGGATATCTCAGGATGAGCGAGACGGCTGAGTACGATGAATTCGAGCTCACAACGCTGGAAAATATGAAGAAGGAGGGGATTCGGGAAAGTCAATTTATGGTTGACGATGCTTCAGGTCGGTCATTCTCTGAAATCCACTGCATTCGAGTTGACGCCAGTATCAGATGTCGAGCGCGCCAAACAGCTTGGTTGGGGCCCCAAGCTGGACCCATGTCGGAGAGTTGAGAGGCTTGGCGTACATAAGGCGGTACTAGATGCAAGCGGTGGTTTCGTGGTCGCCTATAAAAGTTGCGCTTGGGCACAGCATCTCGCCAGAAAAGCTGGAGTGAAGCTCATTCTCCACCCAAGCCGAGGCAAAGTGGTAGATCTTGGAACTAGAGATGGTCGACCGCGGCTTGAGACAGCAGACAAGCAGGTATACGCAGGCGATCTCGTGATTGTCTCAGGTAGGCGCACAGAACTCAGAACGGTCCGAAAAATACAAGCATAACTGACGACGGTTAGGAGGCGGGTGGACCCAAGGACTTGTACCAGAGACAGCAGGGCTACTCGAAACGACTGCTGGGTCAGTGGCGACAATCCATATACCAGAAGATCGGTCTGATCTTCGAGAACGCTTTTCTCCTTCTAATTTTCCCGTCATCTCATGGAGCAAGGCCAAAGGTATCTATGCTTTACCACTGACAGAAAATGGTGACCTGAAGATCGGTTATCGACGAACAAAGTAAGGCCACCAACACTTCAAGGCACGGCGCACACTGACGATCAAGGTACACAAATTTCGAGGAGGTCGACGGTCGACGGATATCTGTCCCAAAAACTGCTCACGTCACAGAGCAAAAGGAAACGAATATCACGTTACAAGCACTGCGAGCTGTGCAGGGTGAGCATGCTGGCGGATGTCAAATACCGCTATCTAACGAGTAGTAGAATTCGTTTCCGTGAACATGCCTGAACTCGTTGAGTTTGGCATTTCGTCCACCAAGCTATGCTGGTATACCGACAGTATCGACAATTCGTTTGTGGTTGACTTCGTGCCAGGCCGACCTGGTGTGGTCGTCTGCTCTGGCGGTAGCGGGCATGGTTTCAAGTTTCTTCCGATCCTTGGAAGAGAAGTCGTCACGATCATTGAGAGTTGCAACAAACAGACCGTTTATGGTGAGATGTGGAAATGGCGGAAGAGTGACAAGTCGACCAGAAACGGGTTGGAGGAAGGAGAAGCAGGGTCGAGACTACTGGCAAAGCAGACAATGGCGAAGGTTGCTGATTGGGCTCCAGGCAAACCTGAGGCTGTCATTTGAACATTGCGCAGCACTGATAAAGCCGACTGAAACTTTGAATAGCTTTTATCTTACCTCATCACACCACCATGCGACTTCATCTTCACCCATGTCGGGATTGCGGCCGTCTTCTTCGGTTCACTAGCGGCCGCCCCGTAGTTCTGCTCCACAGGGGTGCTAGTGTTACCTCTCTGGAATCTTGCTCCTCGGCCGACTTTGCATATTCTACATCAACTCCTGAACACCATTCCTTGCAGAGTCGCTCGGAATCTACATCGACATTGAAACCACTCATAAAGCGCTCAATGATCTGGCTATTAGTGTAGTGACCATCGATATGGTGTTCCGCAACATGCGATAAAGAAATGTCGTGGTCTCCGAGATACTCCTTTTCTTCTGGTGTGATATTGCATGGTTTCCAAGCGGCAGCCCAGTTCTATGCTTTGTACTGTGCGTCTCTGACTTCGCACTCATCCTCGCGCTAATAGTGACATCTAGACGGTATTTTCACAATTTGTTCCATGAACGGCCTTGCCATGCTCTTCTTGATCGCAGGCACCGATATGTGCTTCACATCCGAGTAGCAGCGAGACCTGCTCTGAATTATAGCCATGTTTCAAGGCCGGTGCAAGTGGTATTGCGCCACTTGAGTCCTTGAGGTTAATACTGCGGTAATGCTTATCCAGTATAGAGATGAAGATATCCAAGGGATCACGCCGGATTCGAGTGGCTGTATAAGAGCTGAGTTCCCAAATCTCTTGCCATTGAGATTATCGATCAGCGATCCGAGTGGTCCTCAACTCCTTCCATGCACCAATCTACATATCCTCATCTGAGAAATCTCCCACATCAGGCGTGATTGATCCGTAAGATGCGTCATAGAGGTGCTGATACTCGTTTTGGTTCGCGCTCGATACATCCGCCTTGAAAAGCTCATCCTCCAACTGTGCCAGTAGATAATGCTTGATCGGGCAAGGGGCTAGAGTGCCCAGCACCAATCCTCTGGCCCCATCTCCACCTGGAACTGCGCTAACTGCACAATACGCCCCTTAGCATTAGCGCAATGTCAGTGCATCGGCAACAACGGGAGTGGCTGTCCCACAGTTCTCCGCCAGGATCAAAAGAGTTCATGCGCTATGACAGATTGCGAATATATTTTCGCGGCATTTTTTGGCAAGTATACTAATAATCACCCCGACGTTGTAAGGACCTCGAATGATAAGATTACTCATGTGATGCAGATTTTGCTTCCCGTTGTGGCAATTGTCTGGCGTTGATGCGACTTTGAGAGCAGCTTTTGTTGCCCCCTTGGAATTCTCCTCGTTTCGTCCAGCCTATGCACCGTCGCTCGGCCTGTTGCATTGTGCATTGCACGTTTACGTAGTATCAGGACTTTGGTATGGGTGCTAGTTATATTAGACTCGTGGGTCAAGGCCAGCAGAGCCTGGGCCGTTGAAAAAGTAAGATACCTGGGTATAGTAGAAGAGGGAGCATTACAAGGTGTAGAAGTGGTTGTACATAATCCAATCACAGGATTTTACATAGAAGGCTGGTTGCCTCTGTTGAGTCGTACATGGACAGTACCTCCCTTGCCCGCGTTGAGTGGCCTCGTGTCCTCCTCATCTCGCTTTGGCCCATTTCCTTCGTAGAAACTGGGGGAAGCGCTGTTCTCTGATTTCTGAGATGCCTTCTCGAACTCGACATGCACTTCATGTGTGGTGTAAATGTTTCTGTCGCCCTCCCTCTCGTCCTCTGGCGCTATCGAATCGCTGCCACTTCTCGCGATGTCGGCTAGCTCGATGCCGTTGGCTCTGGCTTCTGAAATTCCATATCTGTCGCCCGACCATCTGTCTCTCTTGCTCAGGGCAGTAGCCCCGACCCTGGATCTCGACTTGGTCTGTTCCGAGCTATGGCCAATGTCGTTCTCAAGTACCGGTCCATCAGCGTCTATGTTGGCTTGGTTGCGCGCCTTGGCGACCTTGACGATCAGTTCGGCCATGGACATTTCGATGTTGAGTTTGACGATATACGCCAACGGGTGAAATTGCATGTATCTAAAATCTGAATTAGTTCCATGTCGCAACTCACCACAATATTACTAGCTAAGCTCAACTCACACAAAAGTGTTCTCTAGGCTCATCATGGCTATGATGAGCACATCCATGGCCAATGAGAAGCCGATGATGAACATGTTGAATTGAGATAGAGCCTTGTACTTTCCAAGGCCATTGTGCACCAAGTTCCTGGATACAATGCTGATGAAGTAGATGTTGAGGGCGGCATCGATGACGAGATACAGGCCTTTCTCACAGCGGTCCCACCAGTTGTTTATTGAGATGTACTCTTCCGAGATCTGTAAGCGGGCGGGAATCCAGATTGTGTATACGGAAATGTTGATGGCCGTAATCACGGTAGCGACGCCGACCTTGAGGCGCCAGACAAGCTTCGGGTTCCTGACAAGGATGGCGCAACGGTTGATGATAATTTGAAGGAGAAACTGAACTTGAAGTGCCCATAGAGTAACTTGCATGCATTAGCCTTCACGATGCACCGCTGAGTTGAATTGAGTCACTCACGAATGCAAAAGTAAAATCCGAAACTGCAGGTCACACGAGGTCAGTATTGATTTAACGTATCGAGATCTTAGAACTTACCTCGGTGGTATGAGGCCTTTGAGGTGTAGCCAACATATTATGCTAAATGTCAGGCATACTAAAATTTCCATCCATATCATCCAGATGTAGGTGTTTCCAAACACTCCCACGCCACTCCTCTTGTAAGCTCTTGCGGTTTGCTTGGATGCGGTCCATGTTGTGAGCCATCCAAACCCTATCGTGAAGCCGAAAGCCAAGGATGCGATGGCTATGTCGTTTGTGGTAACCTCCTGAGCCACATAATTCGGTGAAAGCAAACTCATCGTAGGCGGCCTTTGGTGTTCGAGAATGTGCGCTGCACCGTATCGCTTCAGTCTGAGACATCAGTTCGGAAGTAGTGAATAAACTCAAATATGTATATATTATCCGCGTTAGTGTCGGGGAAACGGCGCTAGGTTCTAGGTCAGGGGCTTTCTGAGATCTACCAGGTCGCGCTTTGACTGAGAAGCTTATGCATGAGGTTCTCCAAAACTAACGAGTCATCCTGACGCGTGGCGGTGCTATTCTGCGTTTTAAGGTTCGACCTACCAACCAGCTAGACCGAATTTCCATAGCATATGCGATTGGCGTCCCTTGCTTTTTCATGTTTGCAATTGAATTTTCGAAAGGTCGATTCAGCTACGCAGTGTGTATGGTATCCTCGAATCAGTCATTTGGAGTCATCATCTCCGGTATGAGCCTAGCTGAAGACTTGACCCAAGCTAGTACTTGTCGATCTCGGGCATCTCAGCAATATGTTGGGTGGGCATACCGAGGCTGATCGGGATGGAGCCCGACCGATTGGTACCACTTGGTATACTCCTCCCAGAATGACGATCGGATCTAGACGTGTTCCGTATAGGTGCGAGAGCTCCGCCGTGCAAGGCCTTACTCGGCTGATTGGGCGTGTTTTTGCAGATCGCACTTCAATCACGGTGTAACTCGGTCTGGGTTCGTTGACTTCCTTGTTTCGATTCAGCAAGCGATCCTTGCTTGTGACTGTATTCCAGGTTTCGCAGTGAAATCTGATCTCTTTGTCGAGACCGGCCCTTGCGAAAGTGGAGTAGTATTTCATCTAGACTAGTGCCTTGGCAGCCTTGACATTCTGTTCTCAGCACAATAGTTTCAGTGACATTGGCTCACAAGGGTATAGTAGTTTTTATGTCGCCCATCAACAATACTGAGCTTGCTAGGTTTTCCGGATTGTAAAGCTCCCGACGTCCTCGACCCAGCTATCTTGGCATGTTCTGTTAGCTCTAGGGGGAACTGCCCGCGGCATCAGATGGCAAGCTAGTCTAGTTCCAAAACAAGATTGATGGTTAACGTATTATGAACGGATTCGAAATAGAGTTTGGACGATAGCTCGTTAGCTGAGGAAAGAGATGACAAGCTCACTTACGAACGTACCGTTTAATTGGCCACTCCCTCGAGATCTTCGTAAAATAATACTTGGTTGGATTGAGAGCACAAGTGAGCTGACCAGGTGGTAACTGCTGATTATTTTTTACAGCCTGTTCGAACCATCCTCGACTGCCACCCTTGTCAGTACTTGACAAGGGGCAGTTAAATTATGTCTTCAATTATAGTACACCCAAGTGAACTCTGTTATTGATCCTAAACATGATTGATGGCTCATATTTGTGTACAACACGCTGTAGGATGATTGCTTCAAAGTTGCCCCCATATATCGTAATAAGTGCTGATGGGCATGAAGATGGTACAGTCGAGCGCAAGAGACCGGCCCACATGCCCCATCTCTGATAAATAGGCTGCAACATCTTATTATGGCCAACAATCTATACTGTGTATGCACAGACGGTGGACACAAGAATTGGCGCGCTAGCAGGTGCGATAGTAGCTTCTGCGCCAATTTTTGTGTCCCTGATCCAGTCGACCATCTGCCATTTACTAATGATCTTGGGGACCCCCGGGGATCAGCACGCGGTTGTGATTTGGGCACCAACCAACGGGGAACAGCCGTGCGCAGGATCGCTCACTTCCCAGCCCCATGGCTCCGGCATCTGGGTTCCTAGTCCAGTGCTACTAGTGTGTGACGGCGTCCTCATCCGGGTGGAGCGAGTAACCTAATAAGTGCATCTTGCCGTTGAACAACGGATACAACTCAAGATAACCCCCCTCCAAATACACAGGGTTTTCACGTAGAATGTTTGACGCAATTTTCCTGTATCGCGGGCCGAGTCTGTCATGACGACCGTCAACTTTTGATGATGCCAAGCACTCGTTTGCTTTGGGTATGTGCCACAGCGAATAATTAATTCACTATGTATTTTCAACGCTTTTCGCCGCAGCGACCTTCGACTCTTCTTTCAGAAACACAGAGCATAGAAAACGCGGCCATGAAACGGTCAAAAGCGACGTGGTTATGTACTCGTAGTTCCACAAGAGCTGTGCATTGCACAAATCGACGAGACTCTTTCAGTATAGAGTGTCTCATAAGGAATCCATGGGTAACCATTGGCTCTCGTGAATCAATGCATATTCGTCGGCTCTTTTAGTTTTCCACCCGTGGCTGGCCTACACACGATTTTACCCGTTCGTGCACCGGCTGCTCGCCGTGGTTTAGGAACATCGTACGTATCATTGTTGGAAAAGGAACAAAAAAAAAGAAAAGGAAAATGTGGCAACTGACTAAGTCACACTACGCCTCGAACAATTCATGGGAGCTGGCTATCACATGAAGAAAAGAACGATGACCATACTCCCCAGATGGAAGGACGAATTGGGTGAATTGTGAAAAGTGTCCCGATTAGTTTACGCTTAGTAGGCTCCGTTGTGGCAAGTGTATCGAATCGTTCGCAGCTAGCGTAAAAGTGGCGCACGACTACGGCTCTCGCGACGGGCTCTCGCGCGACTTCGAGATGAGTGCCACATAAGGAACGAAATTTCTCGCGATTTATGGGTTTTCATGAAACTCCTTAATCAGGCGAAACGGCTGATGCACATCAATATGTATTACTCGAAAAGGGAGAGTACTCGACCTCCTTCCACGTAACTCATTGATCAGAAAATTTGGGTTCGAATATGAACGGGTTCTTTCAAGCCGCCCATATGGATTCACAACATTATGGGCAATCGACCTATACCGTGCACAGACTTTGGCGACAAATGATGATATTTCCTACTATGGTAGATAAAACCCCGATAGTATCTAATTTTTGGCGTTCCCTAGTGCCATAGTGCCTCGCGGGGCACCGGGGAACTTGTACTATCGGTCGGGTAGAAGGAGACGAACGAGTAAGAGACGGCATTAGCCCGTCGATAGTTAGTCATTTCGGCCCGTACAAGTCCGGACCTGGTTCATCGACTAAGCCTCCAGCACTTACGGACTCTAGTCAATGCTTAAAAGCTCCGGAGAGCTATGATGCATCCCGGCTCCTGTGGCGAACGAGTCGGCGAATTTGTGTCATAGTGGAGCCATAGACTGCACAATGGACAATTTCAATTTCTGAACCAGCAGTACGCTACTGTAGTTTTTAAATCGTACCAAGCTATGTTAAGTAGGCCATCTTACATGCAGCTCAGACAGATTGTTGGGTGGAGTTGAGCTACTTGTGAAACAAAATATAATCTCGGGTTTGCAGAAACACGTAAAAGATCCAAAATAATTTACACTAAGTCTTTCGATTGCTCAGATGGTGCAAGCGCGGCTGGACTTTACGAGGAAGGTGTTCCCTTTCGAAAACGACTCAGAAATGATGTTCGCGTGGCCAGATGGCTTCGTCAGATGCAGAGAGTTATCACCTATATTATTAGATTGTTTGTTGGATGTAACTCAGTGCCCCTGAATTCCGACTTCTAGTATGCATCCTCCTTACTCGAAGGGCACAAATATTCATGCATTGCACCATTGGTCCAGCACAGGAAATCAAGGTGTACTTGTGACTGTCTTTACGCGGACATTTTCGAATCACAACCGGCAGATCTAACACAGAGAGTAACGTCACCTCGGCTTTTTCAAGGGTGGAGGCCGCAATTTCCCGACCATCCTTTCCGAGTGACGAATAATGTGTGCCCAGGAGCAAGCTCTTCGCTTTATAGGCATGAAAGGGACTGTTCGACGATGACCATGAGGGTCTTTTGAATAATAATTCTTTGAGCGATGTCCATATATCTTCCGTGGAGTGGTTATGTTGTTTCACCATCAGGAATACAAGTTGATCGAATGGTGGTGGCAACTCGAGTGGAGTAATTAGCAAAACGAGATTGTCACGGAGAATTCGCTAAGCCGTCTAAATGGCAGTATTGTAAACTAGAAATGTGTTCGTGGAGCCAGCAGGCTGATTTGCCAATCGTGACTAAAGGTAGTTGCTTGTATACTTTGAGAAGATGTCTATTCTCAGCCCCTCAGGATTGACCATAGTCGTGGCATCCGACCATTTGGTGGCGCTCGATGCCGAACTAATTTAAGCGTTTCGGTTCGAAATGTAGATGTAATAATTATCAAATCTAGATTGTTTTGTTTTATGGGCCCGACGTATCCATTGAATCCAAATGAAGTCTTGAATTGGATTCAACGAGCCGCCAACCATAACATCTTTCATTGCACCCCTAGAACCTTCTGTACCTCTTCAGAAGCGCTCTCTTGCATGTTGCCAACAGATGACTCTAATATGCTCACTGTTTACTTGCCTATCCTATTATTTCTTTAATAGTACCCGATGCTTTCATGGAGTTCATATCCATATACACCCTCGTAATCGTTTAGGTGGCCCCTACATCACAAGAGCGAGCTGCTCATCAACGACAAGCCATTATTTCTACATAACCTAGGAAACAGCCTCTTACCTACTCCCAAAGCACCCACCACCTTCTGAAGTTGGGTTCTATTTGATAAGGGTCTCACACCTTCTCGAGAGAATCTTCTCTGTTTGGAATTCTCGGGCCTTCTTCGCCAAAATCACGTAGGATCCTCTTGGTGTCGAAAGCAAGAAACTGACTATTGCCTTTTAATTGTTCATTCTCGCTAGCTCTAGCCCATTCCGCTTCGATTCATCCTAGTACAACATAGCACTCTTGTACCACATATATTGACGCTAGGTGGTCATGTCTCGCAGCGCCGTGCAGCACAGCCATGGTATCCCCTTGCATATCATGTGCTATCGCGTTTACATCAAGTCCCTGGTTTGACAAGAAACGGAGTATTTCGACGTGGGTGGCCTCGGTAACTCCTGATATGCAATATGAAACCAGCTCACCAGCCTGCTACTTCGGTAGGGTGGGATTAAGCGCAATGAATTGGAATAGGTACTCTAGGACATTCACGAGTGCATGACGCACCGCTGTCCGCATCAGTTTTGCGCAAGTCATCGTGCATGGGTTACGCTCCACCTGTTCCTTCAAGCAAGTCGGAAAGCTTCATTTGGTCCTTTGTGTCGTCGCGATCGGCGCGAAAAAATGAGACTAGCTCCTCTTGACATAGGGTGGATTACGCCTGGTCGGAATACATACCACCAATCGTAATCAATCAGCGCGGCTGCGGTGCAACTTCCCGCTCCCAGGACTGTCTCGTTTAGCCGATCGAATGGTGGACGTTGCATTGTCGTTATAATGAGGTCCTTGAGAGGCAATAAATCTGATTAGGTCTTCAAAATATGGTCTCTGTTCCGTGATTTCGATTCCCTGAACACATAGGGCAGCCAGAACTTCTCTCAGAAGCGAACTCTATAAAACTAATACATCAGCCTCAGAACATGCGGTAGAGTCTATCTTGAAGATGTCTTGCAGCTTCCATGGTATATCGGCCTGACGAATCGACGTTAGGTAGGACAATTATTCATTTTGCAATATCGATTAATTAGAGAACCTTTAACGCACGCAGTAGGCAAAGTTGTGTCGTGCTAAGAGAGTCCTTCAATATGAATGATGATCTAGTGTTAAGTTTACCCTGTACACGACTATCGTGTTCACCATCGAGATGTCCTCTTTGTTGTCAGCTAACTTCACAAGGATCCGGCTACTGTCTTGCTTGTATTATATCAAGCCATAGTGCGGTGAACTCCCAAGTTTGTGACTAGGAAATCGGGCATGCTCAGTTGATGATGAGAAAGACATAGAATTGATCAAAAACCCACGGTATAAATTGCTAATCTTGTTGTAAATCTCGTATTAGGAAAGAAAAGGATAATTTGAAGTCCAGGGACATACAAAAGTGTGAGTGACTGAGCATTGAATGTTGAGCAGGAATCCTGATTTCACCAGTGTTTCCACATGTTAAATTCGGCAGCAACAACGAAGTGCGTACATGTGGTGTATATCCTATGATGCAGTCCGACATCAACTTGATCTACACTATAGTAGATAAGCACAATATTTTCAGAGATCTACAAAAGGGCAACGAGATACGCTGGGTCTACATTAAAAAATATTAGCTGTCCACGGATCCACAGGACAGTCATTGCACTAATTTTGCCTATTCCACCTCGCTTAAGTTAAACAGTCCTCGTCAATGTTCACCATGGTGATCCATATTCCTCATGGTAAGACAAGCACAACATGACAGCTTATCGTGTAGCTGGGAAAGCTGTATGCTTACATCATTGGAGGCTATCTTTCAGGATTGGTCAGGAGGGTATGAGAAAAGGGTACTATATCGTTATGCCCTACGAAATTACAATTGGTACATGAAGAGGACATATGCTTATGGCGTGTTGACTTGGGCATGCAATTGGTACCCCGATCTAGACTATGGTCCACTGAGCTCAGCTTGATAGTAAGCACGCCATACCGCCACTTACAGCTGGACTCCCTTCGCATCTTAGGCTCCAATCGCTTCAGTTGTAGCTGAAGTTACGGTGCTTCTTATAGCCAATAACATCCGACTGGACGGTGTGCAGGTCATCCCTGTCATCGAGAACGCGGCTGAATATTGTGTTCAACGGGAAATCTCCGAGCCCGGAATTCGCTTATAATAAATTTGCAGATTTATGTGGCGGTGGTAAGGCCCAATTCTTCCAATGGAATCCGAGCGTTGGTAGCAATTGCAAGAGTATCACCATGGGTGTCACCTACTGCGTGTCTGTCTGCGATCATGATCAGGCCGGTAGGTGAAAAGTCAGCTTTAGACCTTTCAGATTCTACACCACTGAATAAACCATAGGAATCATTTCGACGTGCAATTTACTAATTATCACAAACGGCACCGGAGCTTGCTTCCCTCGCTCGTTTACGTACTAAATTGTTGTATGATGATGACGGTAGATTTCTTTGAGGCACTGCAGAGGTTCTTGAGAAACGGACTTGCCACCTGAGCAATAGCAAGCAACATATAGTCAAGCGTTGTAACTATTCACATCTGTATTGAGAATTCTAATTGTAGGTCGCGTAGCTCCGCCCAGCCGCTGTCTTTGCGCACCGGCCTCGTGTATGCGGCTGGCTATTAGATAATATATCACCTCACAGCAGAGGTCCTGGATATGAAGGGATCAGGATTCCAAATATATCATTAGGTCTCTTATAAGAGGATCGACCCTGATCTTTCAGAGTGAAAGCGAGGTTGTGCATACTATTTATAGTACCGGGATGTTACCGGCCGGGGACTAGCAAACTTGTCTTTACGGATCCGATTTACTTGCACGTCCAGTGGGCTTAAGCCTGCGAACCACCGGAGCGGCAACCGGAATTGTGATAAAAATATTTTAAAGGCGACTTCGAACGGTCTAGCGGATTTCAGTCCGCGGTAGATTCCTCATTTTGTCAGCCCACAGTGGAGCTTGGGCGGAGGCAGTGGCAGTTGAAATTGCGGAACGGAAACGTTTTTAAGGCGGCTTCAGATGGTCGGAGTGCAATCGAAATACCGTCGCCAAGCCTTAACTCACCACTATAGATAGAGCTTTTCAACTACAGTCAAAAAAGGCTGCGCAGCTTGAGCCGTCAAGGACTTCACCCTAAGTGTCTGGCTGATCAACGCCAGTGTGGTATGGCACATCGATAAATGTCGCTTTCTACCGTTAATCATACTCGCTGTCACGCAGTTCGAATGCCTGGGCCGTGATGGTAATAGTTCCATGCTAGTCTCGCTAGCCGAACTAAACCAAAGACTCACCATCTAGGCATTAGAGTACCACCGGCCGATCATTGAATATGCGGCCAATTGTGCCACTTTAACTATTGGCCTGCTTAGTATAACTATGTTAGGATTGAATATCAGTAGGTGGCTATGTGTGAGGTAGCCCACGGTTATATACCTAGTAAATAGGTGACTAGCCAGCCCGAAATATAGGTGACTGGGACCTATCTCAACTTGATGTTGTATAATCATGCTATAAATGGATTTCAAGAACCTCATTCAAATTAGCTTGACAATACTACACCGATATTCAAGCACTAATAAATCCAAGGTTGCAATGGCCCTCAGAGCGGAGACGTCTTCCGTTCTATAAATTTGAGTAAATTTGAGATACAACGACCATTTGTTCCCGGTCCCTATCGCACTCAGCTTATCATACCAAACCTCATGTCCTAGTAGTAACTTTACATTAGGATTGAAGAGCAGCTAACAAACCATAAGACGCATTTTAGAGTAAGACAAAATTTTACCAGTATACTCGTGAGGGCCATGGCGAGTTGGTTTCACCTAACGTTCAGGATTCAAGGCAAATTGTTCCAGTGCTTGGAAGTATTGCCAATTTCTAAATGTTGCCCATTGGGTAATAAGAACGAGAATCTAAAGGACTAGTATTAAAAGTTGCCACGAACTTTGCCCACATAAGAAGCTAACATTCCTAGGCATGTTTTTTTCCGTTGATTATAGTGCCCGGGGATACCCGTGGAGGTGTTGATGAGGCTGGTAGGTATACTATATTGATTACAGCCCGAAAAGAATGCGGCGCCTTTGAATCCTTTAAAAAAAATCTTTTACTAACGAACCCACTAGGTTCGGTTAGTAATAATCACTACTTTCAAAACTCCGTAAATTTAGTCGCTAATGATATCAAGAATTGTGAAGTTGAGACATCGAACAAGGTCCAGTTGTTTCCCCGCAATTGCGTGCTCTCTCACGCAAAGAAAAAGCATGTTCATGTATCTTTGATAATACTTTCCTGCTCACAGATTACTGTGTCGCTAAATGCATGACCCAACATCCGGCGCTGACGACGACTGCCTTCTCGATGACTTGCTATTATAGACCGCTCGAAACCTGCAGCAAATGTACGAGGGACTTTCTCGTACTCAGCATCGCTAGCAGGATGGCGAGCGTACACCACAGGCCAACTTATACTGCCGGATAACGCAACACGATTGGGTCCCATGCGAATCAAAAACAGCCCACAGTTTGGGACCTGGAAGGTTTCGTAGAGGGTGAAAGAAAAGCCGGTAAACTATGATCAAAATTCGAAAGGCAACGAAGTGGAGAATATTAGGTCGATCAAACTGCCACAATGTGCGTATGACGTTCAACATACAAGGCTGAGTACTATGGCTACTACACCAGCAGGCCTAATCTGCAATCCCCGAAGTCAGATTGCAGACTCTTTGGAGGATTGATGATAAGACATAATCGATGTGTGTTGGTGATTAACGGATTATGAAGAATACCATCAGGGTTGTCTCAACAAAGCACAAAGCCTTAACATAGTTTCTTATGACAGTTGTAGAGTCGATCTTTAGGTAAGTAAAATCCAAGAGTATTTGACATGAAAGGACGGTGGAAATTCACTACCCTGGTATTCGTGCAGAGCGTTACTTAAATGAGGGCTGATATGCTCGATAACCTCATAGAACGGGATATAACAAGCACATATCAAAGCAACTAACACGTTACTCCCAATGCAAACAAGTACAATTCATCCACGCAGGGTAAATCGGCCGCATCAGTTAACGTTGACAGAACCCGCATTTACTCATATGGGTAGGCGCCAACCGCGCACCAAGCCTCGACAGTCGGCCACTATTGGAGTGACTTGAATTATCGCGAGTTCCCCTCAGACATTGACAATCACCGATCTATTCATGGATTCATACTCTAACAAGATACCGGAGCGGGCCCCGGGTTCGTATAGTTCGTAGGAATAGGCCAGTAGATATTGATCAGAATGCCGGGGTCAGTAGCCTAGAAGATCAAAGTCAACACACATCTTCACTGAAATGTCAAACCGCACCTCACTACCACAAGCAAGGAAAGCATCAACTCAGATAAACTCACCGCATAAGCCCCTGGGAACGCAACCCCCGAGAAAGTCTTCGTCCCGCTGCCCGTGACCGTCAACTGCGCACAGCCTATATAAAACTGGGCCCCGCCCGTGCTGCTGGCCGAATGCAGCGCAATATGCTCGACCCTAAGCAGATAGTCGCCCGGCGCGACACAGCTCGGGATCGTGACACCGACCTGGGCCAGGCCGCTGGAGGCGAACGTGATGGCGTCGGCCGTGATGGTGGGGTGCTCCTCGTATATCTTGAACCAGACGCTGCCAGCGCCGTCGAAGCTCGCCGCCGTTTGCCCCGAGGGCACCTTGGCCAGGTAGAACTGCAGTGGGCCCGGGTGCTGGATGGCGGGGTCCACGCGGAAGCTTACGGTGGAGCCGGCGGCGACGGTCTGGGTCCCATTGGCGGTCGAGGGGGTCGTGAGCTCGTAGCACCGGAGCTGGGACGAGGTCACGTCCTGAACGGGGCCGTGGGATTGGTAGTTTGTCGTCTGACGGATGTATCTGCGGTAGGGGGACTTTGTGGTTAGTTTCTATGCGCTCGGATAGGTAAGTAGGCGGGTGTGAGATTCGGCGGGACATACTCCCAATCGTCGGAGGTGACGCCGTTGTAGATCAGGTCGGGGAAGGTGTCTAGTGGGGAGTTAGTCTAATAATACTGTTCGCCAACCAGGTATATAATGTCTTACAGTGCCCGAACACCACAGCGACGAGCGAAAGACCAACGAAGGACTTCATGGTGACAAGAAATCTGCAAAGATAGGCAATGATAGGCTTCGGCTATTGAAGTCAACACGGGCAATCGAGTCTTGGCAATGTAGAGATCCGCACGTTCATGCCGGATACAGGAGGAATGGGCTGCAACTTATAGAGCGCCACACGTTTACAAGTCGCAATTCATTACGTAGCAAATTAGACCACTAACAGCTGTTAGTCATTACCAGTGTCATAAGAATGTTGGACGGTCTTTCGGTCGGTCCCTTTTCTCGGCTGGCGGGCCGTGCATTTGGCAGTGACAAAACAGGATGGTGATGGGACAGCTTATTCGTGGATATACACAACTTCGCGATCGCCAAGGAGCAAGAAACAAAAGTCATCTTGTACACAATTTATTAACCAGAACTTGCAGATAGTACCGCTGGCCAGGATTTTGCGTCGTTCTGCACGGAAGAGCGCTGGAGCGTGGGGGGCGATCGACCGATGTACTCCAGGGTTCATGGTGAACGCCACGGCAGATGCCCGGGGACGTGTATGAAATGTCATCTGCTTGTCAGGATGGGGAACAATCGGAAGTTGCCAAGATTGGTAATGTGTTTACTTGCGACAGCGATCGAGACTGTCATCGGAGAACAGTAGAAATTGCCTAAAAAGGAAATGGAAAATGCTGCTCCACCAATTAGATCCCGTTAAAGGCCGGACCCACGACCTCCCTGTCAGGATACGGGGCGCCTGACCCCTGCCGCATCTAACCTTCTTTTCTTATGTTCCGATCCCTCCGCATTTGTAGCTCCATGTTTTCCAATGGTTGTCTTGTCATCAAGCACCCCCACGATGCGATGGCCCTGCTCGGTAGCCAGCCATTGCTTGATTGGTTGAGTAGTGACTTCTCTGCCAGCATGGCGTTTCGTTAGACCCTGCTTATTTCCGTAGAAATGTGGATGTCTTAGAAGTACTGTCCATCGATTAGTGTCAGTATCTCAACTATCCTGGTCAAGAAGCATAAAATAAACCAGCAATGCATAAAAACCTGTTGTTGTAGCACACAAAATAAGACTTACGCGTAACATCGTATACGTCGTCATCTACAGCGACCCATGTTCTTGTATTATTGCGGCCGTCATGCTGGGCCAGCTCCTCCCTTGAGATACTCCGAGGGTGTATTGTAGGGTTGATCTCAGCAACGACGAGTTGCCGATAGTTGGTATATAGTGAAACTAAGCCTCTCGCAATCTGCTCGTCATCCTTCTTGTGGGACGTGAGAAAAGCAGTCGCATCTGTACCGACAAGAGGCGCCAACAGATTATGAAGGGCTGGGTCCTTATTGTCCAGGTCTAGGGCACTTTAGCATTCGATCCAATCTTTGACCAGATAATCAGCTGACCTGAGATATCAAAAACATAGTTATGGAGAGAGATCTCCCGATCTTGTACATCGCCGGACTTGACTTCGTCAATCATGCGTCCGACTCTGAGATGTGCATAGCTCTGGTCATCCAGCATTTCCAAACTGTGGCAATCTGTGTTTCTCAAAAATACCGAAGTAGCATCACGCCCAGCCACATCCCGCAAGATATTAGACCCGCCTGGATGTGAGTCACAGTACTCGGTAAGGTTGTAGACGAAACAACCGATGGCCGTATAACATCCGAGGCTGGGGTTATCATGATATCGTAACGAAGTTGGTGTGTAAGTTTGAAGGTCGTAGAATTCGCTCACATGTCTGTGCTCGGACCTAAGAAGACCGCATCGGTAGGGCATCAGCCTGCCAATAAGATGTGCTTTGGTCTCGCTGCTATGTTCCTTGTCGAACTCCAGGGGGCCGCCGGGGTTCTTACACATGATAACCCTCTGTGTGGTGTTGGCGAATGGGAATGCTTTCCATAGATGTTAGCGAGTGCGGTCAGTAACGCGTGTTCACTCACCAGTGATATCGAAGATGGAATCCATGTAAGTGACCCATACGGGCATTTTCCCGGTACCATCACATTCTGCAACCTCAGCCAGCTGCATCCGCTGCAATAGCTTGCCCTTGGCAGTCAAGTCCGCCAATGAGTTTCGTATGGAAGTCGCTTTCCCGCCAACATCTGCCGTACTGGAAAGTAGTTGAAAGCCTTGTTCAGTGCAGGTAGTTAAATCATGAAAATCAGCATCAACAGCTAACAGTAGTCCTGTTAGACCGTTAGCGCAATGTTAAACTAGAAAATCACACTGGCGAACTGACGACTGATGTCATATACATCCCATCCCACGATTTCGTCTGGTTCTACAACCCACCTCCTGTCCGCAACTTCTGCAATGGTAAAATACCGCGTAGGCGCATGCTTCAACGGAGCCGGACGCCGTCGGCGGCCCGCACGCTTGGAGGCAGTGAGCTGGAGCTTGGCGGCGGCGTCAAATATCGGACTTGGCATGAAACCATCGACCGCCACATCCCCGGTATATGCCACCTGTTTGTACTGCTGATTCTGGTCAAAAGCGACCCATTCGGGAGGTGGGGCGTAGTTCGGTTCTGTAAACCTGAAAGTTCCCCAGCTATCCACGGGCTGGCCGGGACGTTCGGCAAGCAAGGGCTGTAACGCATGGTTAAATGCATTGTACCATCTGCGCTCTGTAGGATGTCCGCACAACTCTGTAAACCTCTGGGAAGCTATTTCCAGGTATTGGTTTGGATGTGTGACCTCACGGCCATCAAGTCCTCTAATCTGTCCGAGAGCATCCCGGGGAGTAGTCCACCACGTGTAAGATAATGGCATAGTGGGCCATCGGGGCATCCTGTTTACACCATCCTGCGTTGCGCGCATATTTCTGTGGTGGCTACGATCCGCATAAACCTTCTTTTCTGTGAAAAATGGCATACAACCCAACATCAGCCACGCAATGACCTCAAATATCCATATGGTACCATATCGATCAGCATCCGTCAAAATCAGGTCTCTCGCAATAACCAACAGATCGACAGCAGTATAATGGCAATTTGCGGCTTCACGTCTGATATGATAATAACGAAACGTATCAATAAGTTTGCGGCCGTAGTTCCACCCCCAAGGGGACTTCTGCCATATCTCCATTTCTTTTGCGTACCATGGCCGCTGTCGCTCCCACTCCAGCTCATTTCTCAAGACGTCATCACAGATTCGCTCCAGGCCGCTCTTCAGCTCAGCAACCGGCACGTTTTCTCCATAACGCCGTAACGAGAAGCGTTTTCGTTGCGGATCCATTGACAATATGGAGCCTATCACCGTCTCAGCTGAACACAACAATTTCGGGCATTTGAACGCCTGGCTCCCGCTACGTGGCACTATTGTCGTCCAAAAAGCCTCGTTGAACAGAGCGGAAACCCAATACACAGGGACATGATACCTATACAGAGGGACCTCGTCGACATAATAGTTGTGACCGGGGATGATGGTTATGTCCCGATCCTGTAACCCTTGGTATGTCGTGGCGTCGGCAGGATTTGGAAACTCATATAAAATGATCCCGAGAGGAGCGTCGGCAAACCATTCACCCGTCCATCGAAAGTCATCGATTTCCAGTGCCCTCAGATTCCCGCCAAAGACCCACTGGATGAACGAGATGCCGAGCTCTCTATGGTAGTCGCCCTCGAAATACGGCTCATGACTCCCGTTGTCGTCGTTATAGACTTGACCCTCGAGATAGGCTCTCCGGGCCCATACAGCGTGCATGAGCTCGTGCATGATAGTAGCAGCAAGATCAAGCCAGTCCATGCATCTTTCAGCCAGTGTTAGTTTCTCATCGTTCAGGCCTCTTAGCGCCCTGACGCTGACCAAAATGGTTGAGTGCTGAGCTTGCTCGTCGAAGACTGGTTCATGAGACTCTGCTTGCATACCTTTGACGGAGCCTTGTTCCGACCGGCGGTAGTCGTACTCGTCCATGAATGTCCATATGATGAATCTGGTCAGTTCATCGAATCTCTTGTGGAACTCAGCGACAGAGGGCCGGTTATCTTCACCTGGAGGATCATGGCGAAGCTTGAGTCCTAGGTTGGGTACGTCCCAGTCGATGCCCTCTCCATCAGGAAATGGGACAACTTTTGCTCCATCCGAGTAATCCTCTGGCATTGGAGCTTCTGCTTTCTGAATTTCTCCAAACATCACTGCGTCAAGCCTTGTGATAATTAGATGCACGCGACTAACCCTGAAGTCGTTCATAATAACTTACCAGGGAGTTCTCTCATCCAACAAACGGTGCAGAACCCTATTGGCCAGCTCTAGGGGCATACGCAGACTGTCCCATACATGGCCCTCATCCGGATGCCAATTCGTCCACCGTGTCGAATCGCGAAGCAGATCCTCGATACCAAACCAACGATACTTCCTGAAGCATTCCAACCAATCCGACTCTTTAATGACCAGTGCGGTGTTCATGAACTTCTGTAGTGCTTCATCTGTGCCTGAACCGCTCGAGTGGCCTCCAGAATCCATCCCAGGATAGAGGCGCTCATTGAGCAATCCGAGCTGCCGCGTCTTCAGACCTTGCAACTCGCGTTGCTGTGACTGCTCGCTGAGGAAGAGCTGATCCAGCTCAGCGTTGGTCGGCTTGTTGAAAGTTCCAGAATCTGGATCCATGCTGAATTTGGGTCGACCGGCGACATAATATTTTGGGTGAAGTACAGGGTCATATGGCGCGATCATAGAGTGTTTATTTCCATCTTTCCAAGCACGCCCTCGAGAAATGCCAAAACGTGTCGCCCACGGTGATAACTCGACAGGAGAGCTAGCCATCTTGCACCCAAGTCGTCCAATAATCTGACAGTGTACCGAGCAGTGCTCTTTCGAAATGACAGAAATCTGTGGGATAGAATGCAACACTGTACTCGTTGCCAAAGGACATGGTCAGGTAGTTGTGCTTCCGTGTGTGCGGTATCATTTAGATCTCTGAAATAAGGGATATTTGTAAGCTGTTTTCGTACACCGTCTTTGTTTCTTGAGCACATGGATGGAGCTAGATTGTAGCATGTCCCAAATTGGGTTTGGGGAAGGGGGGCAATAGATAACAAAGGGTTCGTTCGACAGTACAACTTGTGAGCAGCTTTGGCACGGTTTGATATTGATTCCTCATCTTGGTCAGTCCTCAACAGTTCCATAGCTCTAACCGTAGTGCCTTCAATCAATACCGTAGGCCAATTGTTTCGTAAAATTTGTCCCCATGTCCTTCGCAGGTCCCTCACTTTCTGGAACCAGACAGATCATTGATGGCTTTCATTCTATTTACAACTCAACAACTCCTGACCTGTTTCCAACTACGCTGGGTATAAGATGGCACGACCAAAGGTACAATACAAAGATGATGAGTGTCTAAAGAATATAGCTCAAATACTCACTCATCTTTCTGGACATCTGTTGACGCGCGATGAATGATGTTTACACGGGAGAAAGTTTGCCGCTCATGTACAGATGTGTGGCATGCTGCTACTCTTCCCTCACACAACAAAGTGATATCGAGCTTATCGCTAGTAAGAACCAAGGTAGCCGCCACTCTCCACGAATTGAATCTGGTAATCTCGTAAACTCGCCCAGTGGTGCAATTCTTCGTCCTCATCTTGAGGTGTCATGGTGCCAGATGTAGTGCTAGCCCCCGTGCGTTCGAGTTTGACCAATATCTCAAGGAATTTGCCGAGATACTCTTCTGCCTGTTTTGCGACTGGACCCTTGCGTTCAGTAGCGTCGTTGAGAAGTGTACTTGCAATCTGACGGATCTTGTTGACAAGCGAGACACCGTTGGGCTCCATGTTGCGTTGCGTGATCGAGGTAAGTACAGTGAGCAAATCCCTGACGACGGACTCACGCTCCTGATAGACCATGTTGTCTGTCTCATCTCGGATGTCCTCGCCGTTGATCTTGACATCGTTCGTTGGTTGTAGTTTGTGACTGTCGCGATGGTTGAGATATCGCTCTACAAAGTAGGAGCGGGTGGCAAGTTGAGAGGCATGGATGTTAGCCTTCTGAATCTCCAACTGCAATCGTCGGCGTCGGTTGGGATCTTCTGCTAGCATGTGGCGTACATCGTTGAGAGGCTGAGTAGCCGGGAATGCCGGAGGACAATACCGCAGATTCGGATCATCTGCGACGGCGCCAAGACCATTCTCAAGTTGCGCGGGGTTGACCTTGATCTGCAGCGAGTCGGGCAAGCGTTCCATGTGTGCCTTGATGGACGAGAGAGCATTGCTGAGCATGGACTTCTGGGCGGACCACTCAAAAAAGTTGATGCCATAGCACATGTCGACTCCCACCAGTTCGTTCATGGCCATGTAGGTGTTGACGTTGTGATTGAAGCCCGTGATCAAAGATGCAGCCCCTTCTGGTTGGGCCAGTATTTGGTGCGGATATATGTACTCATCGTCGACCTCAACTGGCAAATCAGGGTAGGGCTCCTGTGTCGTTGGAGGCGGAAGCGGGATCTCATTAATGGAGGCACCCAGTTGCGTCATGGATCGCAAGCCGGCTACCATTACCCAGAAGATACGCTTGCTGATCTGATCTTGGATGTGGTCGATAGGTCTGGTGGTGCCGCCGAGGGCAGCGGCTATCTCGGCGACAGTCGCGGCATTTTCAGATCGGCGTTGAGAGATCAACTCCCTGCAGAATGCCATTGTCTCGGCCATATATCTCTTGCAGGCCTTCCACTGCAGAGTATAGGCTGCGGATAAGGCCAGGAAATAGCTTGTGGCAACATCGTCGACAGTCATATCCTCCTTGATCATGTACGTGGAGCCTCTAGCCTCCATGGCGACAGCGCGACAACGATCGATCATGGTGATAGCTGTGGGGAAGAGACTAGTACTGTGGGTAGCCTTCAGGTGTGCTCGGGCACTCCTGGGGAAGGAGGCAACCAAGATACCAATCATGCTTGCTACCAGGGCGAGGAACTCGGTGCTGGTTCTGTCGGCGCGGGTATTGAAGGCTGCTCGGAAGGTGGGCTCGTGGGGAAATGGCATCAGTGGGTGGATGTAGGTAAAGAAGTCGTCGACGAGCAGAGTGAGGACAGGCCAGGGCGCAATGACCTCGGCATCAAGGACGTTGCTGTGGGCATTGATAGCGACCAAGGCCTCGACATCGTCCTGCTGGACCGGGGACAGGCCGTCGACTCTGGCTCTCTTGGCAGCCTTTGCAGCTTCAGCGTGCTTGTTCGGGGGGCCACGGCGCTTCATCTCCCTCGCAAAGGTGCATTCGACGTTCAAGTCGCGACATGGTTTACATGGTGGACCACTCTCGTCGCACTGGGCAAAAAGGGTGTATCAGCGAGTTATATCCAGAGGGTAAGGAGGTTAAGCTAAAACCAGCACAGGCAACGCAGGCTTGGCTTACCTTGACTTTACGTGAGCTGCACATGTCGCAGGCGCGGCGGAGCCTGGTGACCTTCTGGGAGGATGGCTGCATGGACGTGGGAGTAATGGATGCCCCATGGCCGGCATTGTCGACTGGTTGGGGGGTCATGGGCGCATACTGAACTTGGACTTGAGCATCGGCAACGTGCATGGAAGCAGATTGGGCATATTGCTGGGCGAGAGGACTCGGTGCGACAGCAACGGCGGCAGTCGCAGCTTCTAAGGCTTGCAATCCATGGTGAGCGACAGCAGTAGCTGCGTCGTGGAGGGCGTGGGCGTCATATTGCAAGTGTGGATGATGCTGGTGCTCCTGGTGAACATGATCGTGAAGATGTTGATGATGATGATGTTGCTGCTGCTGTTGTTCTTGTTGTTCTTGCTGTTGTTGTTGCTGCGACGGCGATTCTATCGTCTGCGAGGGTTGTGGTTGCAAGTCTGGAGAGGCAGCTTGCGTGACTGCGACGGTGTGCGGATGGGGTTGTGGCTGTGGTTCTTCATGTGAGTGCTGAGGATGAGGATGAGGTTGAGACTGAGACTGGGATGGAGACTGAGCTGCTTGCAGGCTATCAACAGCTTCAGCTAAAGCTGGATAGGCGGACGGGTCATTCGATTCGCCAGACATACTTCCGGCATCCCTCGAAGAACCACTTGAGATTGAAATTCCGTGGTTTTACCTTGACCGCCGGTGTTTTACCGCGATACTGACCATGAAATGTTGCAAAGACGCGTTTGACGGGGGGAACGACCAGCTGCGGGCTGCCAGCCCATTAACGCCGAAGCCAACCTCGAGGCTTTCGACGCCCGACCCACCTAAAAAGCGCCAGACCGGCCCACTATCCGAGTACGGATGAATCCATACCAAAGCAGAGCTATTTGCTGTTTACAGCAGGTATGAACTAAGTCTGCACAGGTTTGCACAAAGTTTGCACAAAGTTTGCGCACTGAGACTTGGCTGGGAACCATCTAAGATAATCACATCCACGAATCGATTTGCGAACGCCTCACATGCCCAGTTCGTCGGCTTCCTACCAAAAACCAAGTACCGATTGAAGGAAGCTCTCACGGTTTTCGCAGTTCCGCCTAAACTAGACTAACCTAACCTAGACCTGAATCCACAAGCCCCGTGTCTGTCTGTGTCCGGGGAGGGCTGCCGCGGACGCCGAGGCGGCTTTAACTGGCACTTCAATCCTCACAACACCGACTTTGAATCGTGTGCCAGGCTCCAAACTCACAACACAGAGGTAAACCCGAATGATACCGTGTTCTTCACCCCGAAATATCGCGGCGTGAGCAATGTTCGATATGGTCGGCATTCACCACGGATGCCGCACGGGTGGCGTCGTCTAGATGTCATCTGTCTATATTATCCTCCATAGGGCACCATGAAGTGAGACGACAAGACGGCATACCAGGTCAGATAGGACGCACAAGAAAACTTACGATACTCAATTACCCCGTGTCACGTCTGCCGGATTGTGCCTTCATAAAAATGTCTGTTGCAAGCCAAATATTTCCACCGTGCCCAACCTTCACGGAGAAAAACCTGCCTGATCTCATTGGCAAAGTGTACATCATCACCGGAGGTATGCAATCCCCCTCTCACACATTGTGGCGTCGTAGTTCTCACGGCTTGTTAAGCTGCTGCAGGTATCGGTCAGGAACTGGCTAAAATGTTGTACGGAAAGAATGCAACTGTATACATCGCAACCCGATCCCTCGAGAAGATCAAACATGCCATTGAGGTCATGCAAGTGTCACATCCGCAGAGCCAAGGGCGACTCGAGCCTCTCTTGATTGACCTAGCAGATCTGGCCACCATCAAATCGGCGGTTCAGAAGTTCTTGTCCAAGGAACAACGCCTTGATGTCCTCTTTCATAATGCAGGTGTCATGGTCACCCCGGTGGATGCAAGGTCTACGCAGGGCCATGAACTACAGCTGGGAACAAACGCCGTCGGTCCTTATCTTTTGACAAAACTCCTTGAGCCTATCCTGGTGAGAACAGCGAAGCACTTGCCAGCTGGAAGTGTGCGTATCGTCTGGGTAGCCTCCATCATCGCACTGGGGACGCCGAAAGGCGGCATTGTATGGGACGAGAAGACTGGTGGCCCAGATGTTTTAGATAGCTCGGGGTCGAACTACATGCAGTCGAAAGCCGGAGTTGTGTTCCTTGGCCATGAGTATGCCCGCAAGCTAGGAGAGCACGGCATCATCAGTGTGTCACTGCATCCAGGAATTCTCAAGACGGAACTGCAGAGGCACCTACCAGCAGTTGTGCGCGGTGTGATGGTTGGTAATGTCAAACTCAGAAAGGACAGATCGCTGCTAACTACATACAGGGTATCGTGTTCAAGGGGCCAGAAGCGGGCGCATACACTGAGATCTATGCCGGTCTCTCGCCTGAAGTTACTCTGGAAAATAACGGGCGATACATCATTCCATGGGGTCGCTTTGGTCTGTTGCCCGACCATGTTTCTGTTGGGCTGAGGTCCAAAGAAGAAGGCGGAAATGGTTCGTCATTGCGCTTCGCTCAGTGGTGTGGGCAGTTGACCCGAGATTTCTGCTAGGTACAATGAAAGTAATAATAAGGTTGGATGTTATTTCGTTCAAGTCTGAAGACTAGACTAGAGTAATCAGCTGCTTTCGTTTCCACTAATAGTGTACACTACACTACCCATTGTGTTTGTTCGCTATCAATAATCCTTGGTCGCCTAATGCACTCAAGCCTTGGTAGATTTTGCGACATGTTTTTCTGCGAGTGCACCAGTGGATAGGATAGTGTGGTGCACCGAATTATACGACCTGATGCTCAAGATTCTCCCGGTTGACGCGTAAAGCCAGCATGTCATTTCATAAACCATCTACCAACGTCACATTCATCTCACAACAAACCCCAAAATGCTCCCTGCCGCAATGCAGATACTCTCAGACATTTGAGAAACATTTCTGTGTTGCACTACACAATTTAGTAGCTCCCCTGCAAAAGAGCAATGGAGCAGTTGATGCTGCGGAGGAACAGCTTATTGTGTTTTCGCCAACTGAGCTCGAGAAGTGGAGAACTAGGCATGGCGTACCCTTTTCTTCCTCTCTTTCTCACAGTTCTGTTTCGCTCTCAACAATAACCTTTCTTAATCCCAAGTCATACTTGTCGCCCGGTCGAAGGAAGTAGAACCGATCCTCCGGCGGCGGAAGGTTTTTCAGTTCGCTCAGCTCCTCCCTCGACCAGAACCCACTATCATACACCAGAACGTACGTGCCCTCCAACACCGCTGCCTCGTTCTGATGAACGACGAGGGCAGTGTTCTCATCGATTCCTATGCCCAGCAACCCGGGGTAGGCCCTTAGAATATCGAACATGTCGAAGTGCCGGTTCCGGACCAGGACGTGCTGGTCGATGGCCGCATTCTTCAGGTACCCGAACCCGACGGTGTGGTCGCCGACCATGACCTGGTTGTTGGCGGTATCACCGCGCGCCAGAAAGGAGCCCTGGATGCTGGCACCGGCGGACGAGCCCGATACGACACCCCCGCGGTCCAGGACGGCCTGGATCGCGCCCTCCGTCGCGGTTCCGGCGTACGCGTCCACGAGGCGCCACTGCCGGCCACCGTCGAAGAAGACGCCCCCCGCCCCCCTGAGCGGGGCGACGAACTCCTCCGTGTCCGCAACTGCCGGATCATAGGTGTGCAACACCGTGACGTTGCGAGCGCCGTTACTGCGCAGGGAGGCGGCGCTCGGTAGTGACTCGTTGTAGGTTGGCTCCCCACCTGCCGTGGGAATCACCACGAGCGGCGCGTCGGGTCCTCCTGCGAGCTCTATGATCTTCTGCCAGATACTGTCGGACTGCAGGTTTCCGCCGACTATGACCAGATGGCCATTTTCGGGGCCCACATAGCTCCCGTTGCTGGTAGTCGATCGTGCCACGGTGGCGGTGATAAATGCCACGGCCAAGAGGAGAGATTTGGGCAATAGCATGGCAGAAGTTAGGCGCGGAGCAATTAACTTGGTTTCAGCGTTAATCACTAACACGATGAACCACGTCATATATGTATTTGCTGCTCCGTTAGCCAGATGGCGTCGGTATCGCGCCATAGTGGAGGTTCTGGCTGATCTTGCCAGAGTAGGAAGGTCACGCCATACGCCAAGCCCCGTCACGGCAATAGAGGGTCAACCGAAAAGCCGGGCATCGGACCCCACGGCCCGGCAATGCATGGCTGTCGCCGAGTCATACCGCTGACTTGAAGACTTCATTACAATTGATACGATATGAAGCGCTATTCATGCCGGTATTTCGATCTAGCCTTACAACAAACTATGTGGACGCCGGCATCGACCGTGAACCACAATTCTTCTTGTCCCCTATTCATATCATGGCGCTGACTTAGCAGCTGGTTGCACCATTTCCGGTGAAGGTGCCTGGCTGGTACATGTTTGCAGCGTCGTCGAGACATTCAGCTATGAGACATTAGCAAGATGTGACGGAGCTCCTACACACGCGCACACAAACTTACCGACGGTCACGATCTTCAGATTGTTGGTCTTTGCCCAGTTGATCAGCCACGGCACCAGCGTGTTGACGGTCGTGTCGTAGGTTTCGTGCATCAAGGGGATGTGGCCGTTGCCACTGGCTCCGGCCTGGGTGAACTTCTGCTCGCTCTGCTGCGGGGTCTGATTGTTCCAGTCGCCGGCGTCGACGTCGTCGGTGATGACCACGTAGCCCAGCTGCTTCATGACCGACAGCATGCTGCTGCTGGTGGCCAGGTTCGGCGGCCGCATGTAGGCCGGCTTCTTGCCGAAGATGTTGACGAAGGCCTGCTCGACCTTAGTAATCTCAGTTTGGATCTGAGAAGTGCCGAGGTTGGCGAGATTGGCGTGTGTCCTTTGCGCCTCGAGGTCAACCAGATGCGGCAGGTGAGGGCTTGCAGCGAGTATCTTACCATGTGTGCGACGACACTTGATGGCCATTGTCGTAGGCCTTCTTGACAGCGGCTCTCTGATTGTAGATGCACCCTGGTCGAGTGTTAGAGTCCACCAGACTTTGGGGCTTTGGCATATGTGTCTACTCACCGTAAAGGGTACCAGTAAAGAAGAAAGTGCCTTTCGCGCCGGCGGCGTCTAGCTTGTCGATCAAGGATGAGGTGTCTAGATACATGACCGATCAGCCCCGAAGTTTCAAACTGGATGATAAACTTACATGTGTACGGCCCATCGTCAAAAGCGAGCGCTAGTACACCTGGCTTCGAGCACTTCGTGATCACTGTGCCAGTGGTGTGTGCGCGGCGAATGAGGTCGACGGGGCTAGGAACAGAGACTGCTGATGCCCCAAGGACCAGCGTCAAGGAGTACAGCAATGTCGTGAGCTGCATGATTGAGATCTAAGATGGATGTTCAAGGTCAGAAACGACCAGGTGAACTCTCGTCATGTTACAGCAGAGGGACATCTCGGATTAAATAGTGTCGCCAAATAAAACTGGTATGGGCGTACGGATAAGGCTTCTGTATCATAGCGCACAAAATATAGTGCCAAGCACCATGTCCCGTGTGCCCGACAATTTGCATGAAGTCTGCATGCAATCAATCTTGGTACGAGTGGAGTTAGTTTGACTATAGCTTGAACTACTATACTCTAAACGTGAGATTCCCGGCTTGGGTAATGTGGGGTTGGCAGGGTACCCCTGATCATAGCAGCCATGCCTTTAGCCTAAATGAAAACTTTGAGGGTTATTTTTTCTTCTTCTTTTCCAAAGTCTCATCAGACCAACTCAATTCAGAACGGAGACGGATGAAAGGGGGGTAATAATGATATGCGATCGTATACAGGTAGGTTCGGGGGATACATATGGTATCGACCGATTAGATTGAACCCCAGGTCATTCGTTACAGGAAATATGGACCCAAGTCAATAATCAAAGTTCTACGGGCAACGCAATGTCAGAGATGGTATTGTGGGATTCTCGTCCCGACTAGACAAAACGAGGTTACAAACGATTAAGGGTCATGACTTGGGTGGGTGCAAGATTGGATACTAAGTTCTGTATCCGGGAAAGCGCCCTTAAGGATAAATCAATGGTACATTCAAGTCTTTCATCAGGCTTTGCACCAAATATTTAGTTGGAACACGTGTCTATCATAAATGTAACTATGTAAAAACGTAACTGACGTATGAAGCGCCAAAGTACCTCCAAATTTGCTAAGAATAGAATGATTAAATCATGTTAGCGCCAGGATAACATCTGACAGACGCCCCGGATAGTTGTCCTCATCCTTTGGTCACCTACTCAATTATGTAGGTACCCATCTGCAACGTTATTTTCTCACTAAAGAAAACTTTAACCTGGTATCATCATTTTTGTAACCATTGCCGTCAATCTTGAAGCTTGGGAAAATTTTCGCTTATTACTAGAGGACGCTGCCAACCTCCTTATGGAACACCTAGTGAATGCGTCATCCAAGGTTATAGGCACATTATCGATCGACCTTGACTTTGGCAACCTATACCCTCCACGCCCTCGAAGAAGAAGAAAAAGTAGTGCAAATAAAAGAAAAAGAAAAGGACAGAAAAAGGCGTTCTTTGGGACGTAGTTCTTAAAAAACCATCAAAAATGACTCCGAAAGCATATCTGTCCATATACAACTTGTCTTACTCAAGGGATTCATCGAAGCACACATTTCCACAGTTTGCTTGCTTTCTTAAAGATATTCGCATTCAAATATGGCGCGGAGTCTTACAGCGCTGTCGGATAATACAATTGGTCATTGCACTGGGGAACGAAAAGGAGCCTCTCTCAGAGCTGCTCACTAAACCGTCCTTAAGAAGCTCGGAAAAGTTGGTCAGCGATAGTAACTATTGCGCATCGGTACCCGGGTATCACCTTTTCACCAATTTGTTACGAGTTAACTATAAGGCGAGGCACGAAGCATTGCTATTTTATCGCATACACATTCCCTGCCAGATCAAGGACAGAAACGGCGTGGCAAAAGACTCAGTCATATATATTGACCCTGAACACGACTTTTTACACATCCATCCGGGCTGTCCCGCGAAATATACCCGAGTCGATCTTTTATACGACCTCAAGGCATACGACCCAAAAGCTATTGGGCTCTTAAATTTGGCCATCGCACGAAATGGTCTAACAAGCAGTCACTTGTACTACTTACGGGCACGGGATCTAGATGCTCCAGCAAGGACAGCCTTCGTGGATACGCTATCGCATTTACGGGAGGTGTTCTGGGTCGCGTTACTGCGATTCGGGCGGGGAGTTGCAGGACCTGTTAGCGGAGTCCGAGGCGCGGGAGTGCGTTTCAATGCTGCTTTTCCATGACACATGTGCCTGTCTTTGACCGTATATCTTTCGACCCGAGGCTAATCGATCCAGATCTGAAGCGGGTGGTACTTAGGACATCAGACCCACGCTAAGTCATAATGCCGTGGCGCCAGCTGCTTGCGAACTGCGGTATCCGCCATGCGAAGCCGGTGCAGTATCGCTACCTCGCGCTTTCACCTCTGCTTGATCGAGACCAGGTCTACGACAGAAAAGCACCGAGGAGCAGCTGAAGCTAGAGAGCGAAGGCTGGCAGGCGGCACTACAGAGGTTGCCGAATCTGCAAAAAAGGCTATATCTTTGGGAACCTAGTAAAATGGTGGACGTCCCCTTCTGATTTTGGCTGTTTGCCTTTGATATTTGTGCTAGATCTGTCAGGTCAATGGCCTGAACTTGCGCTTTCTGAGATGCGATATTAAATCTAGATTGGTCTCTAACACAATATGCAGGATCATCTGGCGGCAGTCGGTTGGGATATTTCAATGTAGGCATAGCCTGACACCAAGACTCCCACATAATTCACAGTTTATAGGCTATTCAAGCCGCAACACGATCAATACGTGTCACCTAGGAATGAGGAAACAAGCCGAGAAGCGTACCGCAGCACCACAGTCATGCACGCATTGCTACGAACGATCGTGGCAAACATCCCTCGTTCATCTGAATAAATTCCGAGACCAAAAATGCACCGTGATACCCTTTATGACTTGACTTGAGAGCCAATCTTGAAAGCCGAGCCGAAAGTTTTGTTACCGGCATTGTTTCGATTACATTCGATGTAGTAAAAGACTTCGTTGGACCGGCGACTGGAACCGGATAACTGAAAGCATTCGATTTCTCATGAATACTGTCGCGTGAGCGCTACATCCAACGCTGCTTGGTGTCTGTCTACCTTTCAAGTAAGATTGAAAAGTCAGTAAGTGTGAGAATTATCTATACGACTGTTCGACGTAGGACCCCATCACGCACGTATATCTGAGTCTGAAACGAGACCAGAGGAAAACCCATTCCTGTCGGCGCCATCGTAGATCAACCTCAATATCGCCCAGAGACCGTGCAAGATCGGGACGTTTCCTTTCTCCGCAATGAATGTTTACTACCCACTCCAAAGTTGACAGGCTTAACCTCTGCATGGCCAGGCGAGGATCTGCTCTATGTAAGTTCTTGTCCTAAAGTTTCTGAAGGAAACCAGTAGTCATTGAAGTCGGACTTTTCGTTTTGAATAGGCTAATATGATTATTTGAAGATATATTAGCAGCCAAATACTAGAACAATACTTCCACCTTAACCTGCCTCTTATATTCAATGCTAGCAAAAGCCTGTTATACGTTTCCTAACTAACGTCCGGTCTCTAGCCATGGCGCTGCTCCACCAGTCTTTGGCCTGGTTCGCAGACAAACGGCCCGCAAGTACTCTCGGTCGATGTAGCAGCTTCGAGAACAGCTCGTTCTTAATAACATTAAAAAAAAGGGAAATCAAGAAAATGGCTCTATAGCTCATGTATAATTATCTGAAGAAAAGGAGATGGCAAAGAAAGAAATGTGCACTGATTCTGAACGCTGTCGAAAGCCAGTCAAATGCGACTAATTTATATTTCAACTCAACACTAGACTTAGTTATTGGATCTAACGTCTTCTCTTTGAACCCAGACTATCCATCTATTGCATTAGAAAATGGGGAAGTCTGACTTTGTTACGCGCTGCCTTCACCACTGTGGAGTTCGGAGCCACAACTTTATCGCCTTCGGGTTGGTCTGTCTTGTCCTGCGATACTCACATCCTGCATTTGGAGCGGGCGCTATTAACAGTCGGTGGAAGTTGGGGATCAAAATGCACTCAGCTGCTGGGCTCTTCTGTGTTCATCAAGGCTGCCCCAAATTTCGTCACTACTGCTGGATGTATCCTCAGTCTTCTCACCATGGGAACAGTGGACTCGGCTGCCCGCGTGTGTTGGGCATCCGCTCTTCCCAATCCTGTAGCCTCTTCCATCTTCGACGTTTGTACCCAAGCCATTTTAAGAGCCCTCCAGATGCCATCTCGTCAGAAAAGGCTACCGAATGCTTCTCTGGTGTGTTCAAGCTCTACTGGTATCTCCAAGAAGCGGCCTCGACACATCTGTACTTGCTAGACTCCATACTGCTCGATCTCTGTCTCTGCTTTGCAGCATTACTGTGAAGCTATTTGCTTGCTCTGTGCCCTTCAAGTCAATAATGACCTTTGGGAAGTTGGGCTCTGGGTAACGTGATGCGCGTTGTTATGGCGCGAGTATCTCGACCTTGATGAACCACGTCTGCCGGCAATCAAACGATTCTCTTACTAGCGAAGAAAGACTTCGCTATCATCTTCGGCTCTAGTGATGGATGACAGTAATTATCCTGTAGTTAACACGTCAGGAGTGCAATATAAGAAGGCAACAAATATTCCGCGACAAAGCTTTGTCAAACGTGGAGTATGATTATCCACCACGTCGGTGAAGAATGGATGCATTGACGGTCCCTTCGATCTCTCCATGGCGAAGTTCTATCTCAGAAAACAACCCGCCAACGAAATCGTCGCGAACGGGTGCATATAACTTCCCATGGCGGGCCGGCAATCCCGAGGGCTGCTGAGCGAGTAAACATCTCGGCGAGAACCGGCGGATTGAGGAATTTGAAGAAAACGATATCGCTTAATTTTTGCGGGCGCCATGATAGACCGCTATGTGACCAGACTGCAGCAAAAAGATAATTGAGTTTCTAGTTCACCATTGGGAAACGAAAGGTCTTCCTCGACAGTATCGTATTAGAACGACACGGGTATATATCGAACTCTACGAAATCGCGAACCGTAGCCAAGCATGAATTGCACGTTGCGTCAGGATATTTTGCTTTGGTCTCAATTTTTAAACTCCTACAAGCTGATACAGACATGAATATTGGAAACGGCAGAAGATTCTGTCTGTCAATGCACAATCAATACACCGTTACTAACTGCTGCCCGGACTGAAGATTTTGATTTTTGCCATGGCCGAAGCCCCCTCCCTCGCTGGTCACGTCGCTTCGC